TTAGTTTCTTCAAACTTGACTAATATTATTAGCTGATGCAACCTGACCAACAATAACGAGTATATCTAATTGTGCTTGACATTATTAGTTTCTTAACCTTAATCGACACCTTCAGTTTTAAATTGTCAAATAGTAAACTAATTTTGATCAACATTATTAGATATGCTTTAAGAAATATACTAAATTTCTTAGAAAGCCTTTCTTGTTCTTTTATATGTTATAAAAACCTAACTTTCATATACATTTATACATGTTTTAAAAGTGTTTTGATGACTGAAAATTAGCCATTGATGTAATTTATTGATGAAATGATTCTTAAGAAAGATTTAAGTATAATTTTATATAAATTATTTATTTTGGTTATTTGTCTAATATTTTTACAATGAACCTATAATTGAGTGTAACTCGAGTTTAACTCTAGTATAACTAAAGTATAAATCATTAAATTATTTGCAAACATATTCAACTTCTTTAAAACTATTATAACACAATCATAACATGTGGAATGTTACTTTTTTATTTTTTAAATTTTAAGATTATTGATTATCAAAATAGACATTGATTATCGAAATATAAGATTTTTACATTGAATCGATCATATGATCGAGCGTAACTCGAGTATAAATCATTAAATTATTCTTAAACATATCCAAACTTCTACAAAACCATCATGATCTTAATATGTTTAGTATCATCTTTTTTTATTTTAGGGTGTTAAATTATCTAAATAAAGGATATGTAGAATTGAATATACGATGGAATGTAATCCAAGTATAACCTAAGTGTAATGCAAGTGTAATATGTTTTTTTATTTTTTTCAAACCTATCGAAACTTCTTTATAACAATTATAACATAATTGTTTAGTAATCAATTTATCTAATTTATTTTTATTTTAAAAATCATTTTTTTAAAAAATATATTGTAGTTCTATATAGCACTATCACTTGGTCTGAGGTGGTACCATCACCTTAGGTCAGTAGAGCACTACGTATAAATAATACGATCACTAGTTTAGTGGTACTACTATCACTAGATATTGTTACACTAGAGGTTTGGAGTGAAATTGTGATCACTTACACTCAAGTTACAATAAACATAATCGATTAAAGCTTATCATAAACTACTATGACATGATTGCAAGTTGATTAGTTGGATTTTTCTCTAAATGTTAGGTTAGACTAGGACGAAGATTAGGTGATAATGTTGGAGATTGCAATGATGACGACCACCACCAGTAAGAAGGTTGGTAGATGACATTATTGTATCGGTCAAATGGGGGTAACACACGTAATTTGAGGAAAAGAAAGAAAATATAAATAGTAAAAAATTAAATATTTATGTTTTTATTGTACTAATTTATTCTCATTCAAGTCAAACAAATCAAATCAACCCAAAAAATCAAAGACAAATGAGGTGAATGGATATGAACTATTATTTTATTTTATAAAAGATATTTGATCATGGTATGAAAAAAGATGCTCCTAATAAAAATTAAATATAGGGATATCAACTGATAAAACTTTATTATTGAGGGTTTTTCTAGGTAAATTACCCAATTATCGTATCATCATTTTCGCATGGATGAACAATACCTCAACCAAAATAATAATATTCTTTCAAGTGCTAATTTCTTGAAAGTAAAAGTATTTACTTTATTGCAATGCAAGATTTATTACATGGCTACCTAACCAAGTTAAGACTATGATTTATAGACACATCATGAAGAATTCCTACTTGTTGGAAAAGTCAAATTTTGGTTTGACTGGTTACTTTGTTTGAGTAGAGACATAACAATTTGCATCATTTGTTATTTAAAATAAAGAAAATTCATAATTTGTATTTCAAATGCAAAATCCTCAAATGTCACTTTACAAAAAGAATATAATAATAATAATAATAATAATATAATACTAATTGGTCAACAATTGACATATATTTATCATAAATAAGGCACTATATAATGAGCCTACAAGCCATCACCCGCTTCCATCCCCACTGACTACAATGGCTGCCTCAGCTCAGGCAACCTTCCCCGTCTTCCTGCTATTGCTCCTCTCGGCAGCCATCGCCTTCGTGGACGGCTCCTCCGTGGATCCCTCCGGCGAGAAGTTCACCCACGTGCACTTCTACTTCCACGAGACGAGGAGCGGCCCCAACACGACGGTGGCCAACTACAAGAATTTGACGTCCACCCCCTCCTTCGCCTACATCGGCGTGTTCGACAACTACCTGAGGGAGGGGACCGACCCGAGCTCGACGCTGCTGGGCAGGGCGCAGGGGGTGGGCGTCTTCGCGATGCCCGAAGGCCGGAGCGGCCTGCTCACCGCCACCGAATTCGTGTTCACGGCCGGGAAGTACAACGGGAGCACGCTCACCATGATGGGCATGTACGCGGCCGCCGGCGAGGTGGATCGCTCCATCATCGGAGGCAGCGGCCGGTTCCGGATGGCGAGGGGATACTCCCTCAGCAAGGTCATCAGCATCGATGACTTACGGTTGGTGGCCAAGTTTGACCTTTACGTCAAGCATTATTGAGTTGGCTGTTCTACCAAGTCTTCCATGACCGACTCCACACAGAGTCAAGATCAAGATTACTTGGAATATATGTATGGAGTAACGATTGATGTGCGTGTGTTTCCAATAAACAGCAACCCTTCTATCTTATCTGTCATTTTCAACTGGTGTCAGAAATGAACATTTTTATGTCAATCTGTACGTCTGTGGATTTTGTTCATGAATTCATGGAATTAAACTCATCACCAAACTGTCTGATTTGTTCTTCTTTTAGTTCTGGTGCTGAGCTGTTAGAGAATAGAGTGGAAGAGTTCATGATTGGATAGTCAATTTCTTAGTTGATCATCATGCATACTCACCAAAGGGTGATCATATTATTTTGACTTTGATATAGATTTTTTTTTGTCCTTTGACTTTCATAATAAACTAAAAACTGCATCTTTGAAGCATTGGAGTTGTTCTTCCAGTAGTGTGCCAGCCACAGGAAGTAATCCTTGCTAAATGCACAAGAACATCTCCTCAAAAGCTTTTCAGGGACTTAAAAGAGTCATGCCATGGACTGCATTCTCAGTAGCCAGCTCTTGTTTTCTGATTTTTCACAACCTCTCAAACTGCAATCTATTGTTGTTCTTCATTGATAGTGTTGGATGTAGCATGATATGGCCAGTAGTTCATGGTGAGAATTGGGTTCTGCTTCAAGAACTATGGAATTATGAACTCTGTTTCTGGACACCAAGTTAGAAGATTTATAGAAGTTCTGTAAACCATCACATAGAATTTTCTGGCATACAATTTAGAACTTCTAATCGTATGCACTTGCTAGAAGATTTATACAAGTTCTAAGACATCCTTGTTGTATACCTTGAAGAAAATCAAACCCTGGAGCTTGGCTATTGTGATGACCTTTCATAGGGTGCTCTTTGATTGTTGAACAAGTCTTTGCACCATCTCAAGTCCATACATGTGCTTGGACAAATTGGACTGTTTGAACCCAAATTAGTAAAATTAAGAGAGAAAGAGTAAAATTAGTAAATGCAGCGTGCGTGTGTGCAAGTGAGCGTGCAGCGTGCGGCGGCGTGTAGACGAAAGAGGAAAGAGAAATAGAGAGAGAAAGATTAGGTTTTTGAGTTTTACGATTGGTGGTCAAATATTATCAGTTTCGGCCCAAATTTTATGTGGAGAATCCTTACAGTAAACTCTACAATCCTAACGGTGTTGATATATAGTTTACATTCTCTAAGATATTTTTCTATTATATCCATTTTATGAGACCTAGAATTTTCTTATAAGGAAATCCATCGTATATGAAGATATGCTATTCTTGAGTCAAGATCTATGATCTTGATGTTATTGTGATCCTCTAGTTATCTAGAGAAGACCTATTATAAACCTGTTATCATTATTATTGATAGTGGAAGTTTGAGGTGGACTACGGTCCCGTGGTTTTTTTCATATTAGGTTTTTCACGTTAAAAGATTTGGTCTCATCGTGTGATTGATTTTTTGCTCTATTATTTATGCTGTGTTGGTTGATATTTATATTTGGATATCAAGTTGGTATTTTGACGAGGAACCTATTTTGATAAAGAGGGAAAAGAATATTTCGCTTTAACATTTTTTCCCATCACTTATGGAGACATGTGATTGTTGAATTCATATTTTTCTGCAAGGTTGCTGATTGCAAGTTGGATGCTGGGAGGCATAAACCCCACTGCAAAATATATTTCTTTGTTATGTTTGATATCCTGGTCAGTATTTGTTGAAAACTTCATAGTCATATGAACCACATCTAATACATGAAACAGAGATGTTTCTCCTGCAGTGAATTGTTGTTCTTTGTGAATCTGAAGAACCAAGCTGACCTCCAAGAAATGTTTGCACCCACACCCAAGCACTTGTGTGGGTGCAAACATACTAACTGATGTGGATTGAGCAAGATGGCATGCTAGGCCTGTGTGCCTAATCCATGTACGAGCCCAACCTTGCAGCAGGCGTTGCTATGTGCTGCAACCTATCATCTCCGATGGCTGTCCATGCTTCAACTTAGTCACTTTGGTAAGGTGGCAGGCAAGGTGGTGGCTTGCTCAGGGCAGCCAACTGTAAAGGCTGTGGGGGTGCTGCTTCACTGGACTGGACCACAGAAGGTGACCACCAGTTTACCGAACATAGCACATGAAACCACATGAGCTCAGTTTCAGTCATGCAATGTTCTTCGGCAATGTGGAGTGGAAGGTGTCCACAAGTCCTCTCTGTCAAGGTCCTTCCTCACTTTGCACCCAAGACAACCAGAATTTAATGGGCCAAGCACCATCATCCATCCCCTGCTGTTCCATCTCTGTGGACACTGCCAGGTGCTGGTGCAGTTGTTAGGCAGCAGACCCTGCAGCTGAGAATTCTTTTGTCAGGAAGAGGTGTTGAGTACAGCATTCTGATGTGCAGATGTAAGCAGTACATGATCTAAAGTGGCAAATTTGGAAGACTTGAACTCAAATTGCATGATCCTGTGGCTTAATGTTACGAGATCTTTAGCACGGATTACCAAAAAAAAAGAATCAATAAATTACAAAGCCAAGTTCATGAAACATCTTGAGATGATGCAGTTGAATGAAGCCACCCGTGATCCACGACTACAGGGAAGATGACGTCGAAGATGATGAGCTTATCATGGGCACTGAGGCTCGGGAGAAGCTACTGCATGCTGCGGCATTGGCACAGTTTTCAAAGCCTTTCTCCGGGTGATCACCGGCTTCCTGCAGATGTCGGCTCACTATCCTGATCTCCCTGAGCAAAGCTGCGACGTCCCTCATGGAAGGCCGCTCCTCTGGCGCCGGATTCACGCACAGCAGCGCCACGCCGAGCACCTGGACCATCTCCTGCACCTCCACGTCCGTTTGATTCCTCAAACTTCCGTCCAGGACGGCGGCCGCCGGAGAATTAGCTGCCCTGAGTTCTCTCCGCACCCAGTCCACGATATGCGCTCCCTGGATCCTCGCATCGCTCGGTTGCAGCCCGGTTAAGATCTCCAGGAGAACAACGCCGTAGCTATACACGTCGCTCTTCTCGGTGATCCTTGGGCTGTAGCTGTACTCTGTGTCACAACCATGGAATCGCAATCGAGCTCAACGTCTAAGAACAAGATACAAGGGCTTAAATCTTTGCGTTGCGATTGAAGATTTGGGAGTCGGAATCGTCTTCCCTACCAGGAGCGATGTAGCCGTAAGAGCCAGCGACGACGCCGCAGGGCATCGTCCTCCCGGAACGATCGACAGGCTTCGCGAGTCCGAAATCCGCAAGATAGGGTTCGAATTCGAGGCCGACTAAGATGTTCCGAGCTTTGATGTCGCGGTGAATGATGGGAGGATTGCAGTCGTGGTGGAGGTAAGCCAAGCCCTGAGCTGCACCGAGTGCGATCTTGTACCTCGACTCCCACGCCACCGTCATCTTAGTGCTTCCGTGAAGCAAATCGTCCAAACTCCCGTTGCTGATATGATCGAATATGAGCAGGCGAGTGTCGTCGTGTCTGTTCACGCAGCAACCCAGAAGCCTCACTATGTTCTTGTGCTTGATGGAGCCATGAATCTTCACCTCGGTGGTGAAACAATCCCTCTCCTGAAGCTGCTCGTTCTTCTTCTCCGCCCGCAGCTTCTTCACGGCGATGGTGAGGCCAGCTCCGGTCTCAACTCTGTAGACTACTCCTGAAGAACCTCTTCCGATGACGTTAGTCTCCGACAGCCCCTGCACTACGTCATCGACCGAGAAAGACACCTTTTGGAAGACTGTGAAGTCCCATTGCCAGTCTCCATGGCCTTCCTTCCTTCTCCTCTCGGCTAGTTTGCGAGTCCACATCAGTAGCCAAACTATCATTATTGCCAGGCCAACTGTTAGTGCAATCCCACAGCTCAGGATGGCTCGTCTTGAAGGATTGCTTCTCGTCTTGAGCTGCAGGAGGCAGTCACTTCGGTTGGCACACAGCTGCTGGTTGCCGGCGAAGGAAGCAGCCGGCAGCTGCCGGAAGAACGTCGTTTCAGGGAGATACCCCGAGAAATTGTTGTAAGAGACATCGAGAAATACGAGGTTGTCGAGCCCGCCGAGCACATCCAACGATCCCGTCAGCATGTTGTGCGAGACATCGAGGCTGGTCAGCTTCGACAGATTCGAGAGTCCTCGAGGAAGAGGACCGGAGAGATAGTTCCAGCTCAGGTTGAGCACTATATCTAACCCTTGCAGGTAACCGATCTCCTCCGGGATCGGACCGGCGATCCTGTTGCTGCTCATGTCGAGGAACTCCAAGTCCCCGCAAAGGCCCAAGGTCTTCGGGATCGAACCACTTAGGTAGTTCCCACCCAGCATGAGCTTGCTCAGAGTTCTGAGCTTACCCAGCACCTCAGGAACCGGTCCGGCGATCCTGTTCCTCGACAAATCGATCACATTAAGCTGCCGAAGGTGCTCGAGCGAGGAAGGGATGGTACCTTGAATCCGATTCTCATGCAGATCGATCATTTCGAGTCGAGTGCAGTTTCCGAGCTCGGACGGTATCTCACCGGAGATCATATTCTCGGACAGTTCGAGGAAGCTCAGATTGCGCAGGTGCCCGATTTCCGCTGGCATTCTGCCTGAGAACCTGTTGAATCCGAGCCTCAGCCGGACCAATTTGGTGCAGTTTCCGATATCCGGAGGTAGATCACCGAAGAAGCCGTTAGAGATGAGCATGAGCTCCGTCAAGCTCTTGATCCTGAACAGAGAAACCGGCAGGAAACCGGTGAGGAAGTTGTAGGAAAGATCCAAAGATTCGAGCTTTCCACAGCCACCTAGTTCGGAAGGTACATTTCCATGGAGCTGATTCTGCCATGCGAAGAACTGAGTCAGCTCTTTCAGCTGTCCGATTCCTGTTGGCAATTCACCGGAGAACCTGTTATTATCTAGCTCTAACTGTGACAGTCTCGAAAGGTTCCCCACGAAACCTGGGATTCTTCCTGAGATGTTGTTGTAAGACAGCAGAAACACCTCCAGAGACATCAGCTTGGCGAACGAGGCTGGAACTTCACCCGTCAGATAATTCAAGGACAGATCCATGACCGTCAAACCAGTGCAGTTGCCGATTGATTCCGGCACATCACCAGTGAATCTGTTCTTCCAAAGCAAGATCACTTGAGACTCTTCAGCAGGCCCAACTCGGATGGAATCCCCTGGCTAAGCTGGTTCTCGTAGAGGAACAGATACTCTATGGCCGAACAGTTGGCTATTTCTGGTGGTATGGATCCTGACAGATTGGAGGTATATATAGAGAGAGTTCTTAGATTTCTCAATTCCCCGATGCCGGATGGAATGCGGCCAGAGACTGCGGTGTCTGCGAGTCCCAGAAGAACTAGTCCTTTGCAGTTCGAAATGCTCGGTGGGATCTCTCCGGATATACCGGAGTTTCCTCCTGCACGGAAGATTTCCAGAGAAGAAAGCCGTCCGATCTCTGCTGGAATCGTCCCGGTGAGCTGGTTGTCGACAAGCTCGAGCACTCTGAGCTCCGAGCAGTTGCAGATCTCCCGCGGTATCGGACCCTTCAGTGAGTTGGAACTGAGGTAGAGAGACCGCAACGACGAAAGGTTTCCCATCCCCGGTGGGATCTTCCCGCTGAGGGCATTGAATCTGAGGTCCAGCGTGAGCAGAGAAGTCAGATTAGCAATCATCCGTGGGATCTCTCCGGTGATGTTTGTGTCATACAGGACGAGATTGGCGAGGGACCTGAAGGAAAGAATCTGGGAGGGAAAAGTTGTGTGGAGGCTGATGGATCTGATGCAAATCTCTGAAACCAGACCGCTGCTGGAGCAAGAAACGAAAGCCCATCTGCATGGATTGCTGTGGGTTGGATCCCACGAGGAGAACAGAGCGGAGGAGAGAGAAGAGTTGAAGGACGACAGCCACGCGAGGAGGGCGGTGCCTTCATGGTTCAGGCCAGAAACAGGAAGAAGCAGGAGCGCCACCGATAAGAATGAGATGGCCCGGAAAATTGCAGTCGGCATACTGAAACAAAGCAGTCTCTCCCTCCTGCTTCAGCTACTGCTCAAGCATTTATAGGTCGGAACCAGAGTTATTGGGACATGGTGGTGAAGAGCAATCTCAACAGTGAAGAATTCATTCTTGATATTGTGGTCCATGTCTTTCTATGGTCCTCAGAAATCTCTGGTGGGAAGAACCGAGATGAAGGAAGCACATGAAAGAATCTGGCCGCTACTTTTGTGTCGTCGGAAGATCTGTCTACTACTTGCACTCCAGACTTGTAATGGAGGATGAAATGGAAGTATCGAAATTGTCTGCTACTCTTTGGATACTTATGATGCAGGGAATAAGTCCTGTGTTAGGTGATGGTGCCATTTCCCGTTGCATGGTCTTCACAGTGAAGGTGGACGGATGCAATCTCTTCTTCTTTGGAGTTGTGGAAGCAAGTCACCCTCCCTGAACTGTCATAGTGTCTTTCACCATCACCATTTTTGTTTCTTCCAGCGATACAAGTGTTCTCATAGCTAAAGACAGCCAAATCACTCAAAAGAACTAGTCCATATGGCACTGAGATCTTGATCATGCCATTATCCTCAAGCTCAATGCTCTCACTGAACAAGGAGGACCACATGAAAAGTTGCAGTAGGTAGGGACTCCTTTTTACAGCGAAGGGATGCTTTTGGGATCCTCATAAAGGTGCAATGAACAGAATGAGCTTGGTAGATTGCCATCTTTCCACCTCAGTGTAATGTGAGTTGGCCTGGATTGTGGAGTGATCCTAAAAAGAAAAAGCAGCAGATGCTGAATTGAGTCCAAATGGAAAGTTACACCACCATTTTAGATCATTAAAATCCATGCTAGATCATTAGCAAGCTACAGGATTCATAAGAAGTCAGTATCAGCTTACAGTCATCAGTACAAGAATCACTAGATCCACTCGAGTATCGTAGCTCAGGAGAGAGAGAGATTATTCATGACCAATAAAAATTTTAATTTCCTTTCCTTCAGATTTAATCCTACACAAATCATTTGAATTGACTTATAAAGACTTACAGATATATTATATTAATAAGTTAATGAATCAATTATTTTAGAGCAAGTCCACATGCATCAAACCCATGAAATTGCCTCTAAATAATGAAATTACTAGCAGAAGCTGCCAACTAAAACCATCATAAATAATAATAATGATAAAAAAATACAAGCTACATCGAACTTTGAGGCTCCCCGGCCCCACAGGACGGCGCTGTCCAACTGGGGGCGGGCCCCACCCCGGCCGCCAATCCATGTGCTCGCCACCACCGATGTCGGGCCCGAAACGAGGAGCCCGCCAACCCAAACTCCGAATCACCTGTCCCTTTACAAACACCAATCAGGTTGCTGATATCTTTCCATTGGTCGTAATCCGTGGGTCCGGTTTAGCCATGGCGAATCGGAACTCGTCTTTCCCTGTTTGGTACCTCGGAGCCTCGTGCCCCTCCATCGGGCGGGTCGGATGGATGCCCCGCTCGTGAATCAGACGGCCAGGGAAGGAGGACCACCGTTGGGCCGGTCCCTCGCCTTCTCCAAGAACACCGTCTTATAGCTGTCGTCGCGTTCCTAAGTCTCACTCGTCTCTTCCTCACGCCGTGAGCTCCCTCTCACAGTCGCTTGGTGCCGAAATCCCCCCAATCATCGATCGGAAACAAAAGAGCCTTGGGGACTAACTGAGATCGCGCATCACTGGCGTGGAAATGCGTGGATTCTTGAGGTTATTTCTGGCCTTCGCTCTGATACTTGCGAGGGTTTCTGTTTTCTCTGTTGACGATCTTTGCCCGCTGCAAATTTCTTATGTGGTTGCGATCTTGTTCTCCTGTATGACCTGCCATTTTCGAGGTCTTGCATTTCGAGTTGATTTAGGTTCGTTGATGGTTGGGCATCTTTTGGTTGCTCCGGAGTTTAATCTTCGACTTCTTCCTCAGAGTTCTGTTCTTTTTCCCTCTTTTGTTCTTGTGATTGCTCTCTAAATTGCCTAATTTTGTTACGAAACGTCCAGTTTCTGTGATCGTCTCCGGAACTTGCAGTGGAAAGAAAGTTGTTCTCTGTTTTCGTTGTCTCGTATAGAAAAGATTGGGGTTTCTCTTGTCAGATTGTTTCGCTCTTTTCTGTCCTAAATTTCTAATGGTAGCCAATCCCTTGCTTTTAGGGCTTCCTGCTTCCGGATGGAGACATGAAGTTGTGGGTCTTATCTTGAGAATTAATTGATGTCCATTTGGCGTTCCCCTTATGGTTTGTTTCTCGCAGGGGGCCAATGGCCGCCGAGATGGTAATTTTGGCCACAAGTGAGAGATTGAAGGAGATGGATTGGACGAGAAACATCGAGATCTGTGAGCTTGTTACACGTGATCCAGGGTAATTTGCCATTGTGGTTGCTGCTTGTGTTTTCCCTATCCATTTGCTCGTGTATTTTAACAGTACCTTCTCTTCAGTCTTGCATTATGACTCAACATTACTGCTTATGAATCGTTCATCAGGCAATCCAAGTGTGTCATCAAATCCATAAAAAAGCAGCTGAAGAATAAAAATGTCAATACTCAATTTTTCTCTGTTATGGTACGTCTTTGTGTTTGATTCATATCTAATTTTCATCCAAATATTGCATCAAACTATGAAAAATGATCAACAATTTTCTACATTTCTGGTCCTGAATTGCCATTGCAGTTGCTAGAAATGCTAATAAATAACTGTGGAGATCATATTCACAAACAAGTGATGGATAATAAACTGCTACCGATCTTAGTGAAGATTGTGAAGAAAAAGGTCGTATCTTAATCTTTTAGAAATGTTGATATCTCCTAACAAATGCTGATTATACTTTCGATTTCTGTTTTTTTAATCTTAAGCATGATGTTTTATGACTGCAGACAGATTTGCCTGTTGGAGAAAGAATATTTCTTCTTCTTGATGCTGCCCAGACAGCTCTTGGTGGAGTCTCTGGAAGATACCCACAGTACTATACTGCATACTACGACCTGGTGGTAGGTATTCACTTAGTCCTACAGAAGCTTATAATTTGACCTTGTTCCCAAGTACAAGTATAGTCTCCTGAGTGTTTTTTCCCAAAGAAAAGAAAATTATATTAGAAAGCTAAGCAGAACGAATACAACCCAGCATGTTCACATCACAGCGAACCAAAAAAACCCTAATCGGGAGGTAAACTTCCTTCCCAGAAAACATTAGAAGCAGTTTCTCGGGCCAAATTTGCCAACCAATTAGCTGACCTTTTCCCCTCCCTTAATACATGTGAGATTTTAAATTCCAAGGAGGTTTTTAGAAGATAGCAACTATCTTGAATCAAACTACGGATTCTCCAAGGGAGGGCAGCATCAGGAAATCAACCAAGAGCAATCTTTCTTTACTATAACAGACTTACCCTTAGTTTCGCTTCTTCCTGTTTTTTTTTTGTCTTTCATTTGATGATAGAAGATTCATTTCAATTGTTTGATTACTCTGAATTAATTTCTCATATGACCTAGGAACAAGCTTGCTATGCATATTAATTTAAATGTGATAGTTTGAGTAATGTGCATTTGAAATCATAAGTAGCATCTTGTTTCTTTTTTCTTGTTTTGTTTTGTAATTTGTCTTTCACATTCATTTTATTATTTTAATATGTTTTATGCATGATCTTGTTGTACTGAGACTTGCCGAGTTCTGGTGTATATATAAAATTTGTGATAAAGGCAAGGTTCAGCCGTCTCATGTTTGATAGGCTGTGGCATCCAAAGTTAAAGAAAAAAAAGGGCATACCTGGTGCCACGATGCTCCCACCAATGTGGGGGTTGGAGGACCAGCCCTTACCTCTAAACATAGAGAGTCAGTTTCCATTGTGGCATCCAAAGTTGATTTACTAAATTTGTACTAGACATGCATGTCTTCTTCAGTGGCATAATCTACTTTGGTACTTCCATCTATGCCTCAGCCATGTTTCTTAGTCCACTAAATAGACCATTCATGGCTTGAATGACAATCAAATTTCTGCATCTTGAATAGGAGGAAGACAGATGAACTGACTATAGTTGGATATCTTGTTGTCTTGATGTGGTAGTTGCTTCATTGATAAGTATTCTACTTCTTAAATTAACCTTTTGTCCAGCAGGATCATTGGAGATAGTTTCTTTAACTTTTTCTCTTTCTGTTATCTAGTCCTCTAGAGTACAGTTTCCTCAACGCCCACATGTTTCTTTAACTTTTTCTCTTTCTGTTATCTAGTCCTCTGGAGTACAGTTTCCTCAACACCCACATGTTATGCTACATGAAGAATCTACTCCTCAGAATCAAGCAAAGTGTTCTCCTCAAGAATCTCATTTTCATAATTGTGAAAATATTGAAAAGCAAGTGACCACTCAGTTGGTGCCTGACTCTAGGTACAGTGCGCTGGTAATTTTTTCTTTTGTCATAGTTATCTTAGTATTTTTCTAACAGATAGAGAATAAAATGTTCCATTGCTTGCATGGATTGAAGCGGATAATCTAAAGATTTCATAGGTTATCCTGCCTGAGGTATTAGAAATATTCACATGCTACTTACCTCGGTCTAACATCAAACCATGGAAGCAAGGTTTCAAATTTGTCAAGAACCGGGACCTGATTATATGGTTGTTGTATACAGTTTATTGCTTGCTTTTTTATTGATACAAGCTTTGGAAACAGGAGCTATTTAAGCACTAGCTCCAAGATCCCTAACTAAATGATTCTAACTTTTAAGACTTTCTAAACTCTGGATGGATGCACATCCATAGACTTTTCACTCTACTTGGCTCTCTCACTGAGATAGAGCATCCAAAAAAACAAAAAATATAGAGCATACAACATCGCCCTGTGGTTTGATATTATGTCAGCTGCTTGATGCCAGAGACTATAGGTTGAGTGTTAATTGATTATCGATACATATCATATTTTCTAATATCTTGTAACAGGAGTCTTTAATATGTCTTGAATGTCCTAATGCCCTGGTTGGTCAAAATTAACCATAGGAACTTCGAAACTACATCCTACCTGGAAAAATATATTTCCACTTTGAAGTGTTGGCTATACACATATGCCTACCTGTAGGACTACTCGTCTATGACAGTATAAGGGTATGGATGTCAAAATACATGGCCAGTGATCTCATTATAACACTCCACTAGTGAGGATGTCTGATCCTCCAATAAAATAAACATAAACATGATAATAAAAAAAACAATTTATTGCATACTTTAGTAAAGGCATTATGAAAGCAGCAATGGAAGACTTTACAAAGTAAATGTTGTTATGCTGGTTGAATTTCAAATTCATCATGCAAAATTTATGTTTGTTTTAAAGTGTATGTGTACCATACTGTGCTAAAATAAAGGCTCTGCTTTGGGAAGGGTGTGTCAGCATGTGTTCCATCATGCTTAACTTGTACCAGTTAGCATTGGACCCATGTTGCACTGTGCTGGTTGGCATCCAAAAAGAAATAATTGGTTTTGAAGTCATGCTTGACACCATTGCTGGACGAGAAAGAAAATGCAGGTGCATGGTGTCTACTTTAAACAAAGTAATATATATCATACAATGTTGTTGTACTTGAAATGTCAACATTTGCAATGCAGTGGTTGCTAGATTTAACTGCCAATACACTGTTGAATAATTCAGTTCAATGATAATCCATCCAAGGATTGCCTTTTCGGGCATATGAACCGTTTCAGCAATCTATCGGACTGGTATGTATTGGTTTGTATCGATGTACTGACACATGGTACGCCAGTATGTGTCAGTGTAGAGGGAGAAGAGGAAGGGGTGGTAGAGAAAGGAAAAAGGAAGCAGTGGAGGAAGAGGAAGAAGAAGAAAGAAGAGGAGGAGAAGAGCAGCAGTAGCAGCGAGCAACACTAGTGTCGAAGCGGTAGTGGCAACAGTGAGGAAGCATTGAAGCAGCAGCGGCAGCAGCAAGGAGTGTCGAAGCGGTGGTGATGAGGCAGTGACATCTTATGCGAAAAGAGGGCTCGTGTATAGGCAGACATCTTATGCAAGAACAGGGCTCACGTTCGTGAGCCCCTTTTATTTCCTTTTTTAATACTGAGTTGGATAGGTCCCCAACACTTTCTTGAATCTTTTATTATTGTAATTGGACCACCCGAAACGGAGGTGGTCTGTGTATCGGTCCATGCCTGGACCGATACGTATCACCTGTACTGTACCATTTCGGGTGGTACAATAGTCCTTGACTCTATCCAATAAAATGAAGTATCTTGGATCATACCTTTTCTGAAGTGATGTCTTGCGTTTGACATTATAGTATGACCGTATGTAATATGAAAACGTCAGTATATGAGAGTTGACATCACATTCATCATTTAGCCAACGTAACATTTATCATTTAACCAACATTACATTCATCATGTAAGCAAATCTAGCAATCACAAATGACTAAAACAGAATAGGATTATATCGTAACCATTTGTCACTAAATTGTTCAAACTATTGCTAAATTGGAATCTAATGTTTATTGTAAATAGTTGAGGTAATAATAGTGTGTTGGAAAATGAATAATTGCATCTAATTCAAGTGATTAAGCATGAGATTTTTCTGTGTATACAGAGGAAGCATGACAGGTATGTAATATGTGCCAGCTATTTTTTTGTCCAGATCCTTAAAGAGCTTATTTCTTCCACTGAAATAATTACAAAATGCCTAGTTTCTTGTTCTGCTGAATCTTGTTATTTGCACAAAGGTGTATAATCCTCATTCAAGTTACTTTGAGTGTCTCTTATTTGTCATGCTTTTCTTTTTCCAGTATAATACATAGAGCCTCCAGCGTCTTGGAAGTCTTACGGGATGTGCTGAATACTTTAGATCCGAAGATTCCACAGGTATTGATTAGATTACCTTTGTCTGTTTTTCCATTATCTATACACTATGAATATGTTCACATTTCCTAATATAACAGTCAAACTGGTTAAAGTAAGTACTTTGTTCAAAGTTAATATTCATAACAGTAATTTTTCCACTATGAGTATTATTTTTCCATCATGTTCAGCAGACTAGAATTTAGGAGTTAACTGATTTGTTGCTTTGTGAAAAATGAGGACCAAATTTGCTTTTGCATCTTGAAGATAGACATTTATAAGTACAGATATTGTTGCAGGGAGCAACTGATGAATTTACCTTAGATCTAGTGGAACAATGTTCATTTCAGAAGCAGCGAATCATGCACCTAGTGATGACCTCACGGTGAGACGTTCTAATCTTGTCACCCTATGTGCATCAATGCTTTACTTAGGCCTCCTCTGATTTCATTTAGCTGTAAGTTGGGTCTTTTTATTGCATCACATCTTGTAGTGAATTCTCAACCTCTTTCTTTATGCAGGATTTTAGACATATTTGATATGCAAGGTCCAGCAAAGCAATATGTTTTCTTCCATATTAGTTTCTCATGCATTCATTTCGTTAGATTTGGCTTGGAAGGAATTCTTCCTGGTTGCACTGGTGGATAACTCCTAGGACTAAATTTTGCCTTTTGGAATTTCATTTGTATAGGTGTTGCCTGATTTTAAGCAAAGTTTGTAATTTCATATCGTACCGACATATCGAGCTTTGCTCGATATCGCTCGGTATGTATAATATAAAAAAAAATAAAAATCAATATAGAAAAATATAAAAAATAATATAAAATAAAAAAAAGGCGTATGCTACCTCCTTTTCTTCTCCTTATCTACGACATTTAGCAAAGACGTCGAAGGCCATAAACATCTCCGGCCTTCGGCGAAGGCATCTCCGGCCTTCGGTGAAGAACGCGACGAAGAAGAAGTCGAGCCATCGCCTCTCTGTTACCCCTGGATCGGGAACGGGAACGTCGAGGGAGGGCGGCGTTGGATCGGGAAGCATCAAGGTTCTCCCGATTCTCCCTCTTCTTCGAGCACCTTCTCCCTCTTCTCCCTTGACGATTCTTCTTCCCTCACTGTAGCCAGGCCACAACTAGGCTGATATTGTCCAGTAGCGGGTGGCGATGGTCGAAATCGACCATTACCGACCAATTTCGGGCGATCACGATCGAAATATCAACTGTTACCGCCCAATACGGGCGGTATCATTCGAAATTAAAATCCTTGATTTCAGGTGAAATGTCCTTGATTGTTAGACTGATGGGTTACTCCTAAGAAAGAATTTTGCCTTCTGGAATTTCATTTGTACAGGCTCTACCTGATTTCAGGTGAAATTATTTAAGCCGAACCACTATATATTGTTGTCTTCAATTAGCATTGACTGAAAACTAGTCATTTATCAGATTCACTGGTAGAGACCTGGTTCAGGCCCAAAGCTTATGTTAGTGAAAAGGGTTGTGTTTATACTCTTCTTGAATCTTGACTTTGAGGAAGGAGGTGATCTTTATTTTCAACTCCTGTCTGTTAAAGGCACAACAAGATGAGGAGATTGAAGAGATTAAGAAGTCACACTTTCCTCCCTTTCCTTTAAAAATTTCTCTTTTTTGTCCTTTTACTTATTTTATTCATTTGTTGTGGTATTTCACCCAGTGTTGGATGCCTGAAGTCTCAATTGACTCTAATGTATCATATAAATCTGCGAGCTGGGCATTCTTTGCTCATAAACTAACCTGATGACAAGATTGCTGTCTGCTTAAAGTAGCAATATTAGAATATATTTCATAAATCATCTTCTGATAAAGCAGCCATCAGTATGTTATTTATCATTACACCTGTTTGTTATTAGAAAGTTCCATCTAATTTTTCTCTGTGAACATCATTCTTATTATGTGTGTAAATGAGTAAAAGCTTAGAATTAATAGTTTATGTCAGTGGTCTAGACCAGCTAGAGGATGGGAAATGTTAGACACAATGTTCCATGGATTAGATATCGTTCTTAAAGGAGTATTCTAGCTTGTTAACAAATTCATATTTGCACTTCATCCAATGAATAGTGAATAGTTGCTTGAAATTTTCTTTGCACAAAAGAACCATCTTTTAAGGCTTGGATGGGAGTAAATAATGCAAGATCTTATAAAGAATGCATTTTGCTTTGTGTCAATGGAAAGATCTGAGAGACAATGTTTATTGATATTGAATATTGTAACTCACATGTAGTCTGATCTGGATGATGGAGTTTACTTGCAAGTTAATAGCACATGAAATTGAACTAAAGTATGTGATCTGCAAATAGATCTATCCAGTAACTTAAATCTTGGTTTAAGATATTTAATCATTGTGAAGTGGTGTCAGGTGTCAGTAAATATTCATCATGCGATGTTGTCATTGGTGCCCACTGCCCACTATAATTAAGATTACATTTTCACGAATGCATAATCTTAACTTCAAAATTATTAAATTTTGATCTTCTCTTTACTTAAACGTTAAATAACATAATCATATTTTTAATGCATTCAAGACTTACTACCATAAATAACTTGTTTTGCAACAGGGGAAGATTTTATCAATCACAATTGTTGATTTAAAAAAATATCAGTTGGATCTTACCATCTAAAACATTGTTTGCTCCATGACACAAGCTATTTGTTATGACCCCATGGAGCCAATCCAAGTTTAGGATCAGAATCCTTTATGGCCTTTTATCCACTGGGTGAAACTCATAATCTTGTTTTGGATCTTTCTTCTATGTAAAAATTTATTTGGTGCTACCACAAATTTAAGCTTCATGTTCTTGATACCTTCAGGGATGAGAAACTGGTTACTCAAGCTATTGAGTTGAATGAGCAGCTACATCAGGTGCTAACTCACCATGATAGCCTCCTTTCAGTTTGTGATACAGCTACTCCAACTTCTTGCGTCAATGAGGAAGGAGAAGAGGAAGAAGATGCAGAAAGTCTTTATCGAAGGTAACACCATTCAACTTCATGTTTTTTGTGTCTGAGATTGTGGCAACAACTTGTTATTATAAAGTACCTCGGAAATGATTAGTTCTATCATGCTGTATGTGCATGTTTAAACTGCTGACATACTGAGGTTCATAATTATGCTGAACCAAGTTCTTCAACCAGCTTAAGAATGAATCATCTTTTAGTGTAGAGCATAATCCTGTCATTCTATTGTCATGATTTGAAATGGTTGTAGAAATTTGCAACTTCTGCACATATATCTAAGTCTAAATCTATGACCTTGTGCAAATTGTCTTCGACACTGGGGGTTCCTAGGTGATAGAGATCATACCTTGCTTACTAATACAAAACCGGCAACCAAATTTTAGCAATCTATACCTCTCAAGTCTTGGCCAGTTTGTGTCTCCCGAACACTTTTATCATATATTAAAAGCCCGCCCATTTTTTATACAGTTTTATCCTCACTATTGCTGCAGAATTGAAGCATTATGAAATAAGACCAAATTAATTTCTCAAATGACAAAACCATGTGACAGGTCATTGGTCTTGTTACATCTCTTGAAAATGCAAATGTTCTTTTCGCAATTTAATAATATCTTGTGGAGGTGTAGTAGGTGATCCAGTAATATAACCAAGGTTTATGCTTTGACCTCATCTTATTATGCTGTTCTTCCTTGGAAATTTTACAGAATACGGAAAGGAAAAGCATGTGCCAAAGATCATTCAGAAAGTTCTGTAATTTATTTCAGACCCATTCCTGAGGAAAATATGAGCAGACCAATAATTAGACCGCTGCGCATACAGCCATCTAATTCAGATAGTAGACCAAGTCCGACATGCAGGCAGTCATCTGATCCAGGGATTAAACAGCATCCACCAGCCCATTTATCACCTCAGTTGAACAAAAACATGGAGGGCGACAAATTTCTTGATAATAAAAGGATGGATGATTCGGATCTGGAAGGTCACATCAGGGACCTATCGCTGCACAGCCGCAATGCTAGTAGCTCTGGGAGTTGCAGCACTGACTGTAGTGAACGAGATGTATTTGGTTTTCGGGATTGATGACAGATAGGAACTTCTGTGGAGAGGCCATCTGCTTCAACGTTCTAACGCCAGATCTATCTGTGCTGACCATTTATTGCAATTCATCTGAGCTTGCTTGTTTTGGAAATGATGGTGTTTTGTATATAAGATGGCAAGAGAAACAATGGTTATGGTCGAAAGTTACCAATTAACTCTTGAGCATTCCAGAGGGTTGTTGCAGGCTTTGTTGTAGTGTGTAAACCAAACTCAAACATTCATGATGTTTAGAATAGATCATCAGAGTTGCATGTTGATTTGTAGATGAATCTGATCTTGCAGGTGATTTAAACATCAGTTTTGATGCTCAAGCAACATTTTCGATGCTAAAGCTTTATGTCAAGGTTACAGCAAGGTACTTTTATTCGAGTGCAGATTGGTCATAAACTTGATGTCAGGAGTTGAGTGAGCTCGGTAAGAGATGCTGCAAAAAACTGTCGGGTGTACCCGATAAAGTCTATTCAATATTTCAATGTTTAAGTCAGTAAATTATTTATGGGATTCGGTCGAATATCGTGCTCAATAAAAACTTACATGTTAGAGGATGTATAATGAGGTCTAAGATATTGTATTTCGGGGTTGTGGTTAATTGTTTAAATTGGGTATACCTAAAAGAAAAGATTGAGTTAAATAAATCGTTTCATAAAAAGTCATTTTGGTAAACAATATAAATTATAAATATAGATTAAATTAGCTTTGAATGCAACAAAGAGTTCTAAGGTAGTTTACTACGGTTAAGTCTTTATTAGTGCTTACATGAAATTACGAACCAACCCTAGACACTGCTATAAAGGTTTATCCAATCATATACAGGTTTATTCAATCATATACAACCCGAGTTACTCTTGAATGTTGTGTCTGGTTGAGATTTCGTACCACTCTACGAAATTAGAAAATCCTCAAAATAACTATATGGATGATATGTTTCTAGATAGTTTTGTACGATGATTACACATAATATGAGTTTACAAGCTTTAAACGATAATAAAAGTTTAATAAAATGGGTTGCCAAGCCTACTGCAAACTTTTTATATATTGTGCAAAATATGAATAAAATTAAAAGATTTGAATATACATGAGCATTACATCGAACACCTTATCTATAACTTTATTAGTAACATTCTCTCTCACATATTCTTTCGATATCCTCGTCAAAGCCTTTGCGGAAGCTGCATCCCATTGCCTTGGTAAAATCTTCAATCTTCTGCTCTAGTTGTAATGTGCCTCTTGGCTCCTAACTAATATTGTTGAGTAATCGAACTTTGATTCAACCACGATGCTTCAACTCATCAATAATTCTTATTCTAGTGTGGGGTTGGTCAAGTAATGCTAATCTTTGTTGGTTCCTACGGAAATGACATTCCTTGTTATATGCGAGTTTCTTAAACGTCTCGCATTATTTGGACTGGGTGAATGCCTGTTGGAGCTTTAACAAGTATCGTCTTGCAAACTTTAAAGTTTTGAAGTCTTTCCTTCACAAAATTTGTCCATCGATTCCTCTTCCATTTAATTGTCACATCCAAGTAGATTCATATCACTTTTGTAAATGCTCTTGTGCTAAATAAATAAGAAAATTGAGGTACTCGATTTTATCCATTCTCTTAAGGGTTAAAAATGTAAATATTATTTAACTTCACCCATCTCTTCGAGGGTTGTACTTCATCCATCGAGCTAGTTACTAACGTTCGCCTACTCTTAACTCACAATTCTAAAGCACTTGAAGCATTTGCCCTCCTTGCTTTGAGTTATCTATTATAATTCATCTTCTTACTATCATCGAACTTTTAAGATGCAAGAAATTTTACCCCAAAAGAGTAAAAGTTTGCCTTGACTTAGAACAAACTCCAACAGTTTTGATCATCTTTAGGATTGCATCATCTTTTTCATGATTTGTTGTCTACTTCTATGAGTAGAAAAGTACAACACCACGTATTGCCTATTCCATTCTTTGGTCAAGCCTTCCTACATTGACCCAGAGTCACTCACTTTCGGCTATTTCGATGAGAAGCCCATTAACATTAGTCTTACGAAGTTCCTAAGTGTCTGTTCTTTAACCTTGTCTGAGTACTTGGTGTTTGCCTCTATATTCTCCACCTCCTCGACCCCTTTCATAACTAAGCGCTCTCCCTCCATGAGAGCAAGGGATTGATGACTCTATGGAAGTCCTGCCTCTACGGTGTCATGTCGTTGTTATGCTTATAACCCTACTATATGTTGCCTCGCATTCATGTCTCTTTCTTCATGATTAGTAGATTAGCCTCTACGGCACTATGACACTTATCTGAATCTACCTTCATTCTAACCGATGTTTGGTTTTGGGTAGTTAGACTCATTTAGACCCGTCGTCGCTTCCTCACCCCTTTCAACTACCTGCTTCAACACTTTTGTATTCTTTGAGTAGTTATCCTTAGTCGATGGAAAGACATACTACAACTCTCATACATGGCCTCCACCATCATGTTGTGGGGCTTCTAGAGTAAACTTGCATGGCCTCCACCACCACTGAGTAAACTTCTAGAGTAGTCCAACTCTCCATCCACTTCGATCATACTTCTGTATGATCAAGTCCCTCCTATAGGACTTACTAGAACTTGCACTTGGAAATCTCTTTTAGTGGTACATAGCCCTAATATGCTGATTATCAAGGCTTTTATTCGATGTAAAATTCGATGCACGCATGAAAAACTCACTTCTGTCATACCATAGTATTCTCTTTTTGAATCTATAGCCTTTCTTGTTGTCATATTATTCAACGAAGTGGAGCTCCAAGGAGCTCCCGATCATACCTCTGTATGATCAAGTCCCTCGTAGGACTTCTCTAGTGTGTATCATATTATCTTGAACTATTCCACCATGATCTACTACACTTAGTACCTCTTGGTGACATCTCTATTGCATCCTGATTTTTATGAGATGAACTCAGACTATAATATCTTCATATATGACAATTGGCAGAACTTCGTAAGGCCTCCACCACCTTCGATTGTGTTTGCTTTTTTGGTAATCAATCTTTGTCCACTCTTTCTCAGGTCACACTCAGACAAAGCACCATTCTAAGGTAGCCCGTCACATTGCAACTCTCAAAGTCTACTAACTTTATTAAAATTGGCACGTCATTATCTGGATCCTGGGTCTCTACCCCCTAGCATAATTTTCGCTATGCATCAATCCTTCGTAGCAACTTGAATGGTATCCCAACTCTGTCGCTGTAAGTTAAGTTATTTAGTTCTTCTATCAAATATTTTGTTAAGATAAGATGCATATGCCTCGAAGCTTTCTTCGATTTTAGCACCATATAAAATGAGTTCACGAGATCTATAATACGACAAACTTTGTTCACCGATTATTTTTTTTTTTGCATAAATAACACTGCAGGATTGCTGGTTACTATTTCATTAAAATGACGATGAGATATTAATTACGTGACGATAAAATATCGTTCACACGATGATGAGATATCAATCAGTGAGGTATAGACATTTTCCCAGCCAGCAGCGTCACACGGTCATCCTGACGTGCTAATAATGCACATGCAACTGGGCATTCATATAGCGTCGTTATCTAAGATTTAAGTATACTGCTTCCTCCACCGGTAAAGATACACATATTTCCAGGTCAAAGTATGAGCTGGTGTGGTAAAAGGCAAGCTTCTAAATGCTAAGTACACCACTTAATTAAGTCTTGGTGATTGATACATGTTAGCGATTTGACTCCCCCTCCCATCCATGCAACAGCTACGTCGTTAGCACATCAGGAAGAGTGGAGTGTGCTCCCAGAATCTTACCGCCCACATCAGGGAAGTTCTCATGCCCCGGCAAGGGACCGACTCTCCCATCTCGCTCCACCTTCACCGGGTACCGCATCAGGTGGCCGTTCATCTCCTTGATCTCAGGGGACGCATAGGACTGCCAATTGAATTCTGCTACTTTATTCACATGTCTGACGCATTCCATGGTCTGCGGTTCACGGAAGAGGTCATCCAGCATGCCCAAGTGCTCCGCCCATAGCGACATTCGATATCCATAAACCTGTCAAGACGATCAAATATATTATTACACAAGAGTTTGATTGCAAGCTAGGGGTATCCAAATGCTATTTGTATCTTAAAAGTCGATGGCAGTATCACTTATCAAGCAGGCAAAATATGTCAAACTTGAATGTTTGTTGAAGGCATGCTTGCAGCAACCTAGTATTCTTCCACCTGTTGACCTTGGTTGCCATATATGTCAACTTTCTCGTTAATATTCGACTCGACTTAAACAAATCATGCATGATAAAAGAGCAGTATGATCTTTTCCTTCCCTTTCCGATACACAACTACTTGATTGATTACCTCGGATTTTAGATCATACATGGGGATAAGAGATCACAACAACACAAAAGCACTAAAAACTCTTTTTTGAAAGGACAGTACATAGAAATAATGGATACTACCGACCTGTCCACGAGGATGGGTGTGCTTTTCGGCCCACCGGTAATGTGGCTGATAGGCACCCATTGCAATTTCTGTGTCCCTTGAACCCTCCATAGATCTTTGGTTAATGTTTGCAGATCCAATGACAACATATTCATCATCAACAATCATCCCTTTTGAATGCACGTATATCATAAATCTGCGGAATTTTTGAGACAAGCGCTGCGACAATAGAAATATGACTTCTTAGTTCAGTTAAAAAAGAAGTATATAATCATTTTTCTACGCTATAGCAGTCTTAAATAGGTACGGAAGCCTCAGCCAAAACGAGACGCACACCAATTAACTGTTACTCTTGCATGTACCTGTGTGGAATTTTCTGGAGATTGGTTAGGTGGTAATTTTTCCTTTAGAACAGGTTCACACTTGCCAAGACAATAAAAGTTCAAATAGTCTTGAGGATGATGACTTTCAGAAAGTCCTTCCTCTTTGAGGGCATCTCCAACAACTTTATACATCATAGACATTGTTTGCCCCTGTCAAAGTGAAATTTGAGAATCCATGGCCAATTGCACAGAGAAAAATATCATCACTTATAATGGAGAAGATAACTAAGACAAGTTCTAATCCTTGCCGGAAAATGATAACTCATGCTATAGCTGAATCATATTATCGAGTTTGTGACAAAGAAAACGAAGAAAATTCGTGAAAACATGATAGGTGGCAGAATTTATAAGAACGAACCAACCTGCCAGAAGAGTATTTCTTGAACAGCAGCACTAGTAGGAATTCCTTCAGGCCACAATGGTACCACAACATACACTGCAAATCTTTCTTTTGCCTTGATTTTGCTGACAATTTTCAGAGCCAACTCCATAGGTATCAGATTATCAGCACCTGTTTCAAATGTAAAACCAGAAATGACATGATTTCCTCATATTTTCCATCACTAAATGTTTGCACACTGAATTTGGACCATCAGAAGAGATTGTCATAATAGCAAGATAGAAGCCTAGTACAACCATCAATTAGTAAATTTAACATTTTACCATATTGGTGAATATGCAAGTCAATCTTGCATGAAATAGTATAATATATAAATAACGGTCAAAATTCTTGCATAAAAGGCAGTCTGAGTTTCAGAAGTATCTTAAATGTATATCTCCAAGAAAGAAACTCTACTACCACTACTTAAAATTCTTAATTAAAAAGTTAAAATACAACTAAGGAGCTTCTCATATAAAAAAAATGGTTATGGTAGATAGTAATCCAAGTATCCAACCATAAAGAGTTTGATGTGCTAAAACAGTAATCTGACTTGATGATAAAATTCTCTCATAATTCCTTTGCAAGCCATTTGCTTTTGGGAGCCATGAGCATGGTAGTATGATCACAGAATGTCCCTAGACTTTGTTAGTACCCAATGTCGTTAAAGGTTTTATTATCACTTTCCTTCCAGTTTCAACTGCTAGGCAGATCAGCATGTGATGGTCGAGAAAACCAATGGATAATGAAAAATATTGTAGTTAACATGGAATTTTCAATGTTGAAATGTGGTTCAAAGCGCTAACATCAAGATAATTTTTTTTTGGTAAGTCTAACATCAAGATATGTATGATCCAAATAAAATCATCATCCTACAGCCATCATTTCTCTCTTCTACATGCTTTATTTTGTCTCCCTCAAGAAGTTACATAACACATGCTCGCTTAATATCACACAAACACAGATGGTACATACCTGCATTTTTGTATGATGGCCAATGGTAAGAAGATCCAACAAAATACTGATTCTCTATATATATAAAGTGCTGTGCTGATCTTATTGCCTTCACATATGCACTGTGTATGCTCTTATCTATCTTCAAGTTCTTTGCACAGACAAGATTCTGCAAAAGGAAATACTATTTTAGCATGATTGATCTGCATGAACAAAAAGAAATGCAATCAAAATCAAGAAGAGTTTGTTGTGAATGAGTACAGAGCAACTTTTAGTAGAGGTGACAGGCAACAAGTTAACAAGTAATCAAATTTTAGAAAATCACGAAGGTCCTACATTCTAACCTTTCCCTCTGCTTCGTGTACGTGTTTTGGGAATCCTTTTACTGATCCTGAATCAATTGATCGAAAAATCTGGAAGCAGGTTACAGTTACATCAATATCAAGCCAGAACTAAACTGAAAAACAAGCTTATATTGTAGCTGACCTGCACATGCCAATTTTCAAGATCCTTTTCATCAGAAGTCTCAGTGTCAGATTTGTAGGCAGAAGGGGAGAGAATCCATGAGATTCGTTCAATCTTAATCAAGGCATCATCATGCCAATGTGTGACCTTTCTAAGCTTGAAATCTCTCCATTTTGTAGCTTTCCTCCATCGTTGTTCAAAATTTGTCAGGATGTCGTGTGCAGCAGGACCCTCAATTTTGCAATGTAAATCATGCCATGGCTGCCTTGGGCCTTGGTTGGTACCCTATTTATTTATTCAACATAACATAGAAGCTCAATTGCATACAGGTGAATAAGAAACAACTAAATTTTGTCAACTTAATGAAGGATTAGAAGAAATTCATATTGCAAAGATCAATATTGCAAGTACTTCTCAAAACAAGAAGTTAAATATTTTGGAAAGTCATGAAAGAAGACAATTTGATCCTAAATTTATCAAAGATGAAAATAACAAAGAGATGACAAACATATGTGGATGCTATTAGTGAAGTTGTGGCTTATTGCAGTTCAAGATTGGACTTCTTTTAGAGATAATATTTCAATGGGACCCAAGCAAACAAAAAGCCATGATAATATTCCAATATGAACCTAACAAATATAAACCCACTTTTTCAACAAGCATCTTAAGAACATTATAAAAAAAGGTGGCATTCCTTGCATCGACACAAATTACTGTTGCATATTTATCCTGTAAACTTTAATCTTAATTCCATGGAAAACCGATAAATAACCAATATGCAGGTGACATGCTAATATGAAACAAAACAACAGGAAACAACATTAGAATGAAATGTTGAGACGATAATTTGTCGAAAGCAATGTTTTTAATTTCATATCATTCCGCCCGTACCAGGTAGTATGTACCGGTGCACTAGCGGACCAGCACATGGACCGCTCGCTACCAGTAATACTTTTGGGAGAAGGAAAAGAAATGAATGAACTAAGGGCAATGTTAGTGCAAAGAAAACCTAGAGTTATCCTGATTAATTAAGCATCTTTTGTGAAAGAAACTTTGCTTTTCTTTTGAGAAAAAGAGTTTAGTACAATTATTATTGCCTGCCATCTTTCAAAATGTCATCATCTAGATTACTTATTTTTAAAGCATCATTTACATTTGATAATACCTACATAAAGAACTATTGAAATTATGATATAGCACATCAGTTATGTCAACCAAATATGAAGCTTGTCATATTTGCAATTCTATGTAGAAAGCTAATTGAAATATGTAGAATCAAATTACATTTGTGCAGCAGATTTTCTCTGTTTCTATGTTAAGTTCTTGTATAAGCACAAAAACAAATAAGTTCTGTTAATATCACACGACTAAAAACTATGGAGTTGGATTCCATAACGGATAGAACCATTTTGCAATTACTGACATTCAGTACTTACTGGGAATGTAGGGTTGTGGAAGTCTTTTCCAAAAACAGTATCCAGATCACGGAAGAGCCTGTGTTCAGGTGTGTCATATCTTCCATCACATAAATCAAGTCCACCAATAAAGGCTGATATTTTCCGATTGTTTCCACCTGCTTGAGTGTCAACAATGACACACTTTTGATGGTGTGTAAATAGAGTTCCTACAACCTGACATAAGAAGATCATGTCAATAGCTTCATAATCAGTTATGTAGTCCATAAGTTGAAAAAGCAAAAGGCGACATCTTTTTTACCATCAATCAAGCAAAAACAGACCAAACATTCAGATTAAAAAAATGGATCGCTGCAGGTTTTCTGACAGTTGGTAGAATTTTGCATGCTGATAGACAAGTATCAATTTATAAAAATTGCATTCTCCTATATGTTTTTAGTTTATGAGAAAATTCATTTTTCTCTTCCAACTAATAATTATTTTGCTTGGTATATAAAATACGAGATATCCTCCTAAAATTCATGCAACTTTTTTTCAATTATGATCCTGCAAATGCTTCCTTGAAGAGCCAAACATGCATGAAGTTCATGCAACTGAATACCGTCAGAAGGTACAAAGAATTTTTCTCTAAACCTACAACAGGAAGCAACAACAAAATGCGAAATGAAATTCAACATTTAACTTGCCCTATCAAAACTTTTGAAGTGTATAACAGATTATTCCTCCTCATTAAATACATTGTAAGATTGTGTGTTTATCTCTTATTATACCTAAAAACTCAGATGCATTCAGTTGAACATTCTAAGGATCCATATAGCTTATTAACTGCATATATGTGACAGCTGGTAGCATTACATAGGGCTCCCACCATGAGCCTCCGCATCTACTGCCAAGTGCCAACTTTGCTCTTTTATGAATAACTGGAGTTAAGTGTTTCAAGAGATCATGGATATTGTTGCTGCTAGAGAAGTAGGTAAATATGCATCTTACTTTTTGTATCTAACAGAATCTGATATGTCTGCAAAGTTGAATCATTTGGTTGCAGCAATGACAAAAATGTAATTTATATATTGTATTTGAATATTGTAAAACAAAGAAAAAAATTCAAAAAAAATTGCATGTTAAGACTAGAGGAATAGGATGAAGGGAAGCAACAATTAGACTTGCAAAAGAAAAAGCATGATTATCTACAATGATATTTGATCAACCTATTAGAAGTAGAAAGAACTTTCTATGCTAATGGGGTTTCATAGGAAGCAAACAATAAAAAAAAAAAAGCCTCACCTGCTGCTTGAATATGCTGAGCTTGTTGCTGGCATAACGAGGGGCCAGTACACAATGTACACTTGAATGCTTAAAAAACTTGCGAGTTTCTTCATCGTGTGTATGCATGACACCATCCTGCATTCAACTTTGGGACTTATTAAGTCACATCAAATTCCGTTTGGAGGATTTTAAAGGTTGAAAGTATTGCAAGCTGAGCTGCTTTGTAGATTGAAGTCCTAGGCACAAAAACTAAAATTGACATGTCTTGTTTTATCTATGACGTGCGTACAGAAAATAGCAAGAACAATAACAAAATGTTATGATCAGAGGCCAAAAAAAACATATTTTCTCTTTCTTCTCACTATCAGATAAGTGGATTATGAAAAGCTTATGATTCAGGAAACTGCTCTGGTAATTGTTATATCCGTAAAACAAAAGTCTAAACCACAATGAAAAGACATCAAACTAGAAATTAGTTACCGTTTTCAAAAGAAACTTGTCATGTGATGTTTTGTCATCCCAAATCAACATAACCACACGAACTCCTTCCTGTGTCTTGTACTTCAAAAGCTCCCCAAGTGATAATTCCCCGCCATTTGGCACTGGCTTTGTTGGTTCCCTTATAAGCTTCACTCGGTGATAGACTGACCATCCAATTATATAGATAAGGTGATGAGCTTCCACGATTGCATGGCAGATGTCCTCCCAACATTTGTTTTGCTCATAAGTCTTCCCCTCATCTAGTGCAATATTAGGCAGCATGTTATCTGGAACATGGGCATCCTGGTAAAGGGTAACACTTCCTTGATTATGAAGAGGGAAGTATGCATTAGGCACACCAGAATAATTTGGACCGGCACCAACTCCATCTTTATACAAAGGATTTTGCTCTATATTTCTGAATTGCAAGGAAAAATGCAGTTCTGGATATGGTTTCGTTGAGTTCCCACTAGGATCAACCACTGGAAACCAACCACTGACTGTTTCTCCCGAGAGTATTTTATCTACTGGAATCACAGCTACTCCAATAAGTTGTGCTCCAAAAACATCATTGTCTTTCACTTGAAACTCAATCTTTGATGCAGGGTGGGCGACTGGCACACGGAAGTGTTCTTCCCATTTTGGATTTTCACTGTTTGGAATTACTCGAGTTTGAGCTATTGTTGCTCCGGATACACAAACAGAAACATAGGGATCACTGGTTATGATTTTGCTCACGCCTCTGTGATTATCAGGTTTCCCACAGGGTACACCACAAGCTCCATACACAGTGAAACATTTTCTCATCCTCTCTGTCATTAAATCCATGTTTGGAAGTGATCTGGCTTCTAAAATCCAGATGTCCAAGTCCCCATGCAAGAACTTGGTGATCCCAGGTGCAGAAGATCCTTTTCCCATTCGGTCCAAATCATCAATTCAATCACTAGTCATTGAGAGTGATTTCACGGTAAGCCACCACCACCTGCACATACTTCACTTTTTTACTGAAAACGAACCACAAGATGGATGAATAAACCATAGTTGTGTATATGTTGATGCTTTACCAAGTACCTTGTACTTTTCAATCCTCAAATGCAGCAGGTTTTAAGAACCAGGCATGCATATGAAGAATTATCTTCTTCTTTGCAACCTTCGTAAAACCAAAACTAAATGAATGAATGTGTCAACCGAAGTTTATCTTCTTAGCAGTTCCAAGTTTGGAAGTAAAACCTTTGTTACCAGTCCACGCTCCGCTGACTCAAATCTGATCAATGCAAATAAAAATCTTCACACATTAAGCATCCACAGGAACAGGGCTTGAAAATTATGTTAAACAATTTTTAAAAAGTTGTCTTTTCCATACAAGGACAAAAATCAATGTAGAGGTGACCCAACTTTGCATGACCAGCAACGCCAATGCCAGCAGCTGAGAGAAACAGCATTGCCCAAATACAAAGAAAGGAAGGTCAGTATATCATTCAAGATCCAAGTTGGTGCAACGAACCAATTTACATTGATGAGAAACAACATTGCTCAAATACAAAGTGCATTACGATAATTCAGAACAACTGAGACCATAAGGAATCATCCACCGTTCATACCGTTTAAAACCAACTTCAAAAATTGTGCCATTAACCAAAGAAAATTACGGAAAGATGAACCATTAACAACTAAATAAGATGAAATTGGTCACAAACTGAACGGAAAATGAAGCATAAATAGATTTCAAGAAGGAAACTGTAAAGAACATCGAGGGATCAAAGCAGATAAAGCTCAACAACATCACAATTGAACGTGAACCTGCTTGGTCAGTAAGAAGGTTGTATTTTTCCCGGCTTGGCAGCTTATGGTTTCGCCAAGATCTTGACGTTTCGTAAGTAAATCAGCATGGCGCGGGGAGAGAATACCTGAGTAATCGACACCGGAGCTGGCCAGCAAAGAATTTGAGAGAGAGAGAGAGAGACTAAATAAAGACCGGTGTTTCACGACGGTGACGAGGCCGCTTTGCCGTTGGTGGAGCGGTTACTTCGGCTACAAGGGAGGCGGGAATCCCCATCGCTCAAATCGATCCCTTATGCATAGACCACTTACTTACCCGGTCACGTCGGACCAGCTCACCTACCAGCAACACGCCATCGTGGGCCCCACTGCTCCTCCAATCAAAAGAAAGGTAGGAGGCGGGCAAAGCAGATATTCTCGCCGTCGCGACCGGCCCACGAAAAGGTTCTCTTCCCAACCAAATCGCAGAACAGTTCCTGAGGAACACCGCGATCATGAAATGCTTGATTTTAATTCTAATTCTTAATTTATAAAAATAATTTTAAGTTAAGTTGTTAATAAACATCATGAAAATGAAAGTTAGGATGTATCTCTCCAACACTCGACGAGAATTGGTTTCTCTATCTCTATCTCCTAAAGATTGGTATTTATTCACCGATTGAGACATGACAAGAATTGGAGAGAATCAGGACATCGGTGAAGATAAGTTCGGACCCACCAGTATCAAGCACTTCCATCTGAAGGTGTAATCTGCATGTATCACGCTTAATGATGCGTCCGACACTTGACGACGCCTTTAAGAGTCACGCACTAACATCCTATGCACGAACCGAACCACGTGAAGACGAACACACTGGTTAGACTCTTATCTCATTTTATTGGCTATTATTAGAGATTAAAGTAACATTTGTTTCATGGTACCTCCGCAGCCATTTGCATTGGTGGCAGCTCGACAATCTTCTCGACTACCTTGATGATAACTTTTGGGAGCCTCTGCTTACATATAAAAGCAATAGTTAGCTACCACAAAAGGTACCGGCAATATGATAGGAACTCGTTATTATCCACTTGGACACAACAAATATGCACCGTCAGGGAGAAAATTCGAGTAGGATAGCAGTGATACTTTGTCGCAAGGATTTAGGACAAAGAGAAAAATTACAAATAGGATCAAGTCACAATTTCCATTGAAGTACAAAAATAGAGAAGCAGCGCGAATCAATTAAGATGCTTACATCACAAGAATTAGTACATGTCGGAGCTTAAAGTAGAGCATTACCTCAGGCAGTTCTTTGTTTGGCACTTGTTCTTGGTACACTTGTGAGCCTGTAGAGTTCGAACCAAGCATCTACCACTGAGTAACACCATGATCCACTGTTTCTTCAGTATGCTGCTCGGCTGCTGATTTGTCATGGTGTTGGCAGATATATAACACAATCCTACAAGAAAATTTTCATCCAAATAAAGGGGCCTAAGAACTATAGGTATGCAATAGAATTAAAATTGGACAACACAATCCTATGTACTGAGTTCTAAAAGCTGCACTGTGGAGGTGTAATAAGAAAGAAAAAGAAGCAAAGAAAGGTATGGGTATATGGGTTAGATTCTGTACATAATCTGTTATACGGACCTTGAGAATACAAGTGTGTATATAGGATAGTGGGAAGCATGCTGAATACAAGTGTGTATATAAACTAGAGAGTGCATGCTGAAGATTCATATCAGATATGCAGCTTCTAAGTGACTAGACCACCTGAATTATATATTTATCAAATTAATTTGAAAGGGCATTAAACATCAACTGGTAATAGAGCTTCGGGGAGTTGAAAAGAAAATACCTTAACCATCATAACAATGCCAAACTTGATTGAAGTGAATCCCGGTCCATAATACTAGACCAGATCAAAAGCACAAAAAATGCTTCTCACTAGCCTGGAACTCTCTTCTAAGTGAGAATACATGCTGAAGATTCGTATCAGATATGTGGCTTCTAGGTGAGCAAACCACCTGAATTAATATATTTATGGAAGCAATTTGAAAGGACATTAAACACCAAGAATTAATAGAGCTTAGAGGAGTTGGAAAAAAAAAATATCCTAACCATAATAACAATGCCAAACTTGATTAATCTGAAGCCCTCTCCATAATACTAGCCTGTAACTTTCTCTCAAGGACATGCACCCTGCCTGCAAATCTGGATGCAAAGGCTCTCTAATCTCTCATGTCACACTAAGTTGGAAATTTCTCAGCAACATACATGGGTGTCAAAGCAAGTGACCTGCACAACATGCCACAAGATGTGCCATAAAGACCTGTTTCTCTGAAGGCAGAGAAGCCCTTGCTTGCCATTCTTGTCCAGATAGTAGTACTCTTCTAAACCCTTTTCCCTCAAATTTTCTCCTACTTCAATCACAGTTTCTATGAAGTAATTGATGTGCAGACGCAGCTAAACTAGCACATAATCCATAAGGAATTATCAAGTTCAAGCAACAAATAATAATATGTTGTTGTCAATTTGAGGATTTAGACTAGTATGGAATGATACTCCTAGAAAAGTGATCAAGGTTTAAAAATTAAGAGATACACATAAGCTACATATAAGTTACACAATTCACTTATAAAATCATCTTTCCATATGCAGCTATATATGCTCTTCCAGTAACAGATGTATCAAGTTTTCAAGTCTCATTTACCTTATCCAAGGTTGTCATAACCACATATGCAGCCACATGAACAGCATTTCGTATGCAACCCATGTAATTTCATCTTCTGTAATCATGACAGAATCTTCATGTTCAGAAGTGACCATCATAATTACTCCAAAAAAGATACCTAACTACAAGAGCAACAATATCAAACCATAATGTCCAACTATTTGGGTCGGCAACATTATTCTTTTGCTGACATTGAGCTTAGAAGACCACAAAAATTATACCTAGCTGCTCTTGCTTTATAATTCTTTCCACTATACTATTTTTTTCAAAGCTCAATCACGAACTACAGCATCTGGTTCCAGTCCTGCTGTCTTCATGTAGCTGATACAGAATGCATGGTCATTACATGAGTGGTACAGAATGCACGGCCCATATATGAGCTAATAAATAACTATTTCTTCTTTCTGGATAACTAAATATGCATCTATAACTTGTGAATTTTCTATCTCAGCCTCTTTCATCATCAAAATCATTGGTGAAAAGATGGAATGAACACCTCATGAAGTTAATGAAGAGCCACATTGAGGTTTGCAAGGTTAGTTTTCCTGTTAGTATCAATGAAGAATCCAAGTGACTTTTCATTTTCATACTGTGAATTTTTTGGCTAGACATGATGATTAACCTGGATGCCCGAATGAACATGTTTTTGCTAGGTAGACTTACATTAAAGACAAATAAAAGGGGAAGTTACAATTGTCTGTATTGGGACTGTGATAAAAGGAGAAGCGAGGTTAAAGAATTAGTAGACTAACATATCACTTCTTCACAGTCTGTACCATTGGATGTTTATAGGAGTTACAGTCATCCTGGTTGGACATCAGTAGAATAACATCAAGAATGCCCTTCTTTTTTCCTTCTTCTCTGAATGAAACAAAAAAAATAATTAATTAAGTTTCTACGAATGAAACTAATTAATTAAACAAAGCAGAAAGGCTACAATTAGGATATGAATATTTTTGTAGGGAGCAATAGAGAAAAGCAGAATTCTGATGCGATTATGATAAAAGATACCATTTGATGTACTCGCAAGGATGTCTTCTAAAGGACACGCTAATAGCGAAATTTTCACAACAAATTAAAAGATATGGCCTAAAAAACTCAACAACACATCTGACTTGAGATATGTGATCTCAATAAATAGAAAACTTAAGAATTCTGTGATAGAACATCCATCTTACTGGAGTTCTTGCCAAAAATCACCCATACACAGCATGGTGAACCAACATCAAAATATACCACAATCACCCCACAGACGCCGTCACTGCCATCACAACAGACATATCATCTCAGCAATCACCAAGAAAAAGAAGGCCAGCCTCAATTCTTGGCATGTAGGAACTATAAACTCATCAAAACTAACACTCTTTCGATCTCGTCAGTATCGGCTAAAGAATTAATCAAAAAACAAAGAAAACCATAATGAAACATCCACTGAACAAGAGCTCTTGTTCCAAAGCCCCCATAAACACCATGGTGAATCATCAAAGTCTACACCTAAAACATTGGTTTAGTGGTGGTGCACCAAATCTACTTACCAAAGGTTAAAGGTTTGAAGCCTCATCTGATATATTTTATACCTTAAATATTTAATCTGATAGTGATATACCAGATTCACTTACTTGAAACCTCATCCGATATATCTTGAAAGTACTAGCTAGCTTAGCTGATAAAGACTTTTACAGCTTATCACAAAGTCTTAGTGCTCAATTTTCGCCTTCGTAACTTATCCTTTGAAAAAAAAAAAAAAAAAATCATCGTCATCATCAAAGCCCAGACTATCCTGCAATCACCACGTACGCACCATCAACAACCGTCACAACGAAAACAACATCTCAGCAATCATCAATAAAGAGAATGGTCGCCTTAAGATCCTTAATCTCAAGTAATCTAAAACGAGGCATGCGATATTTTCAGTAGAACCTACGGAATCCAACAAAGAAATCCATGAACACGAAACCCACCTTAGGAGCGCTCTTGCTCAAGATCTCCCGTCAAGATCATTTCGAACTGCAAGATCCTCGAATTGCAACAAAATCGCACACAGGGACCTGCGTTAATTGGTCAGAGAGGGAGATGAACCTGGACTACGTCGAGGGCCGAGGCTTTGAAATCGAGAACCCAGGTGATTGGACCAACGAGGGCGGAAACAAAGATCGAGGCGCCGATGACGGAGGGGACGCCTCCACCATCCTCATGAAACCGCAGCTCCTCCGCCACCCCCTCTTCTATCGAGGAAGCTGCGGGAGGAAGAAGTAGAGACCATAGCCAGGTCATGGCTTGAACGAGAGGATGCGTCGAGAGGAATCGGGCTTTATACTTGGGGTCCTGCTTCCAAACGGGTTCGGATCCTCCTCGCTTGTAACCGCCACGCGGATCAGGAACCGAAAATCTAACGATCCAGAAGAGTTCTATTTCCCCACGAACCTATTATTAACGGTCCAGATTGAAGCTTGCTACCGAGATATAGTATATTTTTGAAAGAAACCCCCGCTCTTTCGAACGCCGCCAACAAGAAATGGGAGCGGCACTTAATATTCAAATTTTCATTTAAAATCAGCCGTTAATATATAAGTTCAGATAACAAACCTGAATCAAATTGAAATTATTGGGCAGGATCCTAATTTTGGAGCCTAAAACACCCTTAGGTGGATCGGGTAACAAACTTTAATGTAAGATCCTATCAACACTAAGGGATCGGAGCTCGACCATGTGCCGTTGATGGCTCAAGCAGTAACCAGAGACTTGGAGCCTATCGAATTTAACCTAGGGTTAAAATCCAAGACAAATTCAAGAAAATACGAAGTTACAAAGTCGCCACACTGAACAACTCTGGGCACTGATCTACTATGCTCCAGTTCTGATCACACTACTGGAGGATTTCTTCTTTGTTTTCTTTGGGTGCAATCATCAGAGGAACTTCTCTAAAACACATTATATATTGAAAGTAAACAGTTTAAAGGGGCTTGTTTTATTTGGTATCAAAGATCAAACCAAAAGCAACAACCAAAGCCACAAGAAAGCCTTAACGCAAGACAAAAGGTCTTTCCAGGTAACAACGAAGAATTCCTCAACCATAATGTTCTTTACTTCTCCTGTCAAGAAAAATAAATTAAGTACCAGAGCATTAGCATGCTAGATAGAAAAACGTATCAATAGTTTACACACTGCAGAAAGATGAGGATAATGATGTTAATCAAATGACAGGAAAAAGCATACAAGCAAACATTTTGCATGGTTAAAATTTACGATTACATTGTGGAGGATGCTACCTTGTGAATGACCAAGCGAACAATATAATAAATGCATCATAACATGCCAGGAACTTATTCAACAGAACACCAGTAGGTCTTTGTTAGCATGGTCATGACAATTTATAACATGGTCACACATTATATTCGGACTTCAAGCAGGCCGGCCACCGAGCCTTTGAGCGGGGAATACTGTGATACACCGATTTAGCCTAAGGCTAGATAGACCTACTGTTATTAACTTGGGCTTAATAACTTTTTGGTTCACATGGTTCAAATCTACGAGTCAATGGATCAGTTTTCTCATGAGACCAACTCGTGATGATTCTTGTTTGATCATAGCCCACTTCTAACTAAGACCAAGCTGATTTAGACCTCTTTTAGGATATTTTCGTTGATTCTAGTATATTCTAGTGAGTTTTGATTGACTCAACAGACCTAGTAGGTTTTGGTCAATTCTGAATGATACAAATTAACATACACCAAACTTGATCAAACTCAGCAAGACCAATTTCAACCAACTCTGCTCTAACAGTTTATTTAGTTGTACCAATAATCTGATCTCAATATCAATTTTTCATCATCAATCCCCAATTGATTATATGATCTACCAAATCTTGAAAACTGATTCCAATCACAGTTTCAGTGTTAATCCCAAATTTATGTGATCTACCAAAAGGTAATAGTACTCGATGTGGGTACATATGACTGGACTGTAAAAGTGGGGAAGAAATCAAGTTCACATCGCCATCTGTAAGTCATAAGAAAGCTCTTATCATGTAAGAATTATGTTTTAATAATATAAACTTAGTTCCTTTCTGCAACATGAAGTGTAGCTTCATGGTAACCATATGCAACTAATAGAAGATAGGGTTACACCAAAAAAAGCAAATGTTCACTATTCAACTAATGGGTGGTACCATCCTTCATCCATAAAATTAACCAGAGATATCAAGAAAATAACTAACTAAAGTAGGTTATGGCAGATTCAGCCACAGGCTAATATTACAAATGCACAAGGAATAAAATACAACATACTTGAGAAAGAGAAGGGAAAGGCGAAATCCTCTGTGGCCGCTTTGGTGAAGAACCATTGAGAATGTAAGAACATTCAGTATATGCAGCTCCAATTCCAACACCAGCACCAAAAGCTACAGATGCCCATCGTGTAGTTCGACTCCCTAAGGTGGTAATATTGCAAGAAAGAAAACATCATTAAGCAAAAATATCAGACGAATTAAAGAAAGTCAAACAATTAACCAGAATGTGTAATATACTCAATAGTTGTTAGCACCAAACTTAATTTCTCTTATTTAGTTATTTCCCTTAGAATTACTAGTTAGCTTGCTGATATGAATACTGACAAAATATTTCGTTTAATTTTCTACAGAATTCTTAAACCTTCTAAGAATTTGTAAACAGTTGAACACCTATCCTATCACATAGCATAGCCGAATTTTCTCAATGAGAAATAAATTATCAAAAGAAGTAGCCCTCGCCCATCAAATTCCAATCAATGCTGCAAATGTCACAAGAAACCACGATATTTTGTTATGGAACCCCTATCCATCATAATCACGTGTATTATAGAAATATCAAAGGATGGTTCTATTCAACAAATCCTAATCTCAAATGAACGCATACACGAAAGACCTGAACAAATGGATGAACCAAGAGAATCTAAAACAGAACCAAGAAAGGATCTGGCCAATAAATTCAGGGCCAAAGTATAGATTAAGAGAACACAGGTCAACTGAAAGTAATAACATTTAACCAAATCTAACATCTGCATCCAAAAGATGATCAAAGCACCACTTTAAACCAAAAAGATCATATATGGCTCAGCGACAGGGAGAGAGAGCGAGGTGCGAAGGCTCACGGAAGAAGAGAAGGGCGGCCGAGGCACCAGCGACGGAGGAGTAGACGAGACGGCGGATGGAGAGGTCGAGGCAGGCGTCCAACTTCGGATCCAAGTCGTAGCGCCGAAGCGAAGGCGCATCCTTCTTCTCACTGACGCTGACACTGCCGCCTCCTTCTGCGGCCTCTTCAGCCATCGCTGATGCCAGAGCAAAGAAAAGGGGGAAGGTAGGGTTTACAGATCGGTGAGGATCAAAATAAGGAGACGAGAAAGCAAAGAGGTATCGGGTGGGATCAATACAATCCGAATCCGAATCCAATATGGAAATAAGAGGTCCGGAACATGGATACCATCGTAGAAATCGGGTAAGATCAACATACGACCCGAGTCCGAGCTCAAGAAAGAACGAAAGGTTCCGAATGTGGATCCAATAGAAGGGAAGATGAAAAATGTAGAGATCGGGTTGGGACAATGTGAGACCAGAGAGAGCTCCAAGGCTTTTCTTATCGGGTCGGATCCAAGATGAGGAGAGCAAAGAGAAGCAATGAACAGCTTTGTCATTTAACTCTCCTCATCAATATTAGTTGTCCTCAAAGCCGAGTCGACAAATCTTGCTGAAGCCGGCCTCCGCCACCGTTCCTGTTCCATAGATACATAGCCAACAACAAAAGATATGACGGTCAAATATGACGAGGGTAATAATTAGACTCATGTAACATCAGATGCATCAGGTGACGCATCACGTCTCTGTTGACTTGATGAGGCACCTGATCAACATGGACCGAAACGCCTACCAAGACGCATTAACGTTATGTTCAGATTCGATACCTTACGCCACGCCAACTGCAACGTTAGACGTTACCAGAAGTACGATCCCGCTCCCTGCGGGCCAGCACATCAAACAACGATAATTCTCACTATAAAAACCCTCGCACTCCGAAGGAAAAAAGGGGAGTTCGACCCGACCTTTGTGCAGGTGCGAAGGCGGAGGTCGTCCACCAAAGGCACAGGCGAGGGTTCCCTCCCGGTGGAAACGACGACCCCGTCCCAATCGGAACACCGTGATCGGCCACCTCAGTAGTCGGGAGGAGCGTCCCAGGAAGATCCCCTTCATCCGGACCCGAACCAAGCAGAGTCGGTCCCGAGGCCACGGCTTAAAGTTGTTTACACTAACAAAACGTTTATAAGTAGATAGACTAGTAAACAAATCCAAGAAAACCAATCAATAGCTCACCGGTAAGACACATGATCGACACTTCAACGTCACATGAACAACATACATCGACACATCACTGTCATGTGAATAATATAGCATTGACATTCAGATGACGTGAGGAAGCTGATCCGATCCGAGGAAGCTGGTCTCCACCACTGTTCCTACTCCCTCGATACATGGTCGACAAAAGATTTCACAGTCACTGTTTACGAAAAGATAACATTAGTAAGAGGAAGCCTCAACAGAAAGACTTGTTTGTTTGAAGGATGCCAATGCACATGAATGATCTCATTGTGTTTCAATTCAAAAAGATATCGGATGAGTCGAAAAATACAAAAGAATTCTGCAAAAGCTTTCTTTTAGAGGATACACGAGTTTAATACAGACTTACAACAGCAAACGGTAATGCTTCTTTCCTCAACTGTTTGTTTGCATATCTAATGAGTTACACCAGCAGCCATGGATGCAGAACTACTTGTTGGTTTCTTCTCGATCACTGAAGACAATGCCTTGTCTATTTCAGCAAACACATCTTCCTTGACAACACTTCCATTTATCTGCAGTAACACCCAAAACCTGATGTCAAGTATGCTGCATTCATCAAACACAATAGCAACCAATTGATGCCACATATCGTGCTTAGGCACAGTAAAGATCTATCTAAATTGACTTGCTCCGAGTTTGAAAAGTAATTCACATCCACCAAAATATATGACAAAGCAGCATATCTTGCACTTCAATTGGGAACACTGGCAACCGGAAGAGTTAAGATAATGTCATTTATGGCCTCCAAAATTATGCAAAAGGTCAGTGTAAAAAGGCAAGATAAACAATTACATAAATGCAAGTGTTTAAAGTGACTATGAAAAAACCGGTTTCAAAAAACATTAAAGTAGCCCCAAGGCCCCCAACAAACGGTTCTACAATTTTGTTCAATAAATTTAAACTGAGCTCAAGCAGAAGCTCAAGGCAGTAAATACATCTTAATAGGGTAACATGAGGCACTGGCTCTGCTAATTTACTGAAGCAGATTGGTTTACATATTAAATCCACTTTTGCCATGGAAGTCATGTTTCAGAGTTGCATGAATCGCAATCATTATTCTCCAGCCTAGCCAGAATGGAGACCACATACATCTAGAACCGAGGTAGTTTAAGACAATATACACATCCGATCATTAAGATGCCTTGGTGCAGCAACATATCAGTTATCACTGTGCTTAAAGCACCTCCAGACATGTCGAAGGGGTAATCCCATATATCTGGCCACTTTTCAATTATTGACACATCTCACACCAAATATAGCAAGATATGGAGCCTTGGGCAACCAATTTCAGAGACCTTTTAATACACCAACTAGGAATAATAGACCAGAGAATAGGTAGTGTATTTATTAAACCAGCCATGGATACCATGCTTCCTGCATAAAATGTTTCTTGAAATTAGAAATTTCACTTATTAACTACCCTTTTGCTTTTTCTCTTTTCAAAAGGTGGCGTGACTATATTAGTTTATCATCTATTTGATCAATAAAGCAAATAAATATAGTGTAAGAGACAGGAATCAATTTGAACATCATGTCTAAATTGTTTGATCGTATTACAATCATCCCTTTAGAATTGGTTGCCCAGTTGAATGTATGACTTGCTTTATTTCAACAGCAACAGATAATAAATCGTAACTGATTAGAGTTGGCTCCATACAAATTACAGATAATAAATCGTAACTGAGTAAGAGAGGGAAGCAGGAGGGCATGTGCATACAAATTCAAGTGTCCACTGTGCCTACTTGATTGAAGAAATGATGAATCAAGAAAGTGACATACCCTGACTGTAATGTCTTCATACGTTGCAAGTACAGCTTCAACATTCTGGTGATGAGTCTGCAATCTCAACTTTACCTATATTTACAAAAAGGATTATAAAAAATGCTATGGATAAGAGATCCATCCCAAAATTGAATTATTTGACAACTGAAATCACATGAACTAATGTAAGTACTGATGAGAGATGAAAATTTTGAACTTCAGAAGAAGCTCCAGGAATCCAACCAAAGATATTCTCAGTAAAATACCTTCTCTTCAGTATCATCAAAACGCTGTGTAAGCCTTGCAGCAATTTCTTCATTCTCAGGTGGAGAGTACTTTAGGTGGTATATTTTTCCAGTAACAGGATCAAGCCTTCTGCCAACCACTCGCTCGACAAGGTCTTCTTCAGAAACCTGTGTTAAGTAGATGTTATGCATTTTATCCCTCTGATTGACCAATGAAACTTAAAGTTATAATAAGAAAACTGTATTAGGGGCTAATAGAAAAGATGAGACACTCAGATATATTTCTCATTTGAAAGGATACGTTTGGAATTTTCTTTTTCTTACTCTCTCCTGAATCCAAACTGCAGGAGTGAATATCAAAACGTAGGTCAGCAAAAGTATTTCATATAAACCTTGGAATTTTTTCCTATGACATAACCAAAGTGAATAAGGCTCCATCAATCTCACATCATTTATGTAAACAATCTTGAAATTTTTTAGCATTACCTAATCTAAACAAACTTAAAATGAAGAAATTTTAGATGGATAGAACCTCATGTTAGAATGTCCTTGAAAACCAGGTTCAATTCAGAAGCAACCTAGGCAAGACAAAGAAAATTAACTCTCATGCAACCCTAACAATCCTCGGTATTTTAATCTTTAATCAAAAGAAACATGAATATGGAGCATTCGAAACTTCATGGGATAACAATAGAACACTCTTTCCTAGGAATGAGGATTCTTTGTTTTTTGGTGCTCTGTTGCAGGTAAGATGTCAACAAGGAGGGATATACAGTAGAAATCTATATGCAGTTAACAAAGTAAAAAATATACATCAGTAAGGAGGAATTCTCACTTCCAAAAGAATAAAAATGTCAGGCCGGATTCCAAGATCTTCTAAAGCTTTTGCTTGTGAGAAACTTCTTGGGTATCCATCTAAAAGCCAACCATTTTCTTGAGCATCTGGTTGGAGAAGGCGTTCTTTCACCATCTGTTATCAACAATACCACAACAGTGGCCTTAAGAGTCACATTACTAGAAAAAAAATGGCACAGGATCCAGTGACCAGTTGCATACCATGACAACAATTTCATCAGGGACTAACATCCCTTTCTCCATGTACTCTTTGGCAAGCTTCCCCTTTTCAGTCCCAGATGCAATTTCTGCCCTAAGCAAATCCCCTGCAGCTATATGAACCAACCCATACTGCATATGCAAGCATTACCTGCATCAATCTACTTCTCTTTGCATGCAGTTCAAAAGCATAGGACTAGACTCATCATTGGAGAAAGGGGCCACGAAGTATTTAATAAAATCTAGTTCAAGAGTATTCTAAAAAAAAAAAGAAATAGTGTTTAAGAAGATTGCTTAATTTTAGCGAAAGTTATAATCAAAGCAATTGAAAGATGACCTTTAGAAACAAATGAACAAATGAATTTTAAACAGCATAACATCTATATTGCAAAATAGAAATATCGAAGAAAAGTAATCAAAACAGGCATGGACTAAAAAAAACACTACTCAGGCAACAGTTCTTAAAACAATATGCTACGCAATGCCATGAATGAGACGTCATAATCTACTTATAACAGAAAATATCTGTAAGATGGACGCTGCCAGCCTTTAATTTGTCATACTTGTTGCATGATTCCAGCGTATGTTTCTACTACTATGCATTCGAGCGGAAACTAACTTCTGCGTAGACAAGTAGTAAGCTGTAAAGAGAAATCAGCGGTACTGAAAGCTAGAATCTTGCACCTACCTTCTTCTTGATGAGCTCGCATTGTGTTCCCTTCCCAGATGCAGGAGCTCCGGATATCATAACCTTCAAGGGCTCCTCAGTTTTCACGGCCGCTACAATCTGAACACAAATTTAACAAAATATAGGAGAGCATATTATCAGGAAAAGAAATATCTTCGATCGACCCCAAAAAAAATCATATGAAGATCCTATCTTTTTCCTTCAGAAACGACGCATATGGATCCGGAGAAGAATAATTATCCCAAATTTTTAATTAGAAACCCCATCTTTTTTGTCCCTGACAAATCATGCACATCCAACGGAGTAAAAATGAAATCGAAATTTGGTGCCAAATCCTAAAGAACGCACTGTTGACGTCAAAACCAATCCGAAACATTCAGGATCAAACAAATTCAAATCTCGAGTACAGACCGTGGCTGACTGCTCCGCGACGGCTGACGGATTCCGCAGTGGCCGTGAGGAAAATTGGCGACCCTTGTTGATTCGGCAACGGAGAGCTGTTCTCGATGTCTCCAAGGACTGGGAGAAGATGACGGCTCTGACCGAATTGGGCGTGGGAGGTGAGAGAGCCGGGGGAGGACCGGGCTTTGCAGCTCGTGTAGCCGTCACGGAGGGGAGTGCCAAAGAAGCCATGGTCTCTCCGCCCTCCTCTTCGGCGCACAGGAGACGAATCGGGGGGATGCCGACGGTGGAGTGCTGCTCACCATAAATTGCTGCCCGGACTTAACCGTGACGAATCACACCGTACAATTTGAACAGGAGATTTGTGCAAAATATTGACATCTTTGATGAAAATATTGATGGTGTTGATTCTTTCCCATCGATGCCGCAATAACGCAGTCGATATGATTGAAATTAGTTTATTGTACAGAGTAATTGATTTCATGTTCGAAGTCACGTATGAACACCATATATATTATTTAATATAATAAAAATATATTTTTTAAAAATATTTATCTGATTAAGTTGCCGAATCTATTTATCTGACAACTTAGTCAGATAAATATTTTTAAAAATGTTTTTAAAAAATAATTGATGAAATAATTATTAATTGAATTGTCTCATCAATTAATAAGATCATAGATTTATTTTTATAAAAATAAAATAGAGTGAATTTTAAAAAAAATCAATAATTACCTAGTAACTATCATAATTATGAGATGAACCATGATGGTTATTAGTTATCAATTATTTTTTAATTATTTTTTTCTTATAAATAGACATGATGTTCACACGTGGCTTCTTCCTAATGTCATAATGCAATAACTAGAATGCATAGATTAGTTGACTATAATTTCAACTCAATGGATTAAAAATTAATTATCTCTTTAAACTCAGTAGTTAAAAGAGATAATTAATTTATCTCTTTTATCTTTTGCTAATAATTTGTCGAGCTTATCTATCTTACCAATCTTCTACTTTAGTAGTTCGATGTCTCATTTTGGATATAGAGGTTCAATAAAGTTGATGTAGTCCTTTTAAAGTAATGAAACTTTCTTTCCTCAACTTATAATACACATATCTTATATATATATATATATATTACAACTGATGTAACCAATGCTCAAGGCATAGTCACCCTGATTTGATCATGAGGGATGTCTCAAGGGTAAAATTTATTTAAGTTCATAATGTACTGTGCCCTTGACAACACCACTCATTCTGTTATAACGAGGAGATAGGTTCCATCTCGAACAACCTCGATGACTCGATTTGGCTCTTTCCAGTTTCTCACTAGCTTATCTAAGGATCTAGTTGAGTCGTTAACTTTAGCTGTCTAAAGCACTAGGTTCCTAGTCCAACTCTCCAAGGGTGAATACCTCGGTTATGCAGTTTGGCTACAGCTTTCTTGTATCTCAGCTCCCTTATATGTGCTTTTGCTCTGACTTAGTCGATTAGGTCAAGTCCAACTCGAAGTCCTTTTTCAGAGATTTTCTCATTAAAATTCTCAACCTAATGTGTTGGAAAGACTATCTCGAATGACAAGACAACCTCAATGCTAAAGGCTAAGCTGAATGATAATTCTCTCGACCTGATTTTAGGTGTCATCCGGGAGGCCCACAAGATACTTGGTAGCTTATCTATCCAAGTATCTTTTGCTCTAATAACTTGCTTCTTTAACATTTCGAGAATGGCTCGATTGGTGACCTTGACGAGATCATTAGTATGAAGATGAGCTACTGAGCTAAACCTTAGTTGAACTCGATAGGATTGACAAAACTCTTTGAATTTCATATTATTGAATTAAATTTTATTATCAGTGATGATAATTCTCATAATTCTAAAATAGGTGATGATGTTCTTCCATACGAATCCCTCAACTTATTTCTTAGTGATCGATGCCAATAGCTTAGCCTCCACCCATTTTATAAGATAGTCAACTCCAATGATAATAAATCTTTGTTTGCTTGAGGCTGGTGGAAATGGTCCAAAGATGTTCATACTACATTGGGTGAAGGGTCATCTGCAATTGATCGAACTTAAAAAGATTATCGATTAATATTGTTTCTGTGCAAACTTTTAGCACCTATTACATCTTTGGGCATAGCCTATTGCATCCTTGTGTAGCATCGACCATTAGAACTATTGTCGAAGTACTTTGAAGGCGATGGTTCATCCACTAATGTGCTCCTCGCAAATACTCTTATGCACCTCGACAAACACCCTCTTGGCCTATTATGATATTAGACATTTGAGGAATGATTGACTAAAAGACCTATGATATAGGCGATCATTAGGTATGCAATATCATGCTTGATGATGTTTGACTCTTCGGACCGATGTAAGGTTTCTCGGGAGCATTCTTTTTTTATAACGTAGGATCTTGTCCATCAAGCTCAGCTCTTCCTCGACTATAGCCACATTATGCTTCTTAATAGTTCAGATTGGCAACGTCTCAACCAATGGCTGGCCATCCTTTAAGGCCTAGGTCAATGCTAATCTAGTAAATGCATCGGTATAGGCGTTCTCTTCATGGGGGACTATACCATATTAAGTTGGGAGAAGCTATGAGTTAATTTATATACCTTGATGGGGAACTTTATCATGGTTGTATCTCGAGCTTCATAGTTTTCTTTCACTTAGTTCACTATTATGTATAAGTCGTTGAATACCATCAAGTCCTAGACCTAAAGCCCCTGAACAAGTCAAAGCCTTAGGAGAAGTGCCTCGAACTTAGATTTATTGTTAGAGATTTTGAACCTAACCCAAAAAGCTTGCTTGTACACTTGTTTGTTTGAGCCTTTCAAGATGAGCCTGATATTGCCTTTATTCAAGGTGGCGAGACTATCCACAAATAGCATGCATGCGGGGTGGGGTGTGATTGTTGACCTCAAGCGATGGAGTTAATTATGAGATGAAGTATGCCAACACTCGGTCCTTTATAGCAATCCTCGAAATATATCAGTTGTCGAACTCCTTCAGCTCTATTGACTACCTTAGTAGATGACCCAATATATTGAACCGAGAGAGAACCTATATGTGTGTTTGGTCGGTGATCATGTGCACAATATGTGCTTGAAAATAGGGGTAGAGCTTTCTTGTTACCAAGACTAACAAAAAAATACGAACCTCTTGATAGGGGGTATGGTTCTTCGGGTCCGCTCAAAATATGACTGATATAGTAAATAGATTTCTAAGCACCCGAGACATCCCATACTAACACCAAGTTAATAGCTAGGTTGGTGGCAATGAGGTAGGCTTAGAGTTTCACTTGAGATAGAGGAGGTGAGCTGTGACAACTAAGCGAGGTGGTCCTTCAACCTTTCGAAAGCCTCCTGACACTCCTTAGTCTATAGGAAAACTTTTAGGTTCTTTAATACCCGAAAGAAAGGTAGACACATATCACTAGATTGGGATAAGAATCAACTGACTGCTACTATCCGACTCGTTAACTATTAGACTTCTCTAATCGATTGAGGTGGGCACATCTCTGATGACTCGGTAGCAATATATACCTTAGTCAGTGATAAAGGAAGTGTGTTCCTGATCCCCCAGTGTCATTCTGATTTAGTTATACATTGAGAATGCATAAGTGACAGTGAGGAGTTCGTGACCTGAGGTAGCATCAACCTACTGATCAATCCAAGAAAGGGATAGTTGTCCTTTGAGCATGCCTTGTTGAGATCAGTATAGTCAATATACATTCTCCAATTTTCATTAGACTTTTTTAGAAGTACAATAGTGGTGAGCCATTTGGGGTACTATAACTTGGGAATAAATTCTACTCCTAATAGCTTGCCTATCTCATCATTAATTATTTGTTAATGGTCATGAGCAAACTTGCGAGGCTATTGCTTCACTGGTTGTACCTCAAGAGAAATGTTCATTTGATGTTGAGCTACATTATGGTTGATTCCTGACATGTCTCTAAGTAATCATTGAGGGTGAGAGACTCGATTATTGAATAGGCATCTCATCCCTAGGGATGAGAGACTCGAGTCATTGAATAGACATTAGTATCGCATCGATTTTTGCATCAAGATAGATGCATCTATATGTGGAAAGGGTGGCTGTTGCACCCCTTAGGTGAAAGTACTACGGGTCGAGGGCAAAGCCTCCTCTCTTAAGCATTCGTTGAGATGATCGACGGTTGGACGTTTCTATGACATCAGACCCTCCTTCTAATGCCAAAATATTACAGGAAGAAGTCGTTGAGTAGCTCAATGTGGTATGGACTCATATATATAGGGTTATTTGAGGCACCTGTGAGGTAAAAATGTCAAGCTCCAAGGTGCCACCTACACGAAGATCAAGGTCGATATATGTTTCTTAACCTAATCTTTCTTGACACCCAAGTTTGTAAACCCCAAGACATATGAGTGTGGATACGAGTGGTCAAGAAGGTGATCCTCTCTCTTTTCGTTGTGTTGAAGATGTACTTTTATATTTGGTTGTATAGGATACGAGAAGGTAGCCTCTAATCACCTTTAACAATCTTCCCTTGACTCTTATCCTCTTATCCTATATTTAATTGTATAGGATACGACAAGGGAAGGATAGTCAAAACCATCTGCCTTGGACCTTGTGCATGTAGATAGACCAGTGAAAGTGAAATGTGACCTTCATTATCTTCTTCTACCTTAGATTAGATACCACGTGATGATCATGTATCGGATAATGATTAAGTGACTATACTCACAATCAAATATTAATAAAATACTCATTTGTCTAAATGTTCATAATATTTAAGTCGTAACAAGTAATATTTCGTGCCAATCAAAAGAATTCAATCATATGTAGTTTTACAGAATTGAAAACGAATTCACTTAAACAAAAAATAAACCGATTTTTATTTGCCGGTTCGGTCAGGTTTATAATAAAATTTATCTCCAGACCGGTTCGCTCAGGTCGCCCAATTCGTTTCAATATTCCCCTTTTCCGCTTTGAAGCCCTAAGTCGCGCGGACTAGCGATTATTTCGTGGCCGCCGTCGGGATCTCGTGCCGTCGATATACCGCCGCCGCACGCCGCCTCCGTCCTTCAGGTAAAGATTCCACTTTACCTATCTTTCTCTATATCTTTCTTTACCTCGCACGGATGAGTGGTCCGGCGGACACGCGGTTATTGGCTCCTCTCTTGTCCGCCTGGCCCCAGCTTTTAGCCGCCCAACAAGTCGCAGCAGCTCCTGAGAGTGCCACAACCGTCAACGGGGAAGGTCCTCGGTTCCTTAATCGACAACCTTTCTTTCGTCGAGTCTCTTAACCTAGAGTTTCTGTTCGTTTTAAAAGAATCCGAATAACGAACACCCCTGTGGGTATTTGTGTTCAAAGAACTCATGAAAGATTTCTCATGCTAGTAAGAAAACGTCGCTTTTGTGGGCTGGTGTTCCTACCCAGTAAATAGTTCCGCAACTCCAGCAACAAAATCTTATAACATGCCGCAATTCAAATGTCTCAAAGATTTAAGCTATAAATATATATTAGTATCGTCTTTCATGATGAAAACAGCACGAATATCATTCTGCTGTGGAATTGGTTCACGGAGAACTAAGTCTTGTATAGCAAAAGAAAATTCTTGGTGTTATCCTTTACTTTCAAGAACTTAAAGAGTAAATTCTTCTTATATTTCTTCCACTATTCTATGTTAATTTTGGAATTATGTTGACTTTTATGACCATTTCTTTAGTATCAAAACTAGGCAGTGTTTTTCTAACTTATTAATATTTTTATTATATCATTTGTTGGTAATAATAATGTTATGTTCATGTATTGGGCATTGCAACAACCGTTTCAAGATGCTTGCATTGTTCATCATAAGTATTTTCTTCTTACAGAATATTGGTTAGAAAAAAAATTAGCATAGTAGGAACACAAAGTGAGTGAAAGAATCATATTGATTTCTTCAAAGTATATCATGTTTTTTTTAAAGTATCTTCTTGGTAGGTCTATTGCTTTTTCACTACCTTGAATGTTGCATGTATAAACAAGGCCAGCATGCTGGCCATCAATTAAATGTTTTAGCTGGGGAAAGTTTTTTTTCTTAGATACTACTCTCATTTTGTGCTCAATCCATTTTTTTCACTCAGCAACCATTAATTGTTTAAAGCCTAATGTGGCAGCTCTATGGAAAGCATTCTCTGGCTATGGCGAGACAAATTTGTTGTTTAATACATTTGATTGGATGTGGCTACTTGTCTGTTACATTAAAGGAAAGAATTTCCTCTGTTTGTCCATCAATTATGTGAACATTTTGGAATTTGGCCACAAGTTGTTGGAATGATTTGTGGATTAGTCGTATTGACAATGCAAAAACATAGTCATTTTCTCTATGATGTTTTAAACAATTGCTATTATCTGTGCATAAAAGTACAACTTGTAACTTTATGTGATCAATCTTACTATTGGGGCAATAGGATGGATTCTATTTGAACAAAATGCATGCATATCAAGGAAATCATGTAACGACCATGTTTACCAATGCCATTATTTAGTCAGCCACACTTTTCCATGCTAGTAATTATGTGGTATAGGTATATTATAATGGATGCCCTTCATACATATGTATCTGTGTATATATATGTGTGGTTGTGTGTGCATGTAAATATATAATTCTGTGTGTTTACGTATCTGTATACAATCATTAGGTTTTGTTTCTATGTGCTTTTGGTCCATTAGATAAAGCTCAGTATCCTGATCTCCCATCCAACTGTTACATAATTGATTCTGTATAGAAAGTATTAGTGCGACTATATTAGAGAGTGTCGTAGACACCGATAAGGGAAGTTTGCTAGAGTATCTGTACGTTAAAGAACATTCAGTCTAGATTCCATGTTGCCAAATCAGTTAGTAAAAAATGATTCCTTCAGGTTGCTGGTTTAACAATCTGACTATGATGGAAATTCAGTGAGTGAATTGTGGCTTTTTAACTATTGAACTGAGGATGAAATACTTAATGGTTAAATGCTTGTCCGATGTCACCATTTTGGTGGGCTTCATTGTTGGATGCTGTGCTTCTAAAAAAAGAATCTTTTGTATGTATTCCTTTTATGCTCTTGAAGAATGCTGTCATGACTCATGAGCGTGCTGCCACTACACCAGAAACTCTTTGTATTCACTTTCTTTCATTGTCTATTTATGGTACTTTATAACTCTCTTGTTCTTGTTTTTTGAGAAGGTTTGATTGTCATGGGGCCATCATATATAGATTCTGGGTTATGGAGAAGTGCATACTGAAAATCAAGCTTAAAGTTCCGGGAACTGGAATATGCACCAATAATCCTCCAGACAGAGACAATGCTGTTCTTCTGTTTGAGGACAATGCAGCCACTGACATAACGTCATCATCTGAAGAATATACTCCTCTAAGTAATTGGAAAGACATGAAAAGGAAGCGTGGTCACAAAGCATACCACAAGAAAGGGAAGAAGGTTAAATTGGTCAAAGATCCATCACCTGACCTTGTTTCTGTAAATAAAGAAGATAACTTGGAACAGGTTGATGATGATCAGCTTGGATCTGAAATTGATCCTGAACCACCCAATGGGTCTAATACACCTAGTGTAATGTCAAATATTGATACTGAGATGCCCAATGATAGACCATCTGAAAAAGCAGGGCACAGTCGTGTTAAAGTGAAACTTAAGTCTTCCAGAATATCTGAACCCCACAGAAGTAGTTCGGATGCACAAACACCAAGTGAAACAGAAAAGAGCAACCCACAAGTTACACTAAATATTATCGAAGCAGCTTCTGGAAAGGAGGAGAGTACTTATTCAGATGGACAGACATCAGAGATGCACAATGCTGTTTCGGAGAAATTGCCAAGAAAAGCAGGGAGCATTAGGATTAAATCTTCAAGAGGTTTAGGTATTTCAAGTGAAATCATGCAAGACAGGAATCTTGGTAAACTTGTTATTCCTCCACAGATGCTGAGCAAGAAGAATTCAGTTGTTGCAGATCCTGCAAGAATGCAGGACTTACCAGTGCCCAGGAACTCAAGACAAAAGGAAAGAACACAGCCCTACAATGATGCTCGTCATAATGAGAAAGAGTTGAGTGCTGCCCTGGTGGTAAGTCGGACTATTGATTAATGATCAGTATGTCAGCACAATCCTGTCTTCTTAGTTTGCTACCTGGTGATATTGGAAGAAAATTCTCTTAATTTTTTACGGTTCAGGTGATAAAGAAAGTGATGAAAATGGATGCGGCGGTTCCCTTCAACACCCCAGTTGATCCTGTAGCTTTGGGAATACCTGTGAGTATCACATAAGTAATAACCAGCACACAGTTATTTAGTATATATAAGGCAGTTCAAAATCATTCATTTATCTTATGTCTGTTGTCTTATGGATACTTCAAGAATTAAGATCATACTTAGCAGTTCAAAATCATTCCCCCTTCCTTACCCAAGGAATGCTCACATATCAACTTGGCCAGATTTTTTTATTATCCATGAGCATGCAAGTTCATAAATAAATCTGATTAACCTCTTTTGACAATGTTTCTCTCATAAGTTCTCTTTTAGTGCTTGATTAGAAATTTTAACATGCTAGACTTAGCTTTTAACTTATAATTGCATGCTAGATTTACATCTAGGGTTTTATTGGGAGAGATATATGTAGGACTCACCGACTCCAAACAGTTTGGACATTACGTCTTGTTGTATCTGTATCCATGTAGAACACGAACCACACATTTAATCCAAGTTCAATAATTATTATATTTGAGTAAGAGTGTAAGACATATTTTGTACCTACCATCATGTTTGAACTTTGAACTAATCCATACCCAAGAAAATAACCTAATGGATTCATGCATGTCCATTTTATTAGGTCCGATTTGGGTCAGGTAAGTCCATTGACACTGCTGGATCCTTAAACATATCATTCATGGTAGATTGTATTTGGTGTTTGCAATGAAACATATCTGTACTCATACAATGTGTTTTTCACCAACATTTGGATCATCATTTCCAGGATTATTTTGACATTATTGACACTCCTATGGACTTCGGCACTATAGCTCACAACCTAGAACATGGTCTTAAATACATGAATTCAGAAGATGTTTTCAAGGATGTGCAGTATATCTGGGACAATTGTTTTAAATACAACAATAAGGGTGATTATGTTGTGGACCTTATGAAACGGGTGAAAAAGAATTTCACAAAGTATTGGCTGGCCGCTGGGTTGTATTCTGATACAGCAGGTATTGGTCATTTTTTTTCTGGCTACAATTTTTTCTTTTTTTGATTTCTCATCTTGGATAGTAGAAGTGACAGACAGCTGTATTTCTCATCTTATTGAACTCCTTTATTGCTACAGAAGATTGACTGTGCCTGCATCCTTCAGAAAGAAAAAATATTGGTTAAATGTTTGTGCATAGTTTGTGACCAGCTATAGTTTTTAAAGCTTTCAGTGCACATCACTTTTTATGTTCAATTTCCTAATTCGGAAAAAGAAATTGTGGTAAGTTCAGGGATGGGCAAACCAGTTTAAATATTTTTGTCAAGACAAAGTTTTAAATACTTGTTGGACAATGGTTTTGGCAGCTTTTTGGGCTGGTATGATACCAAATATACTGGGTGGTATACCTGTACCACCTGGTATCATTTGATAAAAATTAATTAAAGAAGGAAAATGAGCTGTATGCTTAGTGGTGTGGTACCAGTAACTTGGTTGGGCCCGTGGATGCTTGTCAGGTGTACTGTTCATGGTTGAAGAAGCTCTGAATCCTAAAGGATGGATTAAATGAAAACTCTGGAAATGTTTACAGCCGATGAAGTAATTGATGTTTGTGCTGTTTCAAATAGAACAAGTGTGTTCGAGTGTCACTGCGTCAGACACAAGAGATACAAGATACCAGTGTTTTCACAAGCATATAATGTGCTGATAACACCATAGAGGATTCATAAATGTGCTTTCAATGATTTATTTGACATATAAATATGTTTTTTGCATGCGGAAAATTAACTTCATTAACTACATATAAATTTTAATACATCCAAAACATGAAATCCTGAAATCTGAACATGAGGTTTTAGTATGTTGAAGTTGGAGGCATACTTTTTAGAGTCATAGTGGAGCACTGGAGCTCAAAGTTCATTGCAAATGTAGCTAGTATCAGAGATGAAGGGTTTGCTTCAGTCTGATTTCTTTGTAGGTTGTACTTTATTCTATTTTATAAGTTCAAAGTTAAGATGCAAAAGAGGTACAAAAAGCATTCATAGGCTGGCGTAAGAATATGAAAGATCATTATACTGATCACCCAATTTTATTTTCCATGATTTGATGTTTTAAACTATATTAGTGTTGTAAGATTTTCTGGTAGTAATTAATGCACAACGTATTCTGATAATCTAATCATTCACATTTTTGATGTGTTAATGATAAGTCTGTCACTTGTTTTGTTAGTTTTACATGAATAGTATGTGATTTTCACTACATGTTCAAAATTGGTAAGCATATATAGAAAAGAAGTCTTAAGTTCAAAGGGGAACCGTAAATATCTGGTAGGTAATTCTGTCTACCAGAATGCAAGTTTAAGATAAATTTGGATAGTGAAATCATCAACAACAGGGCAATAATAGTTATGTAATGGAGGCAAAAAATAATTGTCGAATGGTGATGATGCGATTAACTTTAGTCTGAATAATGCTGGCTTCTTGATACTAGAACTCCTCCTTAATGTTCTATTTAAGCTTTTGTTGAATGGTTCCTTTGATTGTTCAATTAAGCAATTTCTTTTTTCTCGCTTCTCATGAGGCCCAGCTGATAGCAGTTTATTCAGGCCATACCTTTGGTTGAGAATTCCTTGGTCCATGTGCTTATGTAATATTCATGGCTTATTTCTGTTCTTCTATTCAATGTTATTTTTGTTGCAGATGTGACTTGTTGGATTACTAACTTTGGTCATGTATGTTTAGTTCGTTTATGATTTTCCTGTTATGTTTATGTTGGTAAATTCTATTACGTGCAGTATAGTAGTTCTCTAGTTCCTAGATTTGAGATCATTTCATGTGTAAAACATTTATGGTTGACAATGAACTGCTGAATTTTTATCACAGGGATATTTATCCCTTTTTCTGCATCAATGTATGACTATTTTTTCTTGGAAGTCATACCATTCATTTGAATATTAAAAGATGTGAACATCTCTATAGGTGTCTCTGAGAGCACTCAAATTGAGGATGCTTCACAATCAGGTCAGGATAAGCTGTATCCCAAAAGCAAGTCAAAGCATAAACGCCGACGTTATGGGTAAGTCATTTTTAAACAAGAGAAACTAAGTTCTCTATTATCTCTTTATTTGCTGTTATGCTTTTAGTCTGATTTCAAGTTGAGATATCGGCTGTTCAATCAATCTGATGGTAGGAGAAGCTCCGTAGACGAATGAAAGATCAGTTTCTTGTGGGTGGTCTGGTCTGTTGTTGTGAGAGATGAAGTGGAAGGTGAGAAGAAAAAGATATTTTATTAGGTAAATAGATGCAAAATAAGGTTAGAATACTATAATAAGTTGAAGAATGAGGAGAGGAAGAAATGGAAAAGGAACATTTTAGTGTTGGCATTTCCTTGCTCTGAAAAATGCATATTGTGATTTATCTGCTTCATCTTTACAACTACCTTGTTGCATATATTGGATTACAAGCATATTTTTTCTTTAATGACGATCAATGAATGCAGTAAACATATTAATGTGTTTTTTTATTATTGAGGACCAGATGGATATTGCATATAGTTCTTTAGGTCATTTATAAATCCTTTGACCTTGTCTATCAACATACTTGAACTAAGTTTGGTGTATTATATCACAGAATCGATCAGCACAAAAGCGATTGTCTCTGTGCTGTTTGTGTTGTTAGGCGTCGCAGAAAGGAACGAGAAGCTGTTGAAAGTCAAGCTTATGCAAGTGATCCTAATATATCTGGAGAGTTAAAGCTAGAGGTGGGTGGCAAGATTGCTAATGCTATATTATCCCTCTTACTCTGCATGGTATTTGGTTATATACAGTTTTATTCGACATGTGAATGAAGTTTTATTTTGAAGTTTGCAACATTCTGTAGTTAATTCTAAGTGCTGAAACACCTGATTGTATAATCAAACTTTAGATTGGCTTCACCTTTACATTGTGTTGGATTATATTGATAATATTTGTAGAAAGTTGGAAGTCATCAATGGTTCTGGCCTTCACAAGAACATGTACGAGAGTTAAAAGAGATATTAGCTTGTCGTTTTGACCATCCTCCCATAATAACCATAGGAAACTTTATAAGAAAGAATCTCACCACAGTTGAAAGAGGATATAGTCCACTGAGGATTTCACATCAACACATTATTCAAACAATAGCCAGTGATAAGCATCTTACAGATTTGAAAGGCTGGTCATCAAATCAAAAGTTTAGTCCATACGAAGTTAAATAGGATCAAATTAGTTTGGATGTGATATGGTCGAGTGGCAGTCTAGTCGACGCTGCATGGTGCTTATCTTTCATTTTCATGAGTTTTAATCATGTCAGACTTTATTCTTGTGTGTTCTTTTCTTGCATATGTATTCTATATTGACATGTCCTGGTCTATTTTCCATGCTGATAAGTTCAAGTCGGGGTGCTCATTGGGCAGAATCGATGTTTTTTTGATTGATTGCATTGTGTTATTATCTTGCACAGAATGAAACTTGATGGTGTCACCTTCTTAATCACTTAGTTGGTAATTCTAAATGTTACGAAGGTTTTGTATGCTATATGGTATCTGTTCATGAAGGTCTTGTATGCTATATGGTATCAGTTCATTTTTAGAAGGCCCTTTCTAGTTTTAAACATGTCAACTCACATTGGTTTGCATGGTTGCAGTAGCCTTTTAGCTTCTTATAATGGTTTTTGGTCTGTCTTTGTAGGAAATTACGAATCCTAATATATTGGGTATAATCGGGACAAACAAACTTGTCTCACAACTTTAAGTTCGAAACTCTTGAAGGATATCTCATGCTGAAAATGTAGGCGATAAAATTCTTATGTTTATTCATAATTTCATTTGCCTTACCTGAGTTGTGATTTAGATTTTGATTTTTGAACTGAAGAATCATGATTTGCATTCCTGTCGATAGTTGCATCCCACAACTGTTCTATTCCGATGTCTGATTGTCTATCCTTTTGTGTAAAAAAACTTAACATACAATGTTTTGAACTCTGATGTGTGACACAGTTCTAAGTAGATGCTTAATAGCCATTCTTCTTATGAGCACTTAATTTCAAATCATTGGTCTTCATCAAAGGACCAAGTTGAACCTAACATACATTGCTGTTATGTACCAAGTCTTTTTTGCTCACACTACTCGCACTATTCAATGGATCTTGAGGTTATCTCCCCCTTTATTTTCATTCTAAATTCTAGTCTTTTTTTTTCCTGTTCTCACAGCTTCTATACATTAATTCAAATTTCCATTTAGTAAACTTGTTTGAATTGATTTTGCATTGCAGGAAAGCTCTCCTTTAGATAACCCTTGCAGTGAGGATGCTACCTCTAGTTTGGGCCATTCCCCAGAGACTGATCCAAATGCCGATGCAGATGAAGCTGATGATGAAGAAAAGTTCGAGACTTCTGAGCAACTAGACTCTGTGCAGCTGGAGAAGCAGGAAATGGACACTGAAAACGAGTTTGACCATGATAAAAATGGTGGGAATAATCAATCTTGCCACCAGTCTCTTGAGAATGGAACTGAGGACTCTAAATCACAGTTGAAAGGACGGTACACAGAAGCAACACAACCTGAAGAGCAGAAAGTTATCCAGAGCAAGGAAACATCTGCACATCATTATTTGCAGATGACAGAAAACCAAGAGGTAATTTTTGATTGTGTTTGCTTGATATTTAAATGCATCATCATAAATGATTGATGTTGAGTGTTTGTTCCTCGATGATGAGTCGTAAGTCTTCTATCAGTGAAGGCAGTAGTGGTGATGCGTGCTTGCTTTTGATGATTGATGCCTCCTTTTTCATATTGATGATTTGACTGCAGGAATCACCTGAACAGGATCAGCTGAATAAGATGCAAGAGAACCATCTGGTTCTACGGCTATGCAATAGCCTCTTCCCAAGCAACCTTAAGTCTGTCTGGAACGGCCCCCATTCTTTGAGTCGGCGTAATGTTTCTTTTCGAAACGGCCCCATTCATTCTGCCGTTGAAGCATTCATGAAACAATAATTCGTGTGTTCCTTTCTTTTCCTCTCCAATTCAAGAGCATGTCCTGTGAACCGATAACTGTCCTAGTGTATGTATCACAGGTATGCATGCTGGGATATTATTAGTAGATCTAATAGAAGAGTCCTAAAACTGTATATAATGACTCAGATTTCCTTGTCATAACCATAAATTTTCATGACAAAAGGATCTGTCAAGGATGTAGTAAAGCTGAGTTTGATGTGATAGAATAAGGTTATTCCTGGCGTTATTTGGTATTAATCTGCAGAATATACTGCTGTTCTTGTTCAAGCTTCCGGAAATAATGTCATCTAACAATAAGATTTTTAACACTAACTGCAGATGGTGTTTGCTCATCAACAACTCCAGTAGACTTGGGAGAAGACAATGGTGCTCGTGCAACGTGATTCATCAGGACCGTTCGACTGGGTAAGAAATACATGAAACCAATTGTTTCCCCATAAACTCGATCATTATCTAGTAGTGTCGATGGATATAGATCTACTGTTACTGTCATTTGTGGGCTTCATTACTATAATATTTATTTATGGTATTGCTGCAGCTAATTCAATCATAATCAATCGGTACCTGTGGTGTAGTTCTGATCCCTATACTTTATTTGTTGCATTATCGAGTTTGATGCTGTGGATGAGGGGAGATGCGGATGAATCATATAATCAATCCGAGCAAGCCCGGATAACACGAAGGTTGATGCAGAATGTTAAATCATCCAAGATATGCTTGGCTTGTGTATATATATATATATACACGGATGCACTTCATCACATAGAATTGTGCGCTCGTAATACCTGCCTGCGTGCCTGGCTTGGATCGGCCCGATCCGGTCGCTTCTCCTCGCCGCAAGTTGCGACGGCCCGCTGCAGGGCCCCGACAACCTGCCCCATGGTGGGCCGATCGCACCCCACCGCCCGCACGCACTCCGCCGCCACGTACCCCACGTACGCCACCGCCGCCACCTCCTCCGCCGACGCCGGCGCCACCCTTCGGTCCATCACCCGCCCGATGTCTTCCGCCTCGATCCACGGCACCGCCATCTCCACCACGTTCCTCGGCGTCGCGCTGCCTTCCCCCTCCTCCTCCGTCCCCTCCGCCTCCTGGCTCCGGTGTATGGCCTTGCAACCCGTCACCAGCTCCAGCAGCACCACCCCGAAGCTGTACACGTCGCTCTTCTCCGTGAGCCGCCGCAGCCGGTAGTACTCCGGGTCCATGTAGCCCACCGTGCCGGCGGCGACGCTTCCCTCGTCGTCCGGGCTCGTCACCGATAGCCCGAAGTCCGCTACCTTCGCCGTCCACTCCTCGTCGAGCAGGATGTTGGAGGACTTGATGTCGCGGTGGATGATGGCCGGCACCGCGTACGCGTGCAGGTACTCAATTCCCCTCGCCGCGTCGAGGGCCAACCGCAGCCGCGCCGGCCACGAGCTCAGCGGCGACGGCGGGGCGATCGGCTTCCGGTGGAGATTGTCGTGCAGGGTGCCGTTGGCCATGTGCTCGTACACCAGCACTCGCTCTCCGCGCTCCCGGCAGAAGCCCAGCAGGCGGACCAAGTTCTTGTGGTTGATGCGCGAGAGCAGGGCCAGCTCGGAGCTGAAGGCGCGCTCACGCTGTTCCGCGTCGCGCAGGCGCTGCTGCTCGTTCCGCCGCGACATGGACGTCGCCGCGGCTGCCGGCACTTCTGCGCGCTTGATTGCGACGTCGCATCCTCCCGGCAGCGTCGCGCGGTAGACCGCACCGAAGCTGCCGGAGCCAATCTTGTGCGCCTCCGAGAAGTTGTCGGTGACCTTGAGGAGGAATTGGATCGAGACCTCTTCGATGTTGGCGCCGTCTAACAGACCGCCGAGAGTAGGCTCCACCTGCGATGATGGTGCCGCCAGCGGAGGCCGCCTGCGTCGGCCATTGCTCCGGTTCTTGAATGCAAGACACACCAACAAGGTGCATAACCCCAGGCCAAATCCGACTGATCCAAGAACCATCAGCAACACCCTCCCCCTGTTGCTGTTGCTGCTTGCCTGTTGAGACGATGATGGATTGCTGGGAGGTTTGGGGCTGAGTTGGAGCTTGCAGGATTTGCAGATCCCTTCGTCATCGGAAGGACACATGGTGCCGGAATCCGGCAGCACACCGCAGCCGCAGTTCGCGATGGGCGAGCAGGTCCCCGGCAGGACGCGGTCGTAGACGGTGTGGTTCTTCCGGAACAATTCGTTTCCCCAGCACACCAGCGAGTAATCGATCAACCTAACGCCGCATATAGCGTCGCCCTTCGCCTGAATCACGATGAATTGCTCGTTGGCGAGGTGGTCCGGCGGTTGAGAGCCCTTCCCCCAGCAGAGGACTGTTCCATTGGACCGCAGCACGCAGGTCTTGTTCTCCCCCAGCGCCATGGAGACGATGTCGAATGGGGTCGGATCCCATTCCGGCGCACCCGCACCCCAGCAGCTCAGTTTACCGCTGTCGGAGACTCCGCACACGTGCCGTGTCCCTGCGGCCACCATGCTGAAGTTCCCGGTCGGCTCCTTCCCGACAACCGCCGCGTCCTTCCCAAAGCATCGGATGGCGCCGCAGCCCAGCAGGCCGCAGACGAAGTCCCGCCCCACGGCGATCTCGGAGAAGCTCATCCCGGCGGGGATGGCTAGTTCGGTCCACCTCCAGCACTGCGGCCGGTGCGCGCCGCCAATTAGGCCGCAGACGTGCTTGTCGCCGGAGGCCAGCGCCGTGATCGCCGGCCCTCGGTAGACTCTCTTCCCGTACCTCTCGGATCCATGGCCAGGGAACTCCCACCACCTCATGGTGGCGTAGGAGCCGTCGGGAGGGACGGTGAGGCCGCAGAGGAAGCCGTCGCCGGCGGCCACCGCGGAGTAGGCCATGCGACGGGCGGGGTACTTCCACTGGCGCCGGCTGGAGGCGCTAGTGCAGTTGAGCTCGTACCGCCGGTCCGCGATCAGCGACGGCACCAACGCGCAGACCAAGGTGACGTCGGAGAAGTGGGCGATGGCGACGGTGGAGAACGCGGAGGATAGCACGGATGGAGAGGTGGAGAGGCAAAGGATGTGCAGGAAGATCAGGAGTAGCCAAGGCGACATTGGGATGGTGGGGTGTTGGTGATGCTGGTGGAGAATCTCATCGTAACTGGAAAGGATGGAGAGACACGGAGGAGGGAGGAAGTTTTGTACAAGCCGAAGCTTCTTCTGTTCGAGAAGGGAAGAGAGAGAGAGAGAGAGAGAGAGGCTGCGGACGCGGTTTTGCAGACTGCAATGAGGAAGGAATGAGACCTTTTGCGCTCCCCAACGTGGATTTGGCGCACCCTTCCTCGCACACGTACACACACAAAGCACCCCTCCCTCCCCGCCCCACATCCCATTCGAACCTCTAATGTCGAGTCCATCGGCGGTGTCAGAATCACCGGACGGATTCGAGATTCTAGGAAGGCTTCCCCCCCGCAAGAAAGGGTCAGAATCTGAGTGCCAAGACTGTTCCAGCAGAGATTGCAGGTTGTGCAGTGACAGTGAACATCAAAGGACATTAAATTTGGCTTCTATCGTCCCATCAACAGTGACATCTGAAGATTAATCGTGAACCTTAATTGACTTTACTCTCCAAAAGGCTCTTATTGTTCTCATTATTTAGGTTGCAGTTCGATCTCTCAGAAACCGTTCCTTCTCTGTGGTCGAAAGGCTCAGCTCAGCTGCTTCTCCAACATGTTGGTCTCTATGGCCGCAGCTGTTTGGGTTACCTTTGTCGAGCTTTTGCTATCACAGCTGTGAGCTAAAGAAAGAAACCTCCATTCTTCTAATTAGATCTGCGCAGCGCGAGGTCATGGCGATGAAGAACATGATGTCGCAGGACTGTTCTTAATTGCTCGGTATGCATCCGCTGCAGTGACTTCCTGTTTGATAAGGTTGATTATATTTGCATCAACTAAGACTGTGGTTTGGTTATTTGATTTCGAAAGGAAAAGTGGTCTCTTTCCGTTGACAGAGAATGGGAAAGCGTACATTTGATAGGTTCTAATGTTTAATGCTATGTTTTATTAACATTAGTTGCTTTGAGTCAACGACATGGATTATTTTTATTTTGTGATCCAGATTTCTACATGACATTTTGGTTGTCTGAATCATGGCAGTGGTTCGGAGCCAACTCAGAGATATTTTCACGATCGACATAGGTTGATATATATGATTCGGGTTGAGACCCTATAAAACTATGTTAGGGCGTACTCGATAATGTCTTTACAATGCTTAAGTTAGTATGGATTTGAAGAGTTGATCAAATACATAGTTCAAAAGATGTAGTTGATCGTAGAGAGATCCCTTGCGAACATATCAAGGGGATCTTTTATAATACGGTATATGATTATTAAATTAAGGTTATAGTTAATACACGGAACGATTATTTGTACTGTTCAACCATTAATAGGATCGTAGACAGTAATGGCTCGTCGAGAACACTTCTCCTATATTGTCGACCTCATGGAGTCGAATCGATCCCCTGTGTGCCTTGTAGGTTTGGATCTTATACTACATGTCGGTCGAATGGGTAAGAGTATCGACCAAGTGGAGATAATGTATCAATGAAATATGATATATTCTATGATTGAGATTTCTGCATGATATATTTTGGTTATCCGAATCGTGGCATCGGGAGTCTAGATGATTCGGGTTGAGACCCTATAAAACTTTGTTAGGGCATGCTCGATAATGTCTTCGTGATGCTTAAGTTAACGTGGATTTGAAGAGTTAGATCAAATGTATAGTTCAAAAATGTAATTGATCATACAGAGGTCCCTTGTGAACATATGAATATTTTATAATACGATATGTGATTGTTGGATTGAGGTCGTATTTAACACAGGGAACAATTATTTACATCGTTCGACCAGCAATAGGATCATAAGTAGTAACAATCTGTTGAGAAAACTTGTCCTATATGACCGACCCTATGGAGTTGAATCGATCTCTTTGTTGGTGCCCCGTAGGTTCGGACCTTATACGACATATTGATCGAATGAATAAGAGTATTAACCAAGTGAAGATGATGAATTGATGAAATATGATATATATCCCTCTTATCGGGCCATGATAATATTTTCAGTAAAATAAAAAATATTAAAATTGTTATTTATAATTTATAACAAAATATTTTAGGATCTTTCAGTACTTCAAAAATCATTATAACAAATTATCTCGCGTTATCTAACCATAATATCCACGTCAGACTTAACAAGACATATACGTGTCTATATAATAAGATGGTTTATGATCGATGATGTTAAACAAAATATATCTTTTAACCCTTCAATTACGAGAAAGTTCAGGTGAAAAAAAGAAGAACAAAATTGTGATAGATATGTCACCAATGTCAGCGTCATGCCTTTGGTTTCATACTCACCTAATTCCACCAAACATTATCTTTTTGGATGTGGAGATCCTCTCTCCGACATGGTTAAGTAAAAAGCTGAAGCGATTCACACCTCAAAGGAGAAGGCGACTTCGCAATTATGCATGTGAACGACGACTCCTCGTCCAACACAATGACTCCAAGCACAGGTCAAATCCGAGCCAGAAAGAGAAACATTAGCATTGTATTCACAGCTTTAGATTAGCTCAATCTTGTTATTATTCGTTTGGTCAACTCAGATCTCGATGCAACTTAATTCATTTATCCATTTGCTTCAAGAGAAAAAAAAATTCAAAATGTTTCATAGCATGAAATTTACTCACATGATGTCGAAATTATGACACATAGATGACGGTCAATCACATCCACACTTGGTAAACATGTTACCATCAACATGACTAACATATCATTGCCTCTACGTCACGATGATCGCCAACCCCATTAGATTCACATGTCATGTGGGGTCGAAGTGTATGTGGTCGATAACATTACATCTATCGAAGTTGACTCGGCAAGTTGTTACTTTGGTAACTATACAATATCACTTATGATGATATGATATATGCGTAATCTTTCATAACATTTAACCACGATCTCAAATATAAGAGTCACATATAACAAAATTCACTAACGTACACTTTGAATCATTAGACTTATTACGATATAATGACACGTACATACGTAGATTCAGCTAAGCAATAAATTAATTTAAGTATCGAAAGGATTTTATCGGATATATGATCTCTCGATGTCACTCTTTCGTGAGACCAATAAGAAAAAAAAAGATCTCGATTGACTTCAAATCCATAAAATATCCAAAATCGAAGTTAACATATGTCTTCCGTGTGAACCCTACCGAGCCAAAGGAAGAATGGGATTCCAAAAGTCTTGAGTCAAAGGGGCAACCTTTTCATTGGTGTGTGATCACGGACATTGGAAATGAGGCAGCTCTACTTTTGGGACCAAGAATTGGCATGGAAAAGGAACGACCTCTCGAGATTTCCACCAGTCTTAGCAGTCTTCGAATCGATCTCTCTGTTCATACCAAGCAAACATTAATACACGTCCATATCAGCGTTTTGAAGATCCTATCATCGTTATTTTTGGATCATTTACGTATATATATATATGTAGATACGTACAATTCCTAATTCTCAGCTGCAAAATAACATGAAGCAATAGCATCAATACATCACTAGACGGAAATGTTGGTGTGATGATGTTAGTAGCGATTAGACATGGATCAACCTGGAAATACGTGGAATTGGAGGGACCCACATATAAAGAACCCATATACATAACTCAAATCTTTGTAGAATACGAGAATACCTCAAATATCTATAAATCGAGGATAGTTGTTTTGGGTATCAATCTATTTCGATCATTTGGGTTAACATCGATATACCATGTGTCGTTATTTCAAAGAGAAAGAAAGAAAAGAAAATTAGGAATGAGTGACGAATGAAGAAGGAAAGAAAGAAGACAATGAAGAAGAACGAAGGAAAGAGTTAGAAAAAAAATGAGGAAGGAGGAGAAAAAGATATCTCTATAGGTGACTGTGCATGGTGGCGATGTGCAATGAAGCACATGACTTGTTACTTTTCTTTTTCTACATACGAATTGGATCGGTAGATACCACTCGTTTCATATTTATCTTTATAAGTCTTTTACTCCTCATCTAAAAAAAAATTAGACCATATAAGGTTGAGTCTAAGCTTCGTTAGCATGATAAAATAATTTATTTTACTTATAGAAGTAAGACTATACACATTGAATTTTTCTAAACATATATTTATTAGTATGAGTTTTGTGATCAAAATAATCATCAATTCTATAAAGAGGTGTTAGAAAAGCTAAAGAAATTATGCATCTTAACAAATGAGCTTTAAGTTGTTAGAAAAGAATCCAAAATAGCTTCAACATTTCCCATCACGATATAAATATTTTTAATTAGACAATGGAAAAAGAGGGACAGAAGAAAGACTTGATTTAATTGAATGTCCAATAACTGAAAAAAAAATAAAGTTTAGAAAGAATTCAATATGACTATAAGCTTTAAATACATTTAAATTGATAAATTGAGAAGGTGTGAAGAGAAAAAAAAAATTGGAAAAGAAGAAGAAATTATGTCTGACTTTGATTTGAAAAAAAATATTATGATGAAATAATTTTTTTTTTCTTTTTGTGTATCAAAATGAACTCTTCATCATAATATCAATTTATTATCAAAAATAAATATTAACTAGAGTAGCATAAACAGTACGAGAAAAACCACATAGTCCGTTTCAAACCTCCATTATTACTAATAATGATAACAGATTTATAATGAATATTCTCTAAATAACTAGATGATCATAATAATATTAATAATATAAATCTTGATTCAACAATAACATATCATCATTAGCTTAGATAGATTTCATCAAATAAAAAATTTAGATCTTATATAAGAAAAGCATCTTAGAGAAGACATTGTTATAATTGTATATCGACACCGTTATAATTGTAGAGCTTATTGCAATTTACGTCTCCCTTCCTCTTTTTATTTTTATATAATAAATCAGAGATTTGAACATAATGTCTAAATCATCTCCGAGCCCAATTATGAGATGGACCCAACACTTTTTGAAATATGCTTCTCCAATGGATGCATGGAAATGTCAACGTTGAAAGGTATATCACACATCACGTATACTCCAATACCAAATGCTAATCACGCATTCATACTTCACGTCTCACCTAATCGTCAATACAGTGGTCCACGCAATTAATTGCCAGCACATACCTTCAAAGACAAGGCAAAGAATTTGATTTATTTTGAGATAAATTTTTTGATAGATAATTGTAAAAATTCGAAATTCGAATCTTAATTTTATAATTTATCTTTAAATTTAAAAAAAATGATATGTTGTTTTTCAAAATTCCTTCTCACTAAATGTTATTTAGGACAGTAACTCCCAATCATCAAAGAGAACAACAATAATAAAAATATCATGCATTTCATAAGCTAAGAAAGAAGAAAATAGAGTTTTTGGATTGTAAAAATATATATGTATATGTATATGTATATATATATATATGTATATATGAATATTAATATGTATATATATGTATATATATATGGACATGACCTGATTTATATTATTAGCCTAATCTTATGGTGAATTAAATTCCAATGGCAGTAATATTCATCTCCAACAACCCACCACACTCTCACTCACAATCTTCTCATCATTGCTCATCCCTTTGCTTCCACCACCACCACAACCAGCACTGCAATTTCCACATCTGTGACTTGTCTATGTAACCTCAGTGGAGTGAGCTCAAACGCCACCACCAAGTCAAGCTCCATGGATTTCTCAGACCCTACTGCCTTGTCTCCCCCACCAAAAGAAGGTCCAGAGCCTGAACAAAGAGTTCGACAAAAGGGAGCTGATCCAAAGCCTCATGGCCACTTGTCATGGCAGCAGGAGGAGTGTGGGCAGAGGTTCGGAGAGATACTTAACAGGACCTGCTCCTCTTCCTCCCAAAGGTTCAGGGCTGAAGTCATCAGGGGTAGTAGCTCCACCACCCTCGAGGCAGGGATCAGGAGGGCCTTCTCCATGAGAAAGTCATCCTCGGCTAGAGAAGGCTACTGGAGAATCCATGACACTGGCGATGGGGATCAGTTAATGGAGCAGCAACAGCAGATGAGGTGTTCCAGGAAGAAAGGCAAGTTGCTACGGGCTTGCAAGAGGTTCTTTGGATTCTAATGGTGTCATCCTTTCAGAATAATTCATCTGTCTTCTATTGATCTCTGGCACGATGTTTATTGTTAGAAAATATTTATCTGTAAGAGAGAGATCGAAAATGAGGAGTAAAACAAAATAGTCATACATTTTGATGATATATATTTTAATTTAATTTATAATTTAATAATTTTAATTTTAATTTAATTGATGTCTGACTCAATATATATTAATTTTGATTCGTTTGAAACATTTCTATACTCATGGTTATCTTTATAATTAGTTATACTCAAGAAATGAATTAATTCTATATTATCCTTTATAATTAGTTATCTTTAGTATATTAGTTTTTATATTTTCAAAAATTACATTCAAATTTCTATACTTACGAAAATAATAGGTTAAATGTTTCATTTTCGTAAGTATAGAAATCTCAATATATCGTACTCGTAGAGTTTTTATTTATTTATTATTTTGCTTCTTGTGATCTCCTTCGAGTAGGCTTTGAAAATTTTTAGTTGTTTGTGGAAATTTGTAAACGTACTGTGTGTTTTAACTTCCTCAATCATATTAGCTTTACAAAATGAAAAGAAAAGGTTATTCTTATATTACATGTAAACTTAACAGTGGACTAAACTTGATTGACATCCATGCATGTGTTATTTATTAAATATAATTGATGAGCTCAAATATAATTATTCTATTGATAGACAAAGACATAAATAAGAAATAGAAGAACGATAAGGTTAAACACATGAAGTGAAAATATGAGTTATTTATTAAATTTTTTATACAAATAATTATATATACTTCCAATGTTTTGACCTATTATTCCTGAATAATGCTTTCGAAACTAACTAATTTATGGAGCTTCTGAACTTTGAAATATGTTTGAGGTAATTTATCAAAAAAAAAGTCTTTACTATTTATTGTAGTCCTTTATGTCGTGGCCCAATAATCGGCATGGCTTGCTTCGGTCTCGATCGTGCAAAGGTGTTCATGTGGTCACTCGGAGGATTGAATGGAGAGAAACGGAGGATCGACATTGGTGTCTCTTGGTCGACTTGAAATGGAGCTAAGGTCATCTCTGACGTCAAGTTCTTCCTGCATAACAGGTCAATGCCGGGAAGGGGGATTCCCGACTTGACCCCTTCGAAGCCTAAGTTTTTTTGGGAGTAGTGATCAATGTCCCTAGCGTATGCTTGGGGGTGGCATTTTATACCTCTCATCGAAGGTTAATCATACATAGGCTATTAACGACTATCGACATTCTAGGCGATTGGTTCGTCCGCTTCGAATGGCATGGGCCAACTATTCTAGTTCTGTGTCATCGGGGGTTTCTCGCTCGGTTTTGGGTGCCACTTTGTATAGTCCTGAGCGATATGATTATTATTATTTCTGAATCTATTATGTTGTTTAAAGATACAATCGATTGTGTTACTTTTATATGCATGTGTTATGTCGATTCAAAAGTGTCACGTTTGTTTCGAGATGGCTATCGACTGTTGTCATGGGGTGACACTAAAATATCCTTTATTACTATTGATTTTTTATAGGATGATGCTCCCTCATGATTATTTTTTGTTAAAAATATATTTTTTTTTATTTTGCCAAAAAGATCCCCACTCTTTATGCTAAATCTTACTAAAACTAAGATAGAATTTATTGTTGATGTACCAATTTTTTTTATGAATAGAGTGTATTTCAATTTATTTTTGAATGTAATGAATCAACTTCCATCGAACGGCCTTAAACTTTCACAATTCCAATAGAACGTGATTTAAAGATTTTAGTGATTGTTTTATAACTTTAGGATAATTAGTTACGAATTTGATATATTCTTTAATAGGTTCTATGAGATGAGTATAATCCAATTCATTTAGTAGTATAATTCAATCCAATTTCAATCAGGTCATCTTGAACTTTCACAATTATATTAAAGCATTACTGTAACAAAGAGTATACTATTTTTTTAATTATATGATGAATTTATGATAGATAAATGTCTAATTCCTTTATAGATAGTAACCATAAACGAGGGAAGGAGATGAAGCCGAAGGAGTAGGAGAGCAAAGAGGACACAACGGAGGCAGAGAATGACCAAGGAGAGGGGGAGGTGGAGGAAGTGAGTGATTAAGGGTAAGGAGGGAGAGAAGGTGAAGGAAGGAGATGAGGTGGAGTAGAAGTAGGAGTAGCAAAGCATGGAGGTGGAGTAGAAGAGCGAGTACGAAATGATAAAATATCGCGTAGAAGGGGAAACCTAAGAGAAGAAACCTATATATATATAAATAAATAAATATATATATATATATATATATATATATATATATATATATATCATTTTAACAAGATCTTAGGTTAGACTCCAGAATTAAAGAAAGATTGATTAATATCTTAAGCATGAAGGAGGACATATTCAAAAAGAAAAATGGGAAAATCATAAGAAAGTAAACCTAATCTTGCACCAAAATCCTCGAAACAAAGAAAGATCAATGGATATTGATAGGGCATATTTTGGCCCTATATGAATCATCGACAACACCACGCATCGTCAGCCACCGACGCAACGCCACACGCCGTCAAAACCACGGGGTGCACGCCACGTCAAGTTCGGTACCAATACACGGTGCGACTTGACCACCCCGAGAGTTCGGGGTGGTGTCGTCTACTCCTGGGGCAGAGCCGTCTGACGCCACTCAAGCACCCCCAAAGACGCCATCTCGTGAAAGAAGTCGTCCCACCCCTAGAAAAGTCAGTGGCCACATCGATCTGAGGCCAAAACCAACCTTCGCACGCAGGTATAAAAGCCCCTGACTGATGCCCGACTAGGGGGGAGAAAAAATGGAATATGGAATACTCGATTAACTTGCTTGTCGGAGGGGCCAAAGTCGGAAAGCTCCCGACGAAGGCCATTTTGTAGGAAGTCAGACACCCCCAAGCGGCGAGCGTCTCAATCCAGGGATTGTCACCTAGTACATAAGGACGCACTGCCATTCATCTCGAAGTCGGAGAGACGCATCCCACCGCAAACAATGCCCGAAACGATAAATTGAGAAACTCGAATCAACATCCTCAGACAAGGGTCCAGTTGCCTCCGCCAGCCCGACACTTATTTGAGTTACTCCCAAATGGCCACTCCCGACCAGTGGACACCTCGACCCAGGAGACACCTTCCGTCACGCAAAGGAGAGCAACGAGCCGGTCCATATCCCGACCAATGTCGACCAATATTCTTTCCCGAGGGCATGACCACCTTATCGTCCTACTTACTCAATAAGAAGCTCCCAACATCGACTCACAGACCTAACCATGCTGACTCATCAACCATGATACTTTTGTTCACTATTAGATATCATGACCACAGAGGAGAGGAGGGCACATTTAAGAGGAAAAGGGAAAAATCATAAGAAAGCAAAGCTACATACACAATTGTGGCTAAATCTCACGGCAAATCCTCAAACCAAAGAAAGATCTTGAGAACAAAAGGCATGGAAAAGACACTAACATCAAACTGAATTGAGGAACTTCTTGAGTAAGTCACTCAACATAGCACCGTTGAATTATTTATAGAGGAGCTATGCCATCAACATAATCAGTGGTCACACGCCAAGGTAGTTAACAGTCGTCAATATGCAAATCACATGACATTTTGGAATCTCCCTTTGAAGTGATCATTAGCTATCGATATACAAATCACGTTTTACGATTTCCTTATATAATTCTTTAACAATTAGATTGTATGATGTTTGCACTAAAATATTTATACGGATGTAGAAATATACATATTTGATATGGTACATTTTGACATTGCCCGCGTGGACCCAGGCAAACAGATATGACGATGCAGACGTGGAACCTCAAGTACGATATGGTGCGTAGCACACACGTGGCGGGCAGCCGCTTGCTGCCTCCTCCGTACGAACGACATCATCACGGTACAGTCGTCCCGGAAAGCTCGGGACGACGCCATGCGGCATCGATCCGAGCAGGTCGGTCGGCGCTCATACAAAAGCTAAAGTCGGTCATAGTTAATTGACCTCATACGATCAACTCATCCTCGCAGGTATAAAAGCTAACCCTCCTTAATCAGGAAGGGGGGACTTCGAACACTCAACTCTATCTCATTTCACCAAAAGCTAACTTAAGCTTCGGATGAGTCGAGTCAGGAAATCCCTCTTCCGACCTTGACCTATGTACATGAATCCAACGACGGAGAAGTAGGCCACTCACCAAGAGAGAAGACCACACTCTAAGGACGAGGCTCGAACCCGACCCGACCCGACCCGACTCGACCCGATGCTCGCCATCACCACCCGAGCATCCACGTGGGCTACCTTGTACATCCGAGACTGGATTGAGCTGTATTGACACCTCGGTCACGACGCAAAGGTTCACTAACAATATCAAAGATACATAGGTGTATAAGTTGAAATGAATGATATGATAGTTTATATATTCAACACTGTCTCGTTCAAAGAAAACAAATTATTTTATAACTTAAATATTAATCACTTAGATAATATATATATTATATATATATATTATATATATAAAGTAAACCGAGTAAAGTCCATGGAACCATTGATGAGAGAAGATGGTTCCTGGAATGACCGGCAGCCATCGGAGGCACAACGACGTCCGATCAACGATTCCACCTTCAAACACACGTAAAAGAAATAGAACGTAAAGCCTTTACTTGTATTACGTTTGGCTTGACGTTCTTTCTCCGTTTACTGCTCGCTCCCTCGAAGCGACAACGCGTCACGTGTCCGCGTCATCCGCGTTCGAGTTAGTCTTTCTCTGAGAAGAGTTCCGATTTCCACCCACGATAATACCCACCGCCCTTTTCTTCGGGTCCTACGGGCTCTGACCAATGAAACAATCCGCGCGAGTCGCGGGTACCTAGGAAGCGCGTCTCGACTCTTGGTGGGCGCCGACCGTTTGGCTTCGTCAGTGTGTTAAAAGGACACGGGTCCGACAAGCCGGCGGAGAGACTTTGGGGCGATCGGGAGCGACGAAGTCAAGAGACGAGGTCGGAATCCCTTATAAGTTCCTGCCGCGGTTTCCGATTGGATCCTCGCTCGTTGGGCTCGATCGATCTGAGAGCTCCGGGGGAGATTGCGTGGATTATTCTGGAGGTAAGGCTTCCTTTCTCCCTGTTTCTTGATTCAACCTCTTTCCGTGGGGTTTGTGGCTTTCCGGGGAGGTTCTTTGGTTTTCGTCTGGAAATCGACGGAAAATTTTGATTTTGTTGGAGATTGGGGTCGGTTTGGAGTAGGTTTTGGTGTTGAGTTAGGGTTCTGGCTGATGTTTGCTAGCGCTTCTGCTTCGGCACCTTGATGTTACCTCTGATTCATTCTATTTGCCGTATTCTTCTTGTAAGATCTTGTCGTAGTGTCCGATTTTTTGTTGCTTGTTTGGAGACTTGGTTTCTTGGATCAAGACTTCATCTTCCAACTGACCCCAAAAGAGCTCCCTTTTCTGACAGGCAACTCTGCAACTTCGATCGTTGCTGGACTAGTCGTTCATTATATTTGATCTGGTGAGAAGGGGCAAACATGTGGAACGAGATGAAATTGAAATCCAAGGCAGATCATGAGGAGGTGGACTACTTCTCCTGGTCACCACAGAAAGACCGGTCGATCGGACGACTGGTGAGGTTCGTCTCGTTTCTGGTCGTATTCACGGGGGGCATTGTCTTGGGCTTGTCGGTGAGCGCACACTACTCTCGCTACTTCAACTCCCAGACCGAGCTGTTCTTCCCGAGGACGATGTACGAAGCGAATTGTGACAAGGAGGGTTCGAGCTTCAAGAGCTTCGCGCAGCCGACCAATTTGATTCACAGTATGACGGATGATGAGCTCAATTGGAGGGCGTCAATGGTACCGAAGATGGATGAGTATCCATTTCAGAGGGTGCCAAAGGTGGCCTTTTTGTTCATGACAAGGGGCCCTTTGCCTTTTGTGCCGCTGTGGGACAGGTTCTTCAAAGGCCACAAAGGGCTGTATTCCATTTACGTGCATACGCTTCCAGATTACAAGCTCAATGTCTCAGGGACTTCTGCTTTCTATGGCCGGCAGATCCCGAGCGAGGTGAGAGATGCTTAAACTCTGCTCATTCTCACAATTCTTCCTTATCGGTCATTGTGATAGGAACAGGGAATACTTGATAAGATAGCAGCCTTGATCTTTGTTATTACAGCGGTTTCTAGGTCATGAGATCATCACATTGAAATTGCTGGTCTTTGTCTGGCACACATATTAAATCCAATTCCAATGGTGTTAAAGTTTTAATGTGTTATGGTGCAAATTATTTTTTCTTATGTTATATACGGTTGGTTTGCCTGACAAAAATATTAGTGCTTTTGGTGCTGCGGAGTAATTTAATTATAGAGCCAACCGCATGGCTGCCAATTGTGATAGCTTGCTCTTTGCAAGAAGATTAATGCCATCATCTTGAAGTTCTTCAAGAGAAGCACTTTGGGAATTGAGTATCAATACACCATGTTAAAAAGGTAGATATGGGCAAGATGGATAAACTAATTACCACTGTAGGCAGATTGATTTGCTTATATTTACTCGAACAGATCCTCTTGTATGTGTCAAATGATTAAGGAAGGGGAAAAAAAAATGGAAGGAATGAGCTTAGGGTACATACAAAATAATAGCATAACAGCAACTTGAGAATTGTATAAACCAATCATGAAGTTGTGGTCAACTTGAAACATCTTTTCGGCAAGGCATTTCTTTTACTCATTTGCCTCTAATATCCTTGTGCTTTGTCATCTATTTGCAGGAGGTATCATGGGGGTCAATAACATTGGTAGATGCTGAGAAGCGTCTCTTGGCCAATGCTTTGTTGGATTTCTCGAATGAGCGCTTTGTTCTGCTCTCTGAAAGCTGCATTCCAGTGTATAATTTCCCAACGGTCTACGAGTACCTCATAAATTCTGCCCACAGCTTCGTCGAGTCGTACGATGAGAACACCCGACAAGGTCGCGGTCGCTATAGCTGGCGCATGGCCCCCAAGATCATGCTGTATCAGTGGAGGAAAGGCTCTGAGTGGTTCGAGCTCAACCGTGAATTGGCGACAAATATAGTTGCAGAACACAAGTATTATCCGCTCTTCCGAAAATATTGCAAGCCCTCTTGCTACCCTGACGAGCACTACATACCGACATATTTGAACATGTTCCATGGGGCTTTGAATGCGAATCGGAGTCTGACTTGGGTCGATTGGTCCAGGGGAGGATCACACCCAGCTAGATATGGTGCTCCAAATATCACAGTGGAATTCATCCAGTCCATCAGAAACAATGGGACCTTCTGTTTGTACAACTCAGTGCCAACTTCCATATGCTTCCTCTTTGCAAGGAAGTTTGCTCCTAGTGCTTTGGCTCCCTTACTCAACCTTACCTCCACGGTAATGGGATTCTGAGATCATACCGGTCTTATTCCCCTCGATCTTCAGAGATAATCACCGGTACCGTGAGGCGACTTCTCCTCTAGTTAGTGAGATGGCTTATGGAGTATCCTTAGCGGCGGATGGTTCACGATCCAGGATGAGCTTAATTCCAACTCCTTCAATTGTTGACAGGACATAATGAGAAGCTAGCTAGGGGCCTCCAGTGTCATATTCAACCTCACCGTGGTTCGGTATAATGCATTTTTCAATTGATTTGTTTAGACATTGAATTCTGTGAATACCAACTCATCATTCACTTTATCATTGTAAATAAAAGAAAGCAAGCGGGATTCAAACTCCACAATTTTGGTGTAACTATTAGATTAGGAGTGGTTGATTGCTGTCAGAGTATCCATTTCAATGCATCTTTACAGAACCGGATGAGATTAGGTTAACATTCAGATGGTGTTTATACTAACTGCTTAATGATAGGATGTTCAATACTAATTGTGTAGCAATGTCAAACTTGGCTACATTAATGTAGTTGTAGAACCAATCGACAAGCTTCAGCCAGGATACATACAGGTAAGCTCAAACATGCTTCCTGTTGATTCTTTGGATAAGATAGATACACCTTAAGCATCTCCTAACTCATGTATAGCACATGGTTGCAACCAAAGATGCTGTTGTTTAGTGATGAATCATTTTATTATGCAAGATTAATTTAATCTTTTTAGCAAAAAAAATTGCCTTGGGGAATCAGAGGAGCTTCTTGATGAAGACACATGATGACATCAAGATTCACATAACTCATCATACGCCTCCACCCTATGCTATGACAGCTTGAGCATGCGTAGTTCAAGAAGGACTCGGTCCTTCATCCTTCATGACAAGGATATGTAGGTTAAAAATCGATGAAGAAGGATCCTTTTTGTTGCTTCATAATAAGCACAACTATGCGAAATCAATTAGGAGACCCAAGCGACAACAAAACTCGTGGTCGGCAGGATTCGAACCTGCGCGGGCAGAGCCCACATGATTTCTAGTCATGCCCGATAACCACTCCGGCACGACCACTTGGTTGAATACGTGCCCACTTGTATTCTATTTATAGAGAGAATAATTGTTCATCTCTACTAGATTGGGTCGAATTGGTTTCGTAGTAAGAGATTGTTGAGATGACCCTCTTTCTCATCTACTAGAAAGGATGAGTCTTCTAATTGGATTCTGTAGAGGTTACATGGAATCAGCCAAATCATCTATCTTTAGTGGCGCACTGAATTCCTACCATCTCATCACAGATACATAGCAGACAAAAAATACCATACCATGCTCGTACAACGAATATCTAAGCTGTAAAGATAACGACGGGAAAGAGTTCTCTGTAGATGAGAAAGAAATAGCGGCAGCTAAGCATGTGATGAGGTTTTGCTGACCATCAATCACTATATCTCATTTTTGTGCAGATGCAATTAACTAGCAAAATTCAGGTATATACGCAGCCTACTTCCAGTCTGTATAAAACCATGGCTTAGACTAAACATCAATAACTTAGTTACTGACCTCGAACAGATGCCACCATGAGCATATGGAAGATGATGATAACTGTAGAAGGGAGAAAACAAGCCACATGAGATCCATGGAAACACAGAACATGAGCTTATATTACATGATTATGTTTTTAGTGGTAACTGATGGTTTCCACACTTCCATGAATAGTATACTATATCTGTATGGATAACAGTAAGGGGAACAACTAATTTGGAACACCTCCGCCGGTGGAACAGTGATGCACCTCACCGAACACCCACCACGGTCCATTGGGTCGAGCCACCGGTAGGTAGTGAAGCTCTTATGATCGGAACACGCCTCACAACTGAGAAAGCTTCGTTGAGACGGGCTGCATTGATTTTGACCTGGGATGCCCTCTGCAACACAAGGATTGTCAGGAAGAGGAGACTCCTATTTTCATTAATAACATTTACTTTCCTATAAATCACCCTATTCCAGCTTCACTTAGCAATTGCTATCTTCTGGAATTGCATGCCATTCTATATATATGCCAGACAAGTAGCAGTAGCAACCAAAAACCACAAAGCAAGCTAGTCATTTCAGAGGAGAAGAGTATTTAATGGAGAGCAAGTTGTAAAGAGGGAACTCCTTACCTACCCAAAGATAATATTGAGCCAGGAATCCAAAGGATTTAGCACAAGGCCATGCATCATTTTATTAATGATTTAAGAACATATGTTTAGGCTTTGGAACATGAATTATCCCAAACATCAAATACTGCAAGTAATTTAGCAGGTTGACTTTTGTTTGCATAAGATGATTCAAAACAAAACTAGAGTCAACAAGCAATAGATCTGTTAAATGGAGGAGTGAATGCCAAATGTTGGCCTATATCCCTAGCTAGAAAGATAGAGCAACCAGAGGATTGTTGCAGAAAAGCTAAAAAGCAGGAAAAATATAAGAAAATGTAGGATTCGACATCAAGGTGCCAATAGAAGTATATTCTGCTCATCCTTCCAATAGATAAAAAGTTTCCATCAATATGCATAAATGCCGCACATCTCACTAGTGTTGGGATCACCAAGAACTCTCCATCGTCAACCATCTTTCATCTTTGTTCATTCTCTACTTGGAACCAGATGGTCAATTAACAAATGACTGCTACAGAATTTTGCATTTTGAATGCTAACTACAGATAGCAAGTGACCAGTCTGATGTAAGAATGCTACTAGACCATAGTTGACTACCCTTGAGTGCAGTTAAGACAGATGAAATAAATACCGCTTACATGCTTCGAAATGTCACGTACATGCTAGTTCACTATCTTCGAGGGAAGTTAAAAAAGAAACTAAAAGAAAAAAAAAATACAAGCTCCCAAAATTTTCTGTTTGTTTGAGGGGAATGTACTAATGGTAATAATAGGCAAGGAAACCAAAGAAGAAAAAAAACCATCCCGGCCTGGCCCTTAAAGATGAAAATGTTTCACTTCATTTAAGGTGCATAATCATCAGAATATTACCTCACAATCTAGGTTTATACACTCTCACTCAGCAGATAATATTAATTGAAAAACAAAAGTCGTATGTGGTTTATTATAATTCAGAATAGATGCACATAAATAATTAAGTTACAAAATATTCAATGCTAGCAAGTAATAATTTTAAACATGTTAAATCAACCAAAGAGGACAGGTGAACTCTAAAACACGAAAAGTGGCAAAAACAAATAGCCATCATCAAATTATAAAGGTTCAGACAAGTGATATATTACGGAGAATCATAAAATCAAAGCAATTAACTTCCAGGAATGACAGCATTGCATCAAACACTCAAGAATGTGCCTTCATGTGCTTATTGACCAGAGAGTAAATGATGATGATGAAGAAAATTGGTGGTTCAAGCCCCAAATTTTCTCCCTGAAAAAAGTTAATATTCAAGAGGAAACATGAGGCAACGTTAACAACGCAAGACTTTACCTTTTCATCCAGGCTGACCTTCAGAGGAATCCTTCTAGTCTTGGGTTTCATCCTATACAATCGCTTTCGAAGCATCAGAATCCCCAAGATTGCTGCAGCGATGGAGATGGACCAAACTGGCTTCACCCTGAAAGCACAGAATTTTAGAAGCTCAAAAGGGAGCTTCCACCAGACCAGCCGTCTTTTCTCCCCTCCCTCAGTCAAAGCTTTCTCCGAGCCATTGTTCTTTTCGCTCATTTCCAATGCAGAACCGTAGCACTCACCAGTTTTCACAGGTTCACCTGGCTCCTCGTCGCCAGGATTCTCATGTTCCATCTCTCTCCCCTCGGCCCCCCCAGTCCCCTGAAGACCCACTCCTTTCTCATCGTCGTTATTATCAGCTTTCTCTCCGATCTCCAAACATCCGGCATCACCAAGTTCCCCCTTTTCCCCGTCAAGACGCGATATTTGCCCGTCCGTCGACTCATCCGACCGAAACCCGCCCAGATCATTGTTAGGCAACTCCATTCCGGGATAACCCACCTCCTTCCTCGGCCGGTCGTGAAACGAGAAGACGGATTCCTGATCGACCAAGCTAGCGTAATCAGAACCGGCGCGTGCTTCCTCCATCTCCTTCTCGTGGGTATTTCCGTCGAAGGCAGCTACTTTCCGGCACGGGTTCTGAGAATCAAGGGAAAAATAGTCGTACTTGATGGCGCCGTCCAAGGGCTCGAAACCCTCTCCAGCCTCAGGGGCGAGAAGGATCTCCCAGTCGCGGAAGTCGGTGTGCCCTTCCATGGCGGCGAAACTGAACGTGCGGTGGAGAGAGCGAAGGAGGAGATGAGAAGCCCTTAAACTAAGCGCGCGATCAAGTGAGGTGTCGAGAAGGGCATCAGAGAAGGGCAGACACGGCCGTCATCTTCTTCTCGCGCTTCCTTTCTTCGTCCTGTTGAGCCGGTGAGAAGAAAGAGATAAAAAGGGGCATCCAAACAGAAGCCATCCCTCGCAGGAGAGCCACTCATCACGGGTCAGCACGCATCTCGATGATTCCGACCGGACAAGCGGGGAGTAGTACTAGCGATCATGAGATCCATGTCAATGAACGGCTCTGATGTGAGGACCGCTATATTCTGGGGTCCAGGTCTCGACCAAGCGACACCTGCAATTGGCGGCAACTGCGGGTCCCGCCTAAATTGCCAAATGTATCGGCGGCCATTAATGACACCCAATTCCTATATATATATATATATATAGGAGATTGCTGCAAAGAGGACTAAAGTTGGCGGTCCAAAAGTCCAGTGTAGCTCAACAGTATACTTAATGTGTTGGTGTCCACTGCTGGCTTTCAGCATCACCAAGATTCATCCACTGGTGCATATTCCAACCAAACTCTAACTGAGACACCACCGCCGAAGTCGATAGCCGCACGGAACTGGTCGGCGTGCAAGAGAAGAAAGCTACGCCATTGGATCGGGTTTAATCTGCGGCGCCACCAAAACCGAGCTATTTAACGTGGAGAATCATCATTTGACTGTTACTTTCAGCTTGGTTTTTACACCTTGATGTTGTCGGCAGTCGGGTACCTCCGGCTATTTGGCTATTAGTTCACCTTTGTGTAACATCACGTTGTAAAAGAAATCGAACAAACAAACAGTAGATGGTGAGAATGACAAAAAAACAAACACAAGCAGTTCATCAAAGATCTGATACGTTATATACCATCAATCTTTAGATATTACTCTTATCATGGCCCAGCCAGGTAGCTCAGATTCAAACCGGCCTCGACGCACGAAAAAGCAGTATGCGGGAATCAAAACAAGGAACCAGAACCTACAAATTGACAGGAAAATTGCAAACCAATTGAGATAACCTCACATAATTAGTAAAAGCAGAAAAACACAAAATAGGAAACATATGATCACCCTTGGAGTCAAAAGTCACGAGTCAAATACTAATTTCGCATCTGGTATTCCAACCTATATCATCGACATCACCAAGAAAATAGCAAAAGAACGGCGTAACAACCCATATGGTGTGGTTGTCGGTCAATGTAAGAGCACCAAACACTCTTAAATACTTGTTTTTGATGTAAGCCTGATATTTCCATCAAGAGTGTCTGCCCCAAATTAAGACATTCAGTCTTGACACCTAAACATTAGAAAGAACATGTGGAACAAATCGTCATAAGTTGCACTCCTTTAGCAAAGATAACTGTCCCATAAGAAACCAGAACCATCACAATTATCATACCCAATTGTACCACATGAAGAAATATATAGCATAATGTACTTACTGTCACATAATAATCTCCAGTTTATATTTAAAGAAAATTTAGCTGTCAGCTATTGCAGACAAAATTAAACATATGGGCAATTGATTGAAGAATTTGCAAAGAATGTTTTGTAGCTCAAATGCTTGTCATAAGCATGGCAACAAAAGGTCTTATTGGTGAACAAAAATTGTTTTAGCCATGATAACGGAACACTCAAGCCGTCGACTGTTTGAGATAGGCAATAAGATCAGCACGCTCTTGTGGCTTCTTCAAACCAGGAAATACCATCTTAGTACCAGGAATATACTGCATAAACAAGTAAAATACTTTTTAGGAAAAGAACATATGAGACATCATAGTGGTAGCATATACATGGAAATGTTGATTCATCTAAGTACAAGTGTAACAATCCTTCTTAGTCTCTATTAGATGTCCCATTTTGCAAATCAAGAACCATAACTTGTACATGAATTATGCTTAGGGATTGTAGTAATCCCTAAAACTATTTTATTACATGACACATCATTACAGCACCCCAGTTGCTATGAATCATCTAAGAATACATATTGGAAATTCAAATTAAAGACAGTAGAATGGAAATGCATTATGTTTTGACATCCATGAACAAATGTTGGCTGATAGTTGACAATAACCATTTTGATAATAGCTTCCAAAACCTACCATTATCAGTACAAACAGCCCCCAAAGACAGTATTTCTTGTGTGCAATTCAGAACTTATAATACAAGAATGAGAATACATGATCCGACTAAACATATTGAAACAAATATTTAATTTTTCAAAGATATAAATTCTAAAATATAAACTCTTTTATGTATTTTACAATTAATGATATACAAAAGAATTTAAACATTAGGTTAAAAATATTTGTAAAACAAATGTTATATTAATTAAAGAGTTTATTTAAATTAACAACATACAAAAGTGTGTTTTTTACAAACTGTTGATCTATTCTCCTTTTCTTTTCCCCCTCTACTCCTGCTACTTCATCTTTTTCAGATTATTAATTTAAAATTTACTTTATTTTAACCTCTGAAAGAACGCCAATTACTACTACTGTCTTTAGAGAAACCAACAACACTTGACAGCTGGCCTTCAATGAAGTTCAATGAATATTTTATCAAGGACGAATTAAGTTGGAGATAGAAATGCTCAATATACCAGCATAATTACGTTTAATTTTCCCCTTTTCTCGATCCCAAAAACAAGCATTTTATGAATTTTAGCATTAGAAGACAAACTCAAATCGTAAGTGTAAGTATCAGATGCAACCTTAATCAAAGTCATTGTAAAAAAATGCTGATACTGACACCTTAGTCAACGAGTAGAACATGTGGAGAATGGTCTTGGGTGGCAGAACGAATGCTATCAAGGTATAAATGTTACACAGCTAGCTACAAGAAGAGCCAAAAATCCATACCTTCTTAGGGTTAAGCAAGTAATCATACAAAGTTGACTCCTCCCATACAACAGCCTTATTCTTGTTTGCGGCAGAGTAAGAATAACCCGATGCCGTACCAGATTGTCTTCCAAAAAGGCCATTCAAATTAGGTCCTGTGTGCAAAAAAAAGACAATCGTCTCAAGATTAAGTAAGACTAAGCTTATTCACACACACAGACTAGAGAGAAAAGTCGACAAAGAAAAAGACGGATTTGGTATCAAACAACGCTCAACAAGAGGTTCTCCAGTACAAGAAAGATTCCCAAAAGATCTATTCAAAGCAACATCAATAAAACAAGTCTAAACCCTAGATATCATTCATAATTAAAACCCAGATCTACGATAGCCAGGCACCGATCCATCAAAGGAAACAACGGTAGATCGACCAGCGACCACGCAAACGACAACTCGTCAATGATTCTAAAAAACAATCTATCTAGAAGAAAGACAGGGGAAAAGGATCAAAGAGAGGTCTGATCTACCTTGCTTGTGGCCGGCGCCCTGGTCGACGGTGTGGCACTGCGCGCACTTGGTCTTGAAGATCTTCTCCCCGGCCTTGGGATCGCCCGGCGGAGCTTCCGCGAACGACGCCATCGAACGCCGTCCAAACGAGATCTCTCGATCTAAACCTAGGGTTAGGGTCTCTCTATTTCCCCCTGTTGCTTCCGAGCAATTTCCAACAAGCAAAGCCGAATTCTCCGCTTGCGGACGACTATTTATATTGACCCGCGGGCAACGAGTTGTCGAAACTAACCATGAATTAACGGAGATAATGAAACTAACCGAAGGGTATAATAGTCATAAAAGATATTTCGAGAACTTTGACCAGGCGCCACGTGTACGGAAGCGTGGTGCCGAAGGCCACGGTAATCTCACGAACCAACACAAAAGCCCTCTTCATTCACTTAAATTACGGCTCAGTCCACAAATTCTTTCTCCTTAATTAAGTACGTGATGATATTTCAATTAGGGTTAAACGTTCAAATTAGACAATCTTCGATTCGAACTCGACGTCTTCATGCTCACAGTAATGGTCATCGGAGCAAAATTAGACGATATATTCTGACATACAGCATATTTGGAGTAAATCGGAATGAAGTTTATGAACATAGTTTTGAGCTTAGATTGGAGTAGAAGATACTGATGAGATGAGATACTTCAAAGAAAATTGTCCTCTCCTTCTTCTTCCTCGGAGCGCGAGGGTTTTTATAGTGAAAGTTATCGTTGCCTGATGTGCCCACTCGCAGGGAGCAAGATCATACTCCTAGTAATATCTGACATCGACATTGGACTGACGTGAAGGATCGAGCCTGAGCAGGATATTAATGTGTCTCGATCGACGTTCCGATTCGTGTTGACCACATGCTGTCAAGTTAACAAAAGCACGAGACGTCATTTGGGGCAACTAACGTCAACTCGAGTCTTATCACCATTATTACCCTCATCATATTCCTCCCCCCGAAATTTGCTCCATACAATTCGGAAACTAAAGGCAAAGAAATGAATGTGGAATGAACAATGTAAAATTTTGCCTCAACAAACTAAGAACCAAACCTAAAAATATCACCAACTCGAACAAAGGATTACTACCTCAAACTGAAATGGAATCCTTCACTTGAAGTAAACGAAGAGACAAACTCATGAACATGAAATTACCATTCCAGAATGATATATGAAATCTTCTGTCATCAGATGAGTCAAGGGGTTGGAAAAGTCTTCAGTTTCTGGTGCATTCTCAGCATATGCCATCGCCACAGGCCCTACTAGTTTCACAATCCAATCAAGCCTGCATAAAGCTCACATGATGTTTTTTTACCATTATGATACTATGCAAGAAGACCCTATGAAGGTCCGTCCCCATCAACATATCACCACTGATCAAAATTTTAAACAACTTACTTCATTACCATAAAACTAATTTCATTAATTTCAAAATGAAACCACAAATGTAAAGGGGGTAGCTGCACTTGGGAGTTTCTTCCTAGTATCTAGGGACTTCTCTAAGCGGCAGCATGGGCTTTGCAGGTGTTGGAGAAGAACCTGAGGGTGAACCAACTTGAAGAGCGCCTTGAAAGGACATGCTGGTCCCATCAAAGCCATCCAAAGCAGGGGGATCATCCCTGATCATCGTGCGAAAAGATATGGAGCCTCTCTTTGTAGAGGCATCAGAGTTTCTCCTGGTGTCGTGGCAGTTCTGGCTTACTATAAGTGAAGCACTGTCATAGTAATAATCATCATAGGGTACCTCTTCCATCTCTCTTTCCTCTAGGTCTCTCAGGGCCACTGAATCTTCCGCTGGGAAGTAGACCAGTATAACGATGCCAATCACAGCGCAAAACAACATGACCAGAAAGGCTAAGAAAACAATCACCTCATAAGCCAAGTTGCCCGGATGAGGTAGGACAGAGAGACCAAGGAGGAGCACCCTCACTGGAAGAGAAAAAATAATTGAGGATACCAGCCAATAGAGCCTTCGGAGTAACCGTTTGTTGATTGCTGAAGACAATATATGCAGTCCAACGTATACGGCATAGCTGATCAGAGCAGCATGAAAAAGCCCAAGAAGAATAGTGCTAAACAGAGGATAAGTGCAGACACACTCATCTCCAATCAAGACACTAGCTCTTGTGAAGTAGTTGAACTTCTTTGCTCTCCCATCACTCCTGTCCTCGTTGAAGCCCTTGGGTCCAACAAAAACCAGGATAACTTGCATGATGAAGATCGGTAGGCAGAAAAGGAACACATAACCAATGGTCTTCTTGTTCCATCCTTGGCTTAGAGTACCCGACTCCCTCCTCTGCAAAGAGGCACGTAAGAGGAACACAAGTGTGAGGAAGACTGTAGGTTCTGAGAAACCAAGGTTGAAGATGATGTAGAGCTTGCACATATTCCTCTGCCATGTTATGCTGGAAAAAAGCCTCCCTTTTAAAAAACTTAATCTAGCTAGTTCACTCGAGCTCCACAAAATTGCTACTAGGGCCAGAAAAATGCGTATAACCCAGGGCCCATTAAAGTAACCAAGCCGGTGAAAATCTCGTCGCTGGATCCGCACCCGCAATAAGGCAACTTGGTATATGCATCGTATAGCAAGGATATCAAACAGAATGACAAGAGAAATGGTCACCACACCAAATGCATCGGCACTGAATCTGGTCAGGGGCATCACACGAAACACAAATTCCACGCATACTCTCCCCTAGCATCGATACTTAAGAGCCCACAAGTACAACAAAAGTTGATACCTTTTGGTGCTGCTGATGCACTGCACTCCTCGAGACAGTAACAACCAATCTGAGGTCTATTATAGAAAAGCCTGAGCTTTTGCAAAAACCTCATCAATGGTGTATGACTTGGGCCAGAGAAGATCTTTCATTGCACAACAAGAAACCACACCAACAACTGTAACTTGAACATATGAACCAGTCAGGGGAGTCCAGTCAGCCAATCCATAACATGCACCTTCAGATTCATGGTACCTAAGCAAAGTTTAAGCTTTTGGGTAAGCGGATACTCCAAAAATCTAATATAATCACAACAAAAACATAAATAGAATATTGAGCATTTATCCTGATAGAACCAATCCTATCAGTAACAATCAAATAATGGGCTCACGCACTAGCAAGAACTCTAGACACTCAAAAAGCTGACTGGAGGTCATGCAGATTTAGGTGCATGATCACATAAGCATCGATCAACCAGACGAAAATCCGGGAGCAAATCATGACATGAAAGCAGCATGCATCTGCTCAGTGAAACGAACAGAATCTCAGTGTCAAATAATTCTATATGCACAAAACGAAGCTACCGTTTCTCCGACAAAGTAGAATCATAGAGGTCTAGCATGATAGCTAAATGAACAATCGCAACCCTAATTGCCTAATCTCAAGGTAACAAGATAGCTATAGCTCTCCGTGTTCGAAGATATCAAGCTGTTAACCCAAACGTAGGTGGAATCTCATCACAGGTATCAGAAAGTTGATTCATTTGACGATAATAAGGATGAAGCTACAGCCTGCAATCACCTATAGCATTAAACTCCTTCCGCATCAGGAAAGTAAACAACATTACCTCGATTAAAAGAAGGAACTCCTGACATTTATGTTTTGCTTAACTCGCTCAAACACACAAAAACTTCTAAGATGGGGCAACGTGCTGAGATAGCTTTCATTTCAAGAGCACTAACGAAATAGAACACTTGGGAACCTCCTAACTCAACCACCTACATTTAAGAAGCTCAATAGATCATAAAGCTACAGCAGAAACTTCATTAACAGCTTCAGAACTAGTTATGATCCAAGACTTTGGCTCATTTCTCAACCTATAGAAGCGAAAAATAGAACCCTCACAACGTAGGCAAGACACAAAGCTCGTCGCTCGCGAAGAAAGAAACAACGTAATCTAGCGAAAAAGAAAAAGGGTTCATCTGCAACAGTTAACCCGAACGATTTATCTAAATCGAACCGCTAAAAGTCAATGAGTACTGGAAGAACACTAAGAGACAAAAAAGAGATGAAAAAGGACGAACCTTGGCCGAGATCAGAGGAACATGAAACGATCCACGGGGGGAAGGGGAAGAACCCTAAACCTCGAGCTCTCCGGGACGCAAAGACTGGGCCAAATCTAACGACGCAGGGTTCGAAAGAGAGCTTGCGGGAAGGAGAAGCCCGATCTGGCGAGCGGCAGAAGGGATTACGGAGGGGCGAGTGCCAAAGCCCAGAAGGGAGGACGAAGAGGAGGAGGACGAAGAGGAGGAGAAAGAGTTGGAGCGACAGCGAGTCTGAGGTGGCAAGAGATGAGAGAGAGATGGGTTTGTTGGCCGCGGGTCGCGGACAGGCTGTTTCCAGCTGTCAGGCGGCTCGGTGTCCGCAAGTGGTGGTTCGGTTGGAACGCCGAACCGAGGTGGCACGGTGTCGCTGCTGCTCTTGTCGTGTGGCTGTGGGGACAACGTACCGCCCCGGGCGCTCGGGCCGTCGTTTGTCAGATGACCATTTCCTTCCCCCCGATCATAGAATATACGATCGAATTTATTTGAAGAAAATATATGACATAGAGCTAAAAACATATAATTTATTTTTATTCATTTTTGAAAAAAATAAATTCTGAAGGACCAACCGTTTTTAATCATAGAAGTCTATTCTTTCAAACCCCTCTAATTTTGTAAAATGATTATTTTGTTAATTAGTTTAAAGGCAACCAATTATAAGAACAAAGTGCGCAAACAAACAAATATTAAGTATGTCATCTTTGACAAGGATGACACTAACATCGACCAACCAGGGAACGTTGCATGGTTCCACCGTCAGTCGCGACAACCAATCTGTTCCTATGATTGCGCTTTTTGTATTGCCAGTGGAGTTAAAAATAGTCATCGTTGCGTGTACACTAACATTATTCTTTATTTATTGCTCTTTCCACATGATGCTGAGATCTATTTGGCTTCCATAATATATATACATATATATATTCCCGACTAAACTTGAAATGCATAATTATCAGACCACCTGCAATTTTACAACGTACCGAAACTTAACCAGCACGAGAAGTATATTTCACCATATATGTGATCTCACGAAACATATGGCTTTGCGAATATCTAGATACAGAAATCGACAAGGGTGAGAGGTTCGGATTAGGCAAATTTACAATGACCAAACGATGTATATGGTACATACTGATAGATCCAAATCACACTCACAAGAGAGCAGAGGTGACGAGATCCGTACCGCGAGCGGCAAGTGAAAGAAGCAGCTGAAGCAAGCAAGGTGCCAGTATACGCGTTCAAGTTGGGAGGACTCATCGCCAGTGCGGTGTCTCTCGCCTGCTGTTGTTACACATAGGTTAAAGCATTTTGATTCGATTCACATGAGCAGGAAAATTTAAGATCTAAGGAGTTGGGTCGGTGCGATAGGAAGATGATGCACCTTGTCTTCCTCCCATCCAGTGATGGATCATCAAGCTTTGATTTGCTCCCACCACGAGATACATCAGCTCCTCGGCCTGCAAGTGCCTGCATTTTTCAGGAGTAAAGAGTGAGTACAGGGAGATACGAGTAGTGCAAACATGGTGTGAAAAGCAAGGATCTGTTCATCTGATTCAAGTAAGATATGAAATAACATCAGTCCAACAGCCGAATTATACATGGATCTATTAATCTTAGCAACACAATAACAAGGGCTGAAAGAGCATTTATATAGATATTGCTGGATTATGCAAGTGATGACCTGCTTAGTATCCATCGGCATATTCCCAGACTTAGAAGGGCCAGTTGTCTTTATAGTACCTCTTTGGAACTCCCTCATTCTAGCATTTCCCTGCTTGGACATTTCAGTGAGATTCATTATGAACAATTTTCAGAGTCAGTAAAAGAAAGTGCACGTTCTGCTATTATTATAACATGCTCACACTTCTTTTCACGGCATATGACAGTGCTGTGCCAGTTGGCATAGATAAAATTGGCCTAACCATGTGTTGCCATGGCTGGCATACTAAGCACAGCACAGCAATCTAGGTTTACAAAGAATGTGATTCTATTAGTTCTAGACATGCTTTTCATGCATCAAAAGCTTTTCTTAACTTCATGTTTGAAGTCATAATTGATGAATTGTTTTAAGTGAAAAAAAATAATTTTAAATAGTTAATGTGTTGCTTATACCAATGGGAGACCACAATAATATCAATTGCAGCATGTAGGTTCCGTAATGAGAAACACATGGACACATATAAACAATGACAATAAGAAGAAGAAACAACCATAGATTCCCAACTATTTTCTACTTCTGTGATTCCTGGAAAAACATGATGAAATATTCTCTACTTCTAGATGCATTTATCAAACACTTGAATATATAAAATGCTTGTATATGCAAAAGATCAGTAGACTCTGTCAACCGGATTTACAGCAAAAATTAAATCTCCATAATAAGAACTAGAATATGTGAATTTTTGCCTGCAATTGTAATCCGTGCAGTCATTTTCAGTCTTTGGCAAGAACAAGTCACTTAAAGGCAGCAGTCAGAACAAAAAGGCCAAAATTCCCACATGAAAAATAACAAAAAAAACTAATAGAAGGTTCAGATGCACCTAGACCAAGTAAAACTATGTGACAGTGACAGGCTGACCTTATAATTCGCGATCTTGAATAAAGATAGTGGAAGTCGACAGATACAGTTTCCCAATGAATTGAAGTCAAACTAAAACCAACAGTGAAGAAGTTTTTATGGTATTCACAAACAAGCAAGTTGATCATGGCAAAGCTCTATCTTTTCATTTCTTGGAAGCTAGAAATAATTCTAAAATAGAGCGATGAGAAAATCATATTTAGCACCCACTTTATTGATATTATGGTAGACACCATGCCTAATCCCAAAAAGAAAACACTTTGAGCTAGAAGTTGACTGAACTACAAAAAGGAGAAAAAACAAAAGAACCCTTTTCATATGTGCTTCTTGTATCTTCGAGCATATACTTTCAATAAATATGCAACTTTCAACAACCTCATGGTGTCTTCTGTAACATGGCCAGAGAGGAAAGTGCTATTTATAATTTTGTCTACAACTATGATATTTAAAGAATATATGTAAGAGGAGTTAAAGTTCCTTCTCTCTGCTCATGTATGATAAAACCTTCAAAATGATTTGACAAAATAAATGTGTCATAAAATTAGTAATTTTGTTCAAACTGTAAGAAGAATATAAAATAATATCCATGTAACACTCGTATGGCGATTAACTTGTTCCAAATACATGAAAGTGATGCAAGCTGAAAAACGAGAAGAACGATTAAAAAATAATCCAATTTTCTTTACCTCTTTTCGTTTCATTCCTTCGGCAGTTGCAATATGGGGCTCAGTTCCAACATTACATATGGACTTGTTCCTAGCAGGAAGCTCACTAGACCTGGATATTAAGATCAAAGGAGGTTTCAGATTCTAAAGAGTCCAATTAACTAGTGAAATTGAAATTCAAAGACATTCAGATGAAGTTGTATGTTTATAAGAGGCAATCTTATATGCCAAAAAGGTAACTCAGCAAGACAAAATATAAACTCTCTTAACAACTATCACCTGGACTTGGGTGGCCCAAGAACATGTGCCTCAATTTTCTTTAAGTTTGCATAGTGGCTGTCCACTGCTAAAGGCTTCTTCTTTACTTCTTTTAAGTTTCTAAAGTGAAAGCAAAATAATAAGGAACAATATTCTTGTCATCTAAAGAGCAGAAGCCATCTTACTTGAAAGATGTCAACAATATCCTTTTTTTAATCAACCTTTTAGTTTCAGGTCCTCTTCTACTTGTCATTCCACTAGATGAAGCTGTTTTCTTCGTGTCCTGTGAAAATTGCAGAATAAGCATAGGCAAACCAGGAATCAATTGGAAAAAAAAAGTTAGGTTAAAGAAAAATCAGATACAAACATGAACAAATCAGTCCAAATACTGCTCAGACAGAAAATATGTGGAATAATGGCTAATGTTATTTATGCTCATGGAATAGTGGCTAATGAAAATTTGCTCTCTCTCTCTCTCTCTCTCTCTCCAAGACCTGTAGTTCAGCATTATGTTGCCTGAGATTCTTTAAAGAATTCATCAATTTGACCATGAAAAAAAGCCCAAACTTAATTAGGAAAACATCATATTGGAAGATCACCATACCTAGTAGTTATAAGTGTTGAGCACTGAATAAGACTATTTTAATAAGCACCACATTTAGTAGTCATTAGCACTAAGCACTTGACAAATTTCACCTGCACACTTGATCCACCCTTTGCTTGAATTTGTGATGATGCTAGCATGTTTGAGCTTCCAGAGTCCAGCTTTGTTGAATTTCCTCTACTTCTTGCTCTTCTTTCCATTACAAGAGTAAATGGACCCAGTGTGGTGCTAATAGAGCGTGCTTTTGTAAGCGGTTGATTTAGATCAACCAAGGTGGACATAGCATTGCTTTTGACTCTACTAGCTATGATCTTGCTCAAAGTCTGACTGGCCGTCTTTTGTGATGGAGTTTTTAGTCCCTTTGATGAGTGAACCCCATTCGACTTAGTTTCTTGTTTCATATTTAAACCATTTCTAACTGCGGCAGGATCCTGAACATGAAAAAAATGAAGGAATCCGATCATATAAAATACAGAGAAGTTTAAGCATTATTATTTGAACAAATTGTCTGTTATTTATTAATTTGACATTTACCTTTAATATTCAAATGCTATCCATTAATCAAAACAAGGGTAGAAAATTATAACTAGAACATCATAAGCCAACAACAACAATTAATATTTAGATGAATCTGTCCAACACAATCCACGTTAGACTCAGAAATGCTCCAACAAAATTTCTAGTGTCCGGTAACAAGTACAAAGTACTCAACAAATCCAAGATATAATGCAAAATATGTACTTAGGATTCAATCAAAAGCTTCTTGGCATTTCTAGAGTTTCTTGTGCTAATTATTGAAGAGAAAATACCCAGTTTTATTAATGCAGACAAAAAAGGCCAAAGAAAAGAAATGCAGGAGAGTCTCCGCTGACGTACCTTAGAAAGTGATTTATGGTGCAAAGGTTTTCTAATTGACTGCAATTGTTCAGACTTAATTTTCTTAGTATCCGGTGCAACTCTTCTAGGCTCAATGTTTGATTCAAGGCTCTTAGGCTTCAGCAAGATCTCTTTATTGTCAAGTTTGCTGCTAGAATTTGATTTAGTCTCCTTCAAATCTCCTGTAAGGGGCAATGAGGACTCTGTTTCCATTGGTTGTACCAGCATAGTAGTGTCTAAAGTGTTTTTATCTTGCTCAGTGTTCTCTGGAATTCCTCTTGAGGAATCAGGATTTGGCAATGTGGAGTCTGGATTAAAGCACCTTTCTTGAGGAGGTTCATTGCAGTTAATTTCCTGCTCAAGGGTTACTCCAGGTTTAGTCTCTTCTGGGATAGAATGAACATTGTTTGATGCCCCATCTTTGAATCTTTCATGCTGTGAAGCTGCTCCATCTTCTTCACCGCTTTGGCTAGACATACTACCATCACCACCATAATCCAATGTGAGCTCCGTATGTTGATTCTGTCGAACATTCTGTTGAGCTTTCATAGCTCGAATTCTTCTATAGCGCTCCTCAAAATATGCCTTCTTCTTGGCAACTAGACCATTGAACTTCTCCAGTTCCTCTTGACATCTATTGTGAGTAAAAACTGACCGCCTCTCCCATGACAATGACTCAATTGGAAATCTTCCAAAAGAAATGGAACCATGATCAAGCATTTGAGAAACTGGGATTTCCTGAAAGGACCAGTCAACCACAATTATCTTATAATGTTATCTGTAACTCTCTACGGAATGGAAGCACATATTTTTTCTAATAGAGTAGAGAAAACATCATCAACAAGATTACGGCATTCTTTTTGTTGATCCTTTTTAGAAACATTTATCATAAATAATATTATCATATCATCCGAAGATTTATTATGTTAAGCATTGTTGGCTTTTGTTATGGTTCGAACGAATCAGATAACACTGAGAACCAAATGGATAAAGACAAAGAGCTAATACACGACATGCTGGAGTAGACCAAGGCCACTAGAACAGGAACTAAAGGAAAAACTAATAACAGAGAAACTAGATAACAGAGAAAATTACTTGAGATGTATCTCCATCAGACAATTCCCCCTGTGACCATCCTTGATAAGCTTGATCAACATCGGTTGCCATTTAATTATTTTAAGTGGAAAAAAGTTGCAAAACTAATCATGGAAGCAAAACCGCCGCTTTCTGAGTGTCATTCTACATAATGGTCAAGAAAGTCAGCGCAATCAGTCATGGAGCATATAAGAACAATAAATTTTAAGAAAGCTGCAGCATCAGAATAATAAAACAAAATAAGCTAGAAATCGTTAACGAAAATAACAATATGAAATAATGCAGTTCTTGTTAGCTTTTTAAGAAATTGTATAATTGCATATATATATATACAACGTTAGACCCCTTTACTTCTAATGTCAGGAATCTAATAATGCCACTCCCACGTCCCTGAGCAGGTATGTACAACTAGTCAGAAGTCCAAACGCCATTTCCACTAGGAGCAACACATTTAACTAAGAGCATGAAGAGTCTTATGAGAATGGTCGTTTTGAAGCCACCATTCCTTGTCTTTGATGGCACAGTGTCTCCCCTAGTGGAACTTCAGTTAAATCTTGCAGAAACTGCACAATTCACCCACTATCAGGGTTGGATGAACCCAGTCCGTGGGCTGAAGGCTGTGGGCTCATATCTGCGATCAAAGATAACCTTTAGAGGTCTGTTCGTGTGCCACCGGCATTTCGAAATGAAATTATGTATCAGGGAACTTTTTTGATTCAAGAATAGGACAAGATCTTCCCCAGAACAATATTCGAAGAAGACCACCAACTCCAAGATAAATTTATATATCGCGACTTAAAAGAGAAAAATTATTGTGGAGGATATCAATTCCCTGAATGGTTACTCCTCCCTATCGAGAAGAAAGCACCAAAAAGAGCACTATATATATCCAAAAACGCAAAATAAATCATAACTTCGAACTTTCACTCCCGATCAAGGGATCCGAGGGAATAAAAAAGACAGGAGACAAAGGGACAGTTGTGACTATGACAAGTCTCTGACCGCATTAATCTCTTGTTGTACGCTCTTAGTTCTCGACGAAAGCCAACAACAAGAAGCCAGTAAGTACGAGTGCGATGATTGTACGGTATGTTAACTCCGGAACCCATTGACATATTGCGATGGTGATAATTTTTTGGATGAGATGTAGAGCCAGATAAGAAACGGATTCGGGATAGTTATAAGGTCGGATCAGATACTATGCTTGCGATAGGTCCACAGAGCAAGTATCAACGGATATGGAACGCCCATGTTCTCTGATCCAATTTGGAACGGGTAAATGGGTTCTCGGATCTGTCAACCCCTTGGGACCGCCCGTGTTCCGTTTGTTTCACTTTCTTTCTTGCCGTGACCGTCTTTTGATCTCTTCCTGTTCATTCCCTAGTGTGGTTTTTTGTTCTTATGTGGAGTGATGTAGGCAGACGGGGTCATGCGTGGCATCGAAGGGCATTGTTTGGAGTTGTTGCTCAGATTAAAGCATCGCTTAGCTGGCCGCAGGCCCACCTTGTCACCACCTTATCTCTATGCGGCACAGTGCTTCATTTACTACGACGCCTAGACGATTCGGATCCCGAAAGATGTGTAAGCCGAACAGAGAACTCGCTATAATAATGGATAAGAACGACAAGAGAAAACAGCTATAATAGACAGTAACAGCTTATCTACCCAATGTAAAGGTCTCGCATTCATGGCGTAGCATAGCAGTACAAATCTGTTGCCATGCAAAATTAGCATCGCCAAACCTTTTGCTTTATTTCCAACCTCGTGATGTCCGTGCCTCTACGGGTGGAAGTTTCTTGTTCGATCGACTTCCATTCAACTAAGATTAGTAGCTCGACTCCATGTGCGTTCGTCCAGTCAACTAAAATTACATATCACCTTGATTTCTAAAAGGAAAAAAGGTGTTTAGTCCACGTCTTTTGACGATTGGCGTCGTCCTTGTGGTTGTGGTTCGTGCCGTGCTGAATTCAAATACTAGTGGGCACCACATGGCGAGATAAAGAAAAGGGTGTAATGCAAATACCCATTTAGTGGGCACCAAAATGGTCTAATGCAAATATTTGTATACAATCAAATATGAAGCAAATATTTTCCCTCTTAACACGCTTTTACCCTCTTTCTCGTTCGCCCGACATGTCTAAAGCCCCACATATCATTAACTCATCATTAATCTACCTCGCTTTCATCATACCTTTCTCGGTGCATCCAACCAAGCGAAAAAGCTAACACCCAAAGTTTCACAGGCTTCTACTTCCGGTGTCTCCCCTCTTCACCTTCACTCTAAAGACACACGATAAAGAAGAGGAAAAGAGAGGGGGAAAGCCATGGGGTCAATTCTCCGTCCCTATCCGTCGAATTTACGACGGACGGCTACGGAGCCGCCAAATCACCGCCCCGGCACTAGTTGTTGGGGTTTAGCCATCAAGCGCCCAAGCAGAGTCCATCAGCCCAAGCCCTTCCGGCGCGCACGGGATAACGATCACAACGCGTTTCCCCGCTTCGAAAACGTTTCTCCCAAGGAAGACGACGAAGCAGCTTATGCCGTTCCCAGAGAACAACGAGCTCCCATCGCCGACGAGCTCACGGGATCGAGCCCGTCTACCAGATCGGAACATCCGCTTAGAAGTATCAGATAAATCGAATTCTTGAGTTCTATTCCTACCTCGATTCAGATGCATTTCCCCTCAACGATGGCCCTCCGTCGTCTTTCCCACTACTATCTAAATCGTCCTCCAACCAGTTCAATTCTTTGGAGATAAGAGCAAGAAACCAGGTAGTTTGATCCAAGACCAGAGAAAGAAATATGTGCAATTCCAACTGCAACTAAAAACAAGAATGATGAGAGATCCGGAGATCGCGTACCTTCTTGGAGAAAGAGATGTGATCCGACGAAGAGCACTTGCATCCGGCATCCGAGCCCAGGGAGGAGAAAGAAGAACTTAAAACCTCGAAGTCAGTCTTCGAGCAGAGAGAAAGAGAGAGGGAGAGGGAGGGGGGAGACCCAAGTGGAATGGGGAGAGCTGTGTGATCTCAGCGATGGACTTGAGAGAGCTATTGATATATAGATGGGGGAGACGGAGATCAAAGGCGGGAGGAAGGAGAGACGGTAGAGATCTGACCGTCGATGCAGCGGATCTCGAGGGGTGGGTCGCGCTGCGTCGTTGGATCCGAGGGGGGTACTTCTCGCGTTGCTTGTGAACAGGCGCATCGGGGACCACATTTCTTTGACCCGAGATGCCCGAGAGCTCACCCTGGTTGAACCCATGTGCCCTGTGACTTATTTATTGTGATGTACTCTGCAACATCCTCTGCTATCCACTGCTTTGTTCTGGATCTTAAAAAGCATGAAAAATCAGAAGTAATTCCTTCATTAATTATGACAAGAGAATTATAGTCTTCCCCACCTATGTGAAAGATAAAATTATGTGTCCCAGACAGGCAAAGCACCCTATGATTGAGAAATTGATTGTTACTTACCTTAGTTGGGATTCAGGACTGTACATTGATTTGAGCTCAAGTTATGAAATGGTCGAATTGACATGGAAGCTTACTTGGCTTGAAATCTTCATGTTTGGCCAATGCAGCAATCTTCTCATCAACAACTGTCGTTTCCTGTCATGGCCCATCACAACAGCAACCTTTTAAGCCACCACCATGATTGGTAGGATTCACCTGAATGTATACTGTTTTGCAACCAGGCAGAATGACTGGAAACATGAAATTACATATCCAACTCATGTTCTAAATATAAAACATCTTGAGTTAAGAATAACCTACCTGAGCTTTTGGAACTTGTTGCTGCAAGGGAAATATATTTCTCAGGTAAGACATCTAATTACTGCAGAAAACCAGTTTAACCACCAACTTTGGTAAACATGACATCAGTTCATGTGTGGCTCATAAGTTGGATCTGGAAGATGATGCACATTCTATTCTTAATGAGTGATTTTGACCAAGTTCCAAATGCACACACAATCATGCAATTCCCAAAAACATACAGTTAATATCCATGCTTAATCTAATCATAGCAAGAGGAGGATTTTTCAAGTGCTTGAAGTTACAGTGTGGAACATAAGACAATCTTGAATAATATGCTTCAGTTGAGATGTAAGAATCTTGCTACATTGAAAAATGAATGAGGAACCTATAGATGAGGATTTGAGACTGCATTAAACAACTTGATCAATTAGCAGTACAACTAATAAAACAAGTAATCACATGATGATCCAGAGTGAGAGCACTTGCATTTTAGATTTATAGACAGCAGTACAGTCTTCAAATCAATGCTTGCCTCTTCTTGAGAGAGGAACATCTCAAGTAATTAATATCTGAGATGCTTTTAATTTTATTATCCACATAAAAATATCAGCATCTACTGGAATATTGTAAAAGATTCATAACGCACTTAAACTATGGAGTGGTTGGATTGTGTCCTATTCTCAGATATAAACAAAGCAGTGACTTCATCTATCATCTTCTTGTTTGCTACTTCCCAAGTCTGGGGTGCAAGCATTGGTCATAGCAGTATCAATTGGGCATCTAGATCCACATACTGATCATAATTCCTTAAGTTCATGGAATATTGTCATCATCTTTTCTAAAATAGGGCATGTCACCATAGGTCCTACAAACATTGTCCATTTGCTTTTTCTTTTTTACAGCACTAGAATCAGTGTATTAGGGAGTAACTATTGTTGTATCCCCACCATAAAGACTCTCAGATCAACCACTAAACAGTGCCCAGCTGCTTTCTCTAAAAAAAGAAGATCGATCTACTCAATCACAATGAGGCAGTAGCCATTTTCCTTGCACTGCTTGTGAATCTGCAACACACGACTCCTGAAGAACACAGTAGACGATGCATCAGTCATCAGTATGCAGATGAATAATACTAACAAATGTATTAATTTGTCTCCATGTGGAAATCTCCACGTAGTATAATGCCTCTGTAGATTATCCAAATCAAGCTCGACATACATGCGTCTAAAATTTTCAGCAAAAGATGGTCTAAGAATATTCTTCAATCACATTCTCCAGAGACACCATTTGAAGAAGCTGGGAACCAAGAATTCATCTCAGCCTTGTTTCTCTCCTACCATCAGATCCTAAAAGTAAATCCACATTTTCTAGATCTCAGGTGCCAATATGTACGTTCGACACACTCATATCCCCCACTAGGAACGGACGAAATCCATTGCCCAAGTCAGCCCAAGCCAAACTGGGCGCTTTCCTGACCCCCCTCAAGTCCTCATCGTTGTCCCCGCCCTTCCTCTGCTCCTGGGCCTGCAAATTCACCAACCTCATCTCTCACCGGCATTCCATCAAACACCGTCCTCGTGAAACTTCACCCAAGAAATCCAAACATACAAATCGAAGTGCAATTCGGCGCGCATATATAAAAAGCATGATTTCACCCATCCTAACCCAAATCACCCGTCTAGCTCGCAAGCTCGCAGAACAGACGAGTACTCACTTTTATTTTCTAGAAAAAAAATCGCGTTTTTGCAGATCCAGCCAGGGAGGGCAGGCACAGATTGGAGGAGGTCCCGAACTAGAGGTATGTTCTTGCTCCAGCTTTCGGGTATGCAACGGGCGTTGGTGAGAAGATTGGCAGCGGAGTAGGAGGAGATGAGCCTGGGAAAGAGAAAAGATGTGGTTTTCGAAGCCGAGGAAGACGTCGAGAACGTGAAGATTAGGCTGTGGACACATTGAGGAACAGGAAAAGGAGGAGGAGAGAGTAGAAACCGGCGAAGGCCTCTGCCACAGGGTTCCAGGAGCCTCTCTCAGCGGGAGGGCACAGCCGTCCTTTCCACTCCTCTCGTGCACAATTAGATAGTTTTTCTCTTAAATAAAGATAACATTAAAATAATTATGCATTAATTGAGAAGAATCGCACTTCATGCAATCGTTGCTTTTGGTGAGCCGAACCTGTTCTTCTATGAACCGGCGTAATTATCCGGTTCGGTTCATCTTCTAAGAACCGTTCCTCACCTTCCATGATCAAATTGAAACATCTACTTTGACTTTGGTATCGAAGTTGAATAAAGGAGTGTTTGACCTCAATCAAATACTGTTGAACGTTGACCAACTCGCTTGTCATGTTTTCATCAAATCATAACGAAAGTTGTTCATCTAATTAGCCCGATATAGAAAAATATCCTATGATCGTCGATTGAGATGTCTAAGGTAATAAAAAAGGATCCTGCTCAATAAACAATTCTGATTCTCTTCCTCGAACGTCGTATAATTTGATCTATATCATGTTTGACATCATCAAATTCAATAATATTAAATTATAATCGATGTTGCCCATAAAAACCTCACTGATAATTAAAATTAGTTTTGAGTTTAGATCGATCGAATTATACTAACGAGAAGAATTGTTCAGTTTTAAGACGTATCTTAGGCCGTGATCCCATAAATCATTATGTTTAGGATTGTTAGTAGTCAGAAGGAAATATACAGTATTTTTGAGTTTAATCATGACGATGTGTTCATCGCATCCGATGCTCACGATAATTGGTCCAATCTAAATTGTGAACGTATTCTTAAAACCTTATGCATTAATCATGAGATTCCAATGGCCGATGAGCCAATCATATATCACCACATGATGCTATTTGTTGAACATACATAATCATCTTGGCCTTGGATGATTGACCTATCGATTATATCGTCACATAGTAGTATCATCTTTATCACGTAATTCCTTATTTATCACTATGTGTTTGCTTTTGAATCAAGTGATGTTAGACTAATAGATCCCAAAAAGAACTATATAAAATTACATCGAAGGCACTTCTCGTGAAGTTCTTCCTATGCCTAAGATAACTTAAAATATGATATAAACATGGATAATTGAGAAATGACAGTATGTCTACCATGGTAGTCGGTTGATGTTGATATATCGTCTTCCATGTGATATGATAATTATGACAAAGCCCCACCTAATATGGTTGAAATTTCCAGTCAAATCAACATCGATAAGCTGCGGCTTTAATGATAGACGATGGTCAGGTTGACTTGACTTCTCGGCTGGCGTGTATCGCGTGCAGTCCGAGGAACAAAAACAAAGGCGGTCAATTTCATATTATAATTGGCATTACTTTTTTTGGACGTAAGATATTTTGGGAGTTAGTCACCTTTGTGCGAGTCCAAACCGGACCACGTCTTTCCGGTTTGATCCGACCCAACTCCTATTCTCGAGCCACATTACCCACCAATGATTCCTCCCACGAACTTTCTCGGCTCTCACAAATCCAACTTACGGGTCCCACAATCCAGCTCGATGCTAGCGCCACGTGGGGCGCGAAACTTCTTGGTATGGACGTTGGGACAATAAATGCACCAGTGTATATTTTGATCACTTATCCCGTTAGTTCGGAGTATTTGAAGAATCGGACCCACGGTCCATGCTTCTACGTCTACAAAGCGGGGTCCCACCTTGCTATGCAATCATTACGCATACCCCATGGAGCGGGTAAGTAAATGGGTACGAAAACTAACTTTTTGACCAAGAAGGGCTCTTTAAAGGGCCACCATGGGTTCGTAACGCCAGCGATTGAGAGGGTTCGGAATCTCCTCGCGATCCCCCCGCTCTCTACTGCTGTGCCGATCCCACCCGACCGCCGCCTCCGCCTACGCCCGCCCCTAAAATATCCTGCCCACCGCCTTCGCCTCGTCGCTTGCGCCGCTTCTAGGGAACGGTGTAGAGTAACTTCTCCGGGTTCCGGTGGCGATCCTCATATCAGCGGCTGTAAGATGATTACTCGTGTTTGATCAATTATCTGTTCCTGATTTTTTGGACAATGGGGGAGAATTTTCGCAGCAGTCGAATCGTCCGTTAAATTAGGTTGCGAAGGTCTTTTGTTGGTTTTATCGCTTATATGATTTCCGTGCGATAATCATTGGCGGCGGTCTCTGATTCGAGAGACGTGTTCGTTCTATTCGGTGGATTCTCGCGTGCGCAAACCTTTTATTTGTCTGTGCGCCCCTCGGTCTTATGGATTTGATGGGCGATGTGTGTATATATTTCTGTGTCTATTTTCCCCTTTTAACGGTTTGTAGTTCTTGTATTTCGAATAGATAATTGCATAGACAGAGAAATGTTTTTTTTTGGGTAATATTTCATTCATGTGTGGAATCAACCGTGGCCTTTATACGATCAGATTGCCATCTGTTAATGGCTTTTACTGAGATTGGTATATAGTAGTGGTGGGTTATGGAATGCTGTTCATATTCTATAATTAGTTTTCCATACGGCTGTTTCATTACATTTTACTTATGTTGATGCTTGGTTTATTTTCATTGCAGAAATATTCCACATTTGTTTCTGTAAATGGCTGATGGCGATGCTTCCATTGATTCACCTCGACGAAGGCAAGGTCTCTTACGGGACCAAGTTCAGTTGGTAAAGAGAAAGGACTCTGGTCGTTATGAAATCGTTCCGATTCAAGAGCCATTATCTTTCGAAAAAGGTTTCTTTATTGTAATTCGTGCGTGCCAGTTGTTGGCCCAGAAAAATGATGGAATCATTTTTGTGGGCATAGCTGGCCCTTCTGGGGCTGGAAAGACTGTTTTCACAGAGAAGGTTCTCAATTTCATGCCAAACATTGCTATCATATCCATGGACAACTACAATGACTCAAGTCGTATCATTGATGGAAATTTTGATGGTGACTCCTGCTCTCTAAGAAATCATATTTCTTTGGATCATTTTGCATTTTGCTATATTACATTTTTCTTTTCCTATATACCAGTTGAACATATTGAATTCTCTTGATGATATGGACCACCATATTTTTGGATATCTATTGCTTAATTCTTTAAACATGGAAATTTGATTGATTGTCGTCGATTATTTACTGATGCATTCTTATTTATTTTTGATCCAATTATGTAAATTAGACACTCATGTAGCTATTTTCTAGTCACAGGCTTGATTAGAAGAATGGAAGTTTCATAATTTGCTGTCTTTTACTTTAAAATTATTGTAAATCATGATTATATAAGATGTTCTATTCTGATGCTTTGACCTAAATTTTTGTGGCTATTCTTTAAGTAAAGCATATATTCCATGTTGATCGCTTTAGAACTTCTCTAATATGCTGTACCTTTTGAATAGGGAATTTAACTGTCATATCATGTTTATTATGTTTTTATTAGGGACTAGATGTGGACATTAGTGAGTTCTACTCAGTGGCAGTTTGACTCTGATGCTTCTTTTGGCAGACACATATTACAAAAGTAATGTAGTTGTAGGGGTTAAAACATCTTTGTAAGTATGGAAAAAAGTGTTGCTCATTTAGGAGGAAGTTGTGCAGCTCCTTCTTAGTTTATTGGACATTGAGAAAAAGAGTTCAGTACACCATGGTAATTAAATGCAAGGAACGCAATAGACTTGAGAGTGCAGTCTCAGTTTCCTTTGATGCTCGAGCTAGGCAGGATATTTGAAAGTAGTTAACAAGCATAGGTGTTTTTTTTTTTAACAATACGAAAAATGGTGCAACCTATGTACTTTTGAGGGTAGGAGCAGATTTAAAAAAAAAAAGTTTTTCACTTCTATTCAGTTAAGTGTTCCTTGCACTGAATGCTTAAGCAACAAAATGCTTGCTGATGTTCATCTTTTTATGTATCTTGATCTTTAAGAGGTTGAAAGCTGTATAGTCTTTAACTGGTGACATTTGGCAAAATCTGGTTGCTTAAGAAGTTCTGAAGTAGTCCGTTGAAGTTTATATTATCAAGAACTTGTAAAAAAAATGAATTTGAATTCTAATTTTGTCTAATTGTACATGATGTCGATGGACAACTAAGGTGATGGAAATTGGAACTTGCGCACAGGTTATGGGGATAATATCTGCTGTTTAAATGTGGTTTTATTTTGGTTTCTGATGTCAAATCTATTTACTTATTGATATATTGCATACAAGATGGGAGCTGTACCTTACGAATGCCCCATCTGTTGCCTGTAGACCTTGAATATTACATGCTATCATCTGAATTCGGTACTTATGGCTAGTTTATTGAGTTTTTTTTAACTGAACACTCATTCAGTTTTGTACATAATTTCTTGTGTGTTAATTAATTAGTGATTTATTCTTCTTGTTTTATCAGTTCATGGGAGACTTTTATGCATTATTTATTTGTTTAATAACCTGACATTAACCGTATGTGAAGACATTTAAAATATCCTTAAAATTGATATTCATTTTGCACCTGTTAGGTTTATCAAATAATTTATATTTAAGTAATAAAAAATTCTAATACATGTAATTTTTGAGCAGACCCGCGGCTCACAGATTATGACACTTTACTGGAAAACATTCATGGACTAAAAGAGGGGAAATCTGTTCAGGTGCCAATATATGATTTCAAGTTGAGCAGTCGCATTGGATACAGGTAACCTTTTTAGACAGTCAGTTGCTCCTTTTTATTAAATCATCATAGTGAATCTTTTAGTACATCAGGGCTGTCAGATATCTCTTCTTGGGATAAATGTATGTGGCCTTTGATTGTCTTCCTGACAGGACCGTTGATGTCCCTAGCTCTCGAATTGTCATTCTCGAAGGTATCTATGCTCTGAGTGAGAAGTTGCGCCCTTTGCTTGATCTGCGTGTTTCCGTGACTGGTGGTGTACATTTTGATCTTGTTAAAAGGGTTCTGAGGGACATACAGCGAGCTGGACAAGAACCCGAAGAAATAATTCATCAAATTTCAGAAACGGTTATTTATCTTCATTTTTGTTTTCATTAATATAAAATTTAAATTATAGCTGATGCTTCTGCTGGAACGAAGTAGCTATGACACTGATAGAATTGCATGTTCTTGAATCCCTTATTCTTGGAGCATTAATTTCAATGGAATTCCTAGTTTATTGCTAAATCTTCTTTGTTTCTGTTCTATCTTTAATTAAGTATTGAAGTTACCCATATGTAGTATCTTGATTACTTTATAATTTATGCAGGTTTATCCAATGTACAAGGCATTCATTGAGCCAGACTTGCGAACAGCGCATATAAAAATCTCCAACAAGTTCAATCCTTTCACAGGCTTCCAGAACCCAACTTATATTTTAAAGGTTATTTTTTATTTTTGTTTTGTTGCAAATTTGGTTGCTAATGTTACAAATGAATTAATAAACTGTGCTTTATACTGATGTATTTTTTTATTTTTTCTTGTAGCACTAAGTGCTTTCTGGTTTCTATTATTGTAGTCATCAAGGACTGTTTCGGTGGACCAGATCAAGGCTGTGCTTTCCAAAGAACACAATGAAGGTACAGAGGAGACATACGACATGTATCTATTGCCACCAGGCGAAGATCCTGAAGCATGCCAATCTTATCTCAGAATGAGAAACAGGGATGGGAAGTACAATCTTATGTTTGAGGTTTGTTGTTTAATTGATATATTATTTCCTATGCTGAGTTTAAATTTGTGACCTGAAATAATGTCATTGTTTTAGAATATCTATAAATTTAAATTTGCTTTTGATCATGGATATCAAAATTCTGTGATTTTTAGGTGGACTTGAATTTTTTGTGCATTTTTACTAATTCTGACTAACCTAGATATTCGAGCTGTTTGTGTCTTTTTTTGTTCAACTTTGTAAGCTTCTAGAACTGTCGACCCTAAGATGGTCTCAAGTTGTAGTTGCAATAGTTGTTAGATAAACTTGGTCCTGCTTCACCAAATGGAGTTCAGCTTGGAGATAGGTGCAATAGCTTCATCAAGAAGTGAATGGGTCACATGGATCACACTCTTCCACTTTTCCTTTCTAACCTCTATTTTAATTAATTAGGTAACCGTGAAAATTACATCTCTGTGATCATCCATGAGGTCATATATCGGCTCTCAGCTTCATGTAAAACTTGGTGCATTCATGGTTGGGTTCTTGGTCTCCTACGGATAACAACTAATGGTGTAATGCTGCAATTATGGGAATCTCGTATGAATAATACTTTATGCATGCACTTGAGATACACATATATCATGGAAATCTTGTGGTTACTTTTGTGATTTACTACAAATTAAAATTATATTTCAACAGAATTGAGTGTGTGCATCTCTAGTTACTTTTCATAGGATGCAATTTCCCTCCTGTTTTAGAGGACTGACTGTTCTAGTTGTAGGCTGCAATTGCAGCATATTACATGATATAAGATGTGGATTTCTATCATTTCTTCACACGAAAATAAACACTTGCAACTAATGTGGGAAGAGATTGTATGCTTGATTTTGAAATATAGAGTCCACAAATGCTTGGCAGCATTTGAAGCCTGATACTAGTATGTGCCGTTGGGGTCTTGAAAATTAGTTATTGACTGTAGTTCAATCTGATACGCAACCAACAAAACTCAATTGTGTTTTTGCATGAGTTTTATCTGATGTACTGTAGGCATGTAATGTAATTTTGTGCTGTAACAATTTTTTCTTTTGAAAAATATTGTAAATTGATCGAAACTTTCACCAAAATATGTATTCCATTGATGAGATGACAAATTTATCAATCAGTTTATGATCCTGTAAGATTGGCATCTTCTGTGAGCTGCTCACAGTCAACCTGTTTTGTCCTCCACATAGCTGGAAAGATTGTATCTCGAGGATTGTGGTGGAATTTTAATGCACAAGAATGAAGTTGAATTATCATTTACTCTAATTTCCTAGGGGCACATGAGCTATGTTAATTATTGGGTGAATAATTTTTGTAATTCTTTCATCTAGGTTGAATTTAAATCATATAAATTCCATAATTTTCTTCAGAGTAACATTGTTGGTGTTGCCGGCTATCATGCTTATAACTGCACCAAAGGCCATCCTTCAGTCCGGTTTAGATCAATTTTGTTTTTCAAGTTTGACAAACTGCACAGACAACATATGTTCCAGATCCCTGTTCCCAAGATTTTCTCCTCTTAATTGATTGAACTAATAAGCATTTAGTTTGAAATACTCTTGTGAGTTGTGACAATCCATATCAGTGTTCTTTATAATCTGAGTATCTATTTATTATTTTGTTTGTTTTGACATAAAAATTGTTTGATATGCCTGCCCTACTGATGTGCATTGAGAAAGATCTGCTGATGACTCTAGATAACACACATGGTTTAAGATGGTGAGAAAATATGCTGATTGCCCCATGGTTCAGTGATACCACCTGCAATCCAGCAGGTTTAGTATGCCATACATGCCTTTTGAGCCAATATTCTTAAAAATGGCAGCTTTCAGGTTTTTATTCTTGTTGATCATGCTTATCTCGTCTCTTGATATTTGAAGGGTAACACTCCGTAAAGGTTACTGCAAGACATTAAGATTATCTTGATCCCCTTTGTCATGCCTTAGACTTCATATTACACCTTTTTGTTCAGTGTGTTTGGTTCTTTTTGAAGTTTTATTAATAGCAGCTCCTAATTTCTAAGAGAAGCCACTGTGAATCATGTAAATTCATGTTGTCTAGAAATAATTACTTATTGCTTTTTTATTCAATCAACATGTATTCGGCATTCCCATGTGCTGATGCCCGATGGGATATCATCTGGATTCTGGCCTTGATGAATGATTTTATATATAGCAGTGTCACATTTTAGGAAATCTATACATTTCACATGCCTGTTATTTGTATGTGTTTTGATTGATCACTAGACCTTTTCACTGTATCCATTCTGATAAAATCAGTTAATTAATTTGACTCTTGGACCTTTTTCAGGAATGGGTAACGGACAGGCCCTTCATTATATCACCAAGAATCACTTTTGAAGTAAGTGTGCGACTTCTTGGTGGGTTAATGGCACTAGGCTATACCATTGCAGCCATTCTGAAAAGAAGCAGCCATGTGTTCTCTGACGACAGGGTGATCGTGAAAATGGATTGGTTAGAACAACTTAAACGTACTTACATACAGGTAACTAGATCTTGCATTTATTATGAATTATGCTATATTTTTTGAGCCACTTAAAATCATGCTCATGCATAACTTGTTTTTGTGTATATAAGATGCATTGACTATGATATAAACGGAAGATGCATTAATATGTTCTAGTAATTGGTATTTACCAAATCTACCATTCTGTAGTTTAGTTTACTGACCATGATGTAACTTTTACTAATTCGCTATTCAATAATTTCTTGATGTGATCTTATAGTAGGAACCTCTGTGTGTCAAACTGTATTGTATTCTTCAGTTTCAATATTAAGTGATGACATCATTATAGAACGAGCCTATATTAATCTAAGTATTAATGCAAATTTCAGCAATATTTGATGAAAACAAATCTCTGTTAATTGGACTTGGTGAAAATAATGGACTCTTGTTATTTCATGGAACTTTTGGCAGATGCCATAATCAGCCAAGTGTCACATCATGTCTTTAAGAACATATCCAATCATTTTTATAAGTAAAATAATAAATTATTGTAATCCTTTGTTCTAGATGATGAAGTGGACAAATATATCCTATTCAGCTCGAGAAGAAATTAAGACAGCTTTAAATATTACCTGTGGATGCCTAAAATTTTTTGATCATGTGAAGGAAAGTAGTGAGATATTTCATCATTTGAAGGAAACCTTTTTAAATATATGTGACATTTAAAGCAGTATCCTGCAATAGTATAAGTCTTGCAATATTTATTTTAAAAAATGTAGTTTATGTTTAAATTGAACTTCTTTTCATTTATGACATTCATTGTATAATTGTTTTGTGGGTTAAGCTCCAGTTCTTGGAGAAATTGTTGCTCGGTCTTTTGTTATAACTTGATTGCTTTTTAAAAGTATTTTACATAAATTATTTATAGAGAATTGCAGAGCATGTCTTATATTTTCTGTTGCATTATAGCAAAGGAATTCTATACCCTGTGATGCCTCATGCAAGAATTTGGTGCTTCATATGAATTTTAGCCATTTTTCATGATCCACCAATCCGAAGTATTGCAGAGCATGTCTTATGTTTTTCATGACCATTTTTCATGGTCAGGTTCATCTTTCTGAAGAAAAGAAGACTTACCTTGTTTATATGTTGTTATTAATATCATTTATATTTTCTAATTTACATAGCCTTTCTACTAGCATTTTGGCCCAATTACATTACCTATCGACTAATATTTTTTAGCTTAACATCCATTTTGTTTGTCATAAACTAGTTATTCTTTCAATTAAAACTTTGTTATATTTATGAGAAGGTGCAAGGAAAAGAGCGTCTGTTAGTTGGGCAAGTAGCTGAGCAACTGGGTTTGGAAGGCGCTTACATTCCACGTACTTACATAGAGCAGATTCAATTAGAAAAGCTTGTGAATGAAGTCATGGTATTATTTCTTTCAGTAAAGTTCATTCTGGATTAAGTTTCAATGATATTTTAGTTTTTTTTTTTAATTCTAGTTATGCACATATTGGTTTTTTCTTAATGTGCAGGCATTGCCAGATGATTTGAGGACAAAGCTCAGTATAGATGATGATCTGGTTTCCAGTCCAAGAGAAGCACTTTCGCGGGCATCTGCTGATAGGGTTGCTATGAGAACTAAACGTCTTAAAAGGTTCATTTCAATTTTAGTTAACTTGATTAAAGCATTACCTAGCTTCGAATACAAGTAACTTGATCAAAGCACTACCTTACTTATTAAGATGTACACTTGAAAATAATTCTGAATTCATATGTTCTGTAGAATTATACTTCAAGTAACTTCCAGATCAAATAATTCTTGATATAGTCTAGACCTATGATCTAATAACATGGACTTTGAATACTTAAGTGCATGTTGGTAATAGTCTCATCTGGCCCTGTATATTAATATCTCTTACAATGTCTGGGATTAATCATGCATTTAGTCTTGCCAAAATTATTGTATGGTCTGGTCATTGTGGACATAGTACAAGAAACATCTTGATAGAATGATGCTGCAGAAGAGATCTGACCAAATTAAAATTCCGTTAGATATTTCTTCCATATCTGGTGTCACTAGTCATGATTGTTTCTATGATTGTGTCAAAATTCTCGTAGTTGTAATGCTTGTCATTATTTTAACATTTGTGATGTTTTCAGTGGAATGTCCCACTCCTATTCAACACAAAGGGACAAGGATATTGCCAAACTCACTAGACTTGCAGTCAACAGTAGAAGGTTTGATAGACAAACTCCAGATTCACCTGCAATCAACCAGGTGCGCTTGTCCTTGATCAGGCATCTAGGAGAGATTCAAAATTCCAACTTTACTGATACAAGTTAAATTTGGATTATTTTGCAACAGTTTATACTTAATACTGCAAATTCTTTAATGATGTATTGTGCTTCTTGTATTTTTACCAATCAATCCTATGCAGGATGCTGCCGTTAACCAACTCTCAGAGCAGTTATCAACTTTAAATGAAAGGATGGATGATTTGAGCTCACAAATTGAAGATTTTAATACAATAGTTAGTTCACAAAGTAATTCCATGAGCCAACAGAACCTGGCGCTCCAAACTGAAGCTTGTAATGGCTCTGGCCCAACATCGTTGTTTGTGTCTAACCTGGGCAATGGTACCCTTTTGCCCAGTTCATCATCTTACACCCAACTGAATAAGGATTCTCCCCTCATGGAGGAGGTAAGGACAAGTTTGATTAGTTTTTGCTTCAGAAATGAATTGCCATAGCTGCATTCTGGTATTTGATAATAATCCTCTTTTAGGCTACGTTACAAGTATTGTACTTAATTCCAAGATTACCCAAATCTTGACATTTGATGGTGTTTGTTAACCCATTTTGGACACCCTTAGATAAAATGGAATTGCTTTGTCTTGAAGAGAACAACTGAATCCTACACATTCACCAATCCTGTGTTTGCAATGGGGCATATGGTTGCAGAATTACAGTAACCATAATAGTAACCGAATTTATGGGGTAGAGACTTGAAGTAATCATGCTGTGTTAAAATTTTTGTTTGTTGATTGGATATGCTATCAATATTTGACTTGATGTTGTCATTTCTTGCCATTTGCAGCTAATGCTCATCACCCGAGGACAACGTCAAATTATGCATCAGTTGGATAACCTCTCTAACTTAGTTCATGACCGTTTGGCTGTACTAACCCTGCAAGGCAGAACTGATAATGGAAATAGATTGCTTGATATGAAGATTGGGACTCCCGTTCTCATACTGGCAATCGGTGGCATTGGCATTTTCCTGTTCAAAAATCTGAACAGGAATTAAATTGGAGCCTCAAGCACCACTTCAGTCTCACCAGATACTCTTGAGAATTTCCCATTGAAGTCTTAATTCATTACTTTTATAAGGTATAATATCTCAGCTTGAAGGTCCAGAGTGAACTAACAGATGATAAAATTTTGTAGGAGTTATTTTCTTTTATGAAGAGCTTCAACTACAATTTGTACATTTCGGATGTAGAAGTATATTTTCCTCTCTCTCATTCACATACATATATATATATATATATATATATATATATATATATATATATATATATATATATATATATATATATGACTGATGGTTAAGAAAGTCTGCAGGGACAATTACTGCTATACATTTGATAAAGGATCCTATGCTGACTACTGTTCCTTTTCTCTTCCATGCATATTCTTGAGCACCATATTAGTTTCCTGGGCATATTCTTGAGCACCATAGTAGTTACCTGAGCTGAGAATGGAGCTTACTGCTGTTAATTTTTTAATAAATGCACTGGTAATCAGCTTCTATGGATCGAATGATTTTTCGCAACCTATGATTTTTCATCGGTTGTATTGGGATCTCACATAGGAGCGTAATGTTTACAGATTTCTTGTTTCCTGCAAGTCTAGTGATGTTGTGTAACACAGTCTTAGTCTTAGTTTCAATCATAACAAAGGATATTATAATTTTTGTTGATATTATTAAATATAATAAAAAAAGATAATCTTAAAATTGATATATTTTAATTATTAAATAAAATGATTAGGTTTTTTTTTTGTATGTAGTGTTTTTGATACATATACATATTTGTATCATTTAACCAAAGAAAAATATAAACATAACATATCCAAAATTTATATGCACACTTAATGTTTATGTCATTGTTTATATCTATATTGGCATGGCTTTTATGTGTTTAATTTTTTTTCAAATCACTTGAATGAGGTATTAATATCTATACCTATAAAATATGGTTTATATTGAGTAATTACTTAGTAAGTATTAGCTTTTATGATTTTATTCATTTGAGCATGCATTATGTCATGTATATTATATTTTAAATTATTATTATAAAATAATTAATAATAAACATTTTTTTTTATAACTTTAGTAAGCGTAATTCTATAACATAATATATATATGTAAAATAAGTGTATAATTTAATGTCAAAATAATTTAAAATATTTATATATACATGTAGGAAATATAGTAAATTTATGAATTTTACATCTAATATCATAGCATATATATATATATATATATAT